CGTCCGTGCTGGTAGGAGGGGTGTTAGGTTTGGGCTTGTGTCAGCGACCCGTGGCAAGCCGGAGGGATCTGGGCGCCCACGAGCATGACAGCATTCTTCCCGTCACGAACACATCCGCCGTCTCGTCCCCAAGCGGCTCGAGTGACACGCCTACCAAAGATGGTGGGAAGGACCGGCTTGGCCAGGGTGTCCCTGATTGGCTTGTGTCGAGGCCACCCCAAGGCCATGGCCCGGTCCGCCCAATGGCACACGTCGCCCGACTGTCACGTGAACAGGATCTCATGCATGCAACTCGGGTAGGCTGCAGCTCTCCCGACGGAAGCCCCAGTTTTCGCGGCCAATTCGCACCTGGCGACTGGAGACTTGGCCGGCCACAAAGGCCGAACCCGAGGCGGACAGGCAGAAGTCTCAAACAACGTCGGGGGGTCGGCCGCGGCAGACTGAGGCACGTTTTCTTCTCTCCTGTGTGACGCCCGTGTCTCACCGGGTACCAGGAACGTGTTGCTTGTCACCTTTCCAACGCATTCTTTGCACGCCTGATGCTGTCGCGTCTCCGACGCAGACAATCAACATACGAGTACAGCCAATTGAGCCACGGTTTTGGGCAGAAAAAGGGGCCGCCTGTGGACGAAAGAAGAAGCGAAAAGGGGTGCTGCTGGGCGCCAGGTGCCATTCCTTGCTACTTGCGGACCAAGCAGCTAGTCAAGGGACGAGTGTGTGCCACGTCGCAATTTCATCACCGCGACATGGCGCCTTTTTTGGGGGGGCTGGCTGCATGTCAGGTTCTGCTCGAGTCCGCTAGCAAACAACCTAAGCTGTCGTCGAGTGACTTTGTCTCACAGTGCGAATAGCTGCCTCTGCCCCTCCCTTCCATTCCTTCTTGTAGCTAGCTTGTCTGCACGCCCCCCCTGGCAAACCCTACGCAGACAGACAGCTGGTGAGGGAAAACGAGATGGAGCCGCACATTTACGAGAGCGGGCGCAACATGACATGCACACCAACCAGTTGCAAGGGGTCTTTCACTGCCGGTGAGTGTATGGTTCCCGCAGTGGCCAGGGGTGCAGGACAGACGACTGAAGACAGAGGCGGAAGCCCGTCACTTGCTCAACGGGCTGGTTTATCCAAGGTGGAGGCGCGCCGCCTTTCTGCTCTAGCGGTACGAACCATTGAGATGCCTCCATACGCGGTGGGCTTCAAGCCTCGTGCTTCGCCTTTGCCTACCCGTATAAGTGGCCTTTATCTGCGGTCAAGAAGGCCATCGCATTTCGCAATTTCTCCTCAGCCGGACACGTCGGCGTCTGCACGCTTCGGAGCTGCCGCTGCCCAGTGCCATGGGGTACATGCGTGCGCAGTCATTTCGTCAGCGCTCCCATGGCCGCCGCTGCGAGACCTGTCATTTGGGATACAACGGTGACCCAGCCAGGCTATCCATCTACTTGCATGTTGGCAGTACGCGACGAAGGAACGACATGACTACTCCCTTCTCTCCAACGTCTGCTTGTATGCAGCAGTGACCGAAAGAGAGAGAAGCCCTCGTATGTGTGCCTGCACAGCAAGACCGCCATGTTGCCACCCCACGGGACCTCGACTACATGCACGTCCAGCTGTACGGCTCCACGAGGCCGCGCATGACCGCTGTGCTTCGAGGGAAGCTGCGGATACATACCTACTCCGCACCCCGGTAGCAGTACGGAGTACGGCAAGCAACTGCTGCTGGGCCACCCGTGAAAAAGCTGCCGTCCTCGAAGTACGGAGTACGCAATTGGCACTCGATCCTCTCCATTAGGGGGCTGCTTTACTGCCAATGCCCATTGGGAAGCCCTGGAGCACTTGCCAGGCCGTTGTGCTGGCCCGCGTACCGTCGCCCACCAGCTCTGGGTGGGGAGCGAAGCGTTCACTTCGTGTCAATGTCTTTCTCCCCCTCTTCTCCTCATGGCAGGGTTCCCACAGTCTGCCGCCAACCCTGTTCGCGTCTGTTGCGGTTTGTTTTGCGCCACCCCGTGTGACGTAGCGAATCAAACGTCTGCCTCCGCCAAGTGCATGAGAAGGACCTGGCAGGGTCTCAGTCTTGTGGAACGCGAGCGGCACGGCGATAGCATTTGGCGCCCCTTGTCGCGCTACCGGCGTCAGAATGGGGAGACGCTGCACGGAGCGCATGGAGGTTTGTGGAGTAGAAGCATCCGATGGTGACGGGGGACGGAGTACTCCGGATGCACAAGAGCTCGCTCAGTACAAGTACGCGAGGCCTAAACGCATTCTCCACAGCATCCCGACTCTGCAAAGAACCAGCGGTGAACAGGTGATCGAACGATCTATTCTTGGAGAAAGCACAGACGAAGTTGCTACAGCAAGATGCAGTAGGCCACACACAGCAAGGTGCGGAATGGCAGTCCTGACTCGTCTGTAATTCCCCAACTGCTTTTCAATGGCGAGGAGCGAAGACATGCGTGGGAGTTTGAGGAACCGAACAAGGGAGCTTGTACATCATTTTCATCGTCCTCTCGGTTTCTCGATCTCTGATCGTCATGCCCCAGTCCAGCCCAACCATTGTCCTTGCTACCCACCTACTCTTACGAGTATATGTAGCCAGAACTGCTGACTGGCCCGGCTCTCTGCGGCTCTATATTACAAGGACACAAGAAAAACGAACACAGAGTACGAAGTGTACTCTATGATACCGGGCCCCCCTTCTGTCAAGGGGTTTCGGCAGTTGATCTCAGTCAGAGATGGTACGACCATGTACCATCACTGCTAGTATCTCCGACACAAGCTCTCTACTCCTGCGTGAACTTCTCTGCTCGTATGAAGTACAGCAGTACTAGTACAAGTACATACAAGGCAAGGAGCAGATGCTGTAAGTAGGTAGGTATCTGCTGCCTTCTCGACAATACGGGTACATAACGTACCTATCAGACGACCAGCTACTGTCGACCATCTGTGAAAACGAGCCCCCTGTTCTGCGCTGCTCGCTTCCTCCACCAGATATGCGATCATCAGCGGATTGGGCAAGCTGCATACAGGCACTATGTCGACATGCCATCTTTTGAACGAATGGCTTCTCCTTCCTGCCTTGTACAAGGGCAGGGCGAGCCAATGACCGCGCAGGCTGCAACGCTCGACTTGCCAACCAAATCCACCCATCGGCTTGTGTCGCCACTAAAGCCATCAGAAAAAAAGGTGTCTCCCGCGGAACGGTGCGCTCTTGCAGGTGCATAGTCACCCGTGATCCGCTGACACCTCGGGGCCCGGGCCCCTGTGGACCAGGCTGCGGTGTCCATGTATGACTGGCGAATCCTCAACGATTTCTCGATGCAGCACGCTATGCCATCCACGTATCTGTGCGGCTTCAAGCAGCTTGACATGCGTATAGGAACCGGCCACGTCTCTCAATAGACGCCGACTGCTGCAGGTTTGCTGCGCCTCCATATTGCCAACCCACCTTGGCCCAAAGCTGTCGACAGCCCAAGTCGAGAGAAAGGGGCAAGAACAAAAAATCAATTCGTCATCCTCATTATCAAGGCAGACTGTCAACTCGGGCAGACGACACAGAGCGAAAGTGATCATTGCTGCCCTTTCTAACCGACAGGGTAGCAACTGTTTCAAAGCTGCAGGCGCAGGATCACGAAGAAGTAGCAAGCCCATCTGTTCGAATTCAGGTTCAGCTCGCAAGAATGAGCCGGAGATAGTCCACGCAGCCCTCCAGATCGCCATCCAGGGGCGGGCTGCTGGAGAATCACCGGAGAAGGCATAGGAAGTGGCATAGTATGTACAAGGTACCAGATATCGGTAGGTAAGTATTATGTGGTGATTGCTACCGGTCGAGACCTGCAAGCCTCACCTTTTCGTCTCGAGGACCTGGACATTGGCAATCTCAAGCCGAGCGTGTGGGCAGAGAAATAGCAGCGCCTGAGTGGCAGAACAGAGCCAAGTATTTGCCTCACCGCCACGATGACAGTTTGACCCAAAATTTCGAGGCACGGAGTACGGAGTCCTGTGTACCTCGAGGTGAATTATGACAAGAGGAATAGTATAATCCCGCTACGGCGCGGTCCCACCCGTGGCATCAGGGTAATGGAGCTGCATGATCCTTGGGACGGCCAGTGGGCGGCTGCGGTGGAGGGCGCTGACCCCAGCCTCGCGGATCTGCGGCTTCACCACCCGGCCCGCCTACCCGGAGCCGTTGGGTGGATGACCGATGAATGGGCCAGCTATCGCGGAGTGCCGTAGTAGAGGTCGTCTCCGGTTCTCGAGACCCAAGTTCGGGACCTGTCCGCAGAGGTGGTATGAGGCAAGGTGATCAACCTCTTAACCGAGGTAAGAAGGCATTGAGGCTGGCGATATGATATGGGAAGGTGGAAGAAATGGCTACGGATATCACTCCGTTACCTGTTTCTTTGAGAGTACATATCGGTTGAGAGATTGGTCCATCTCTCAGCCAGAATGTTAAGCTCACGTCCCTACTGTACGCGATATTACGTCTTGAGTCAGCCCCGGATGCATTGACGGTGGTGGGAGGATCAATCTTGCCGCGATAGGTAGATGTTTCAGCTGCAGAAATCTCCTTGATACCCTCGTGGTGATGCTCTGCCAACCTCGAAGTTGAGTATTTACGTTCTTCGCGGTACATAGCGGCTCAGTTCTATTCCCCGAATGCTAAGGATACGTAAGGCGGGAGCACTTGCCATGTCATCTATGCAGAGCCTGGCTTGCAAACTGCAGGAGATTTTCGAAGAACGAAGACAAAACCTCGAGAATATGGGAGCTTGATGATTGAGAAACATTGAGAAACTCAATTGGCAATACCCGCTGGTACAGCACGCGCGGGGAACATGGCGGATAATGGTCAAAGAAACTGCCAGGGGCATTTTGAATAGCATGCAGATAAATCAGAGTCTATCCAACAACTAATGACGATTTCATGCAAAAGACGCCATATACCGCCATCCCACAGTAGGCTGGTTGGGCATCCAGACCAAAGTTGAACGTCTATCGGCGGCAATCTAGGGTCGCATTCCTTTCTCAGCGATATCAACCACAAATGCTCCACCGAGGAGAATGGCCGGTTCATCGATATTGTGGTGCTCGTAGCTAGAACCGAGGCAAACGTTGTCAGTCAACTCGATCACAGCAGGTGAACGGTCCGGTCTGTCCTAAAAAGGGGGAAGTAAGGGGCGTAACAACGATGGCTGAGGCAGTGTGACGGTGAAGGGAGTAGCACGATGCGAGTGTACTTCTCACCTCAGAGTTCCTACACCGCCGGCTTCGAGCAAAAATGCTGGGCCATCCTGAAGCGTCTTCCCGGCCCAACGCATCGCGAAGGCGCGTAGAATGTGTCCGTGTGCAACGATCAAGACGTCACCAGATACTTTGTGTGGTTGCTGGCCGTCGGCCGGCTTCAGTACCGGCTCGTGGAATCTGCTACGAATGTCGGCGATAAGACGATCGAGGCGGTCGGTGACGTCTTGAGGGCTCCTGCAGTAGATCAGAATATGTGTTCAGTGATATGTCGGATGACTTTGAGACAACACAGGCCCCTAACGGTGGCATATCGAGGGAGGGCGTGTGCAATTGCAAGTGTCCCTATCCTCGTAGAGCTCATCCGTTAAAGCAGGGAGAAGAGGTAGGGGTAGAACTTACTCCCCCCCTGGACAGCCGTCCTTCCAAATGTCCCACGGTTCATCGATACCCTGTTCGGCCCTCATTCTGCGAATCTCCGGGCTTGTAATACCCTCGTAGTCGCCATAATCCCACTCCCGAATGTCTTCGGTAACTTCGACTCTGGCATTGCACTCAAGCCCGCCGCCGACAGAGGTGCCGTGCGGATGCCATGGCAGTGGACCCGAAATACCAAGATTGAGCAACTCAAACGTGCGCTGTGCTCGTTTTCGCGGGGAGACGTAACTGACTCGGGGTGATTGCCCGAAATGATTAGCCTTTGTTTGCTGCTGCCGGCATCTCATGGTTCTCTCTATACGTCTCTCTGGTTACAGTTGTGGGAGGCTGATGCGGTTGGTAGGGGCCTCGTCAGGAACGGAAGTAACAGCGGGAACGGGGAATTGTTACATTGCACGAACGACTGAAGACGCATTGGCCCCTGTCCAGGGGCTATGCGTGCAGCATGAGGGAGTGCATTGTGAGAACCTTTGATGAGGCAACCGTACTGCTGCGCCAGTTGCCTCTATGTAGTGGGTGCACTTGTGCGATCAATGCGAAGAAGAAGTTTCTGCCGCTTCCAGGAAGAGTACTGGCAAACGGAAAGGGACGGGAGAGGTTGGTATAGTCCATGCGATCAAGTAAGGTGTGAGAGATGAGAGAACAAAATCCACCGTGTACGTGCAGATGCACATCGGCGGATTGAACAAAGAGCCCATGAAGGAGAAATTGACGTGTTACATAAATGAAACATCTCGCACTGCGAAAGAAAAGGGGCAAGGGGATTTAGGAAAGACGAAGAGTTATCTGTCGATCCAGGCCGCATCTTTCATGCACAGCGGCAGAGAATGACACGGACACAGGAACAGTATGGCCCAGTAGAAAGGATGATGAACAGGGTTTGACCGATTTCAAACCCGCCGCTTAGGGAGAGTTTCGCAGGCAGTACAAGAAAAACACATTGAAGCCGATGCGGCAGGGAGATGCTATGAGTTCAGATGAAGACAGGATGACAATGCGGGACTTACACATGACATAGTTGTCGGGGAACAATCAAACGGTCGTCGCCCACGAGAGCCTTGCCTGTGGCGATGACTCGCTTCTCGCCATTGGCCGTCAATGGGATATCGGTACGGCCCGTGTGTCGGCCGTTGAGTGACCACTCAGTCTCGCCATGGCGGACGATGAAGACGCGGGGAGCAGCCATGATGTTGTTGCAGAGGCAAAGCGAGCTGTTTTTGGTCCCGAGCGACTCGTAGGTTGCCTAGAGCGAAAGGGAGAGAAACGGAACAGTTGGAAACTCGCGAAGCTGGCAAAGTCCAAGAAGCAATCAAAGTCAAAGAGGGAGACTTCAATTGACCATGAATATTCGACAGTCTTTGCCCGGCGATCAAAGATGCGACTTGCTCTTCTAACGGCAAGTGAGGTGCCATCGGCAGCAGCTTAGCGGGTTGCCGGAGGGGTTCCGTTTAGCGGGTTTCGGTGATGTCAGGAAGCTCATGGAAGCATGGGGCGCGAGCTGCGTTTGCGTCAGCACCAAAAACGAGACGGCTTTGCTCTATCCGGCTACTGCTACTACGCACCTATCGAGCCACCGATCCATTACTCAGTACAGTAATACTAGCAGCACGTTTCGCTTTCTGCATCGTGGTTGTGAATCGCGAGGCGACGAGGAGAAACGCGTTGAGAGGGTATGTGGGAAAAGAGAGTGGGAAGAGAGAAAGGGAAAAGAAGACAGAATTGGATTCTGTTTATGTGCCAATAGCATAAAGGCGGACAGCGCAGAAGCAACGGCAGAATTCAAGTGGAAGGAGCACCTTCAGTAGGTTTATAGCTGTGACTCTGTGCAAGAGTAACGCCTGAGCCTCATGTGGCTGGGCAAAAAGCCACTGTCTCAACATGACGGCCATGTCTCTTATGTATCTTTGTTTCCGTAAACTTCAACCTTCTCAGGTAACGCTTCCTAAGCTTCCAATCTCTCATCTCCTTCTAAGGTCTCCAACCTGAGATCCTGCTTCTGCGTCCTGCTCCTCTTTTTGTTCGTGATCTTGTTCAGAGATGATCTCAATGGCAGCATGTTTCAACGCTCAGCCTCGTCATCCTCGGCCCTGCCCCGCTTCTTACTAAGTCTTTCAGCCTCCTCCGCTCCATCACAGCAGCAGCTTCACAACGGCCCCGCCAATCACGCCGACGCATGCTCGCGCATCGTTCCCGCATCGCCGCCCGACTCTGCCTGCCAGAGCCCTAGCCAAGACATCGAGCTCGTGACCATCCATCCCTGGGACCATACTTCGGCTGCAGCTCCTCGTGTCGCCAAGCATAACCGGGCGTCGCTATCTCTGCCCGCCGTATCGCCGTCCGCCCTGCCGGAGAGGAGAAAATCTGCTTTCTCGGGAGACAAGGACCTCGGCCTGACGAGCGGCGGCAGCTCGGCCAGCCTGGTATTCAGGCGTATTCGACGGCTGATTCGTTGGACAGGGGGATGACCCCGGTTGAGCGCCAGAACGAAGCCAATCAGATCTGGAGAGGCTGCTGGTGACATCGTGAATATTCCTGGCAACACACGGCGCCACATTTACACCACAGAGTGTCTTGAGGATTATATCAGGCTGAGAGACGAGGACAAGAACATACGATGGCATCGCCTGATGCTCTGACAAGGCAGCAGAAAATCAGGGGCGGCGTCTGGGCCATAGCCTTTGCCGCCGTGATTATGGTTGGAACCCTGACGGGGGCACAGCTCAAGTCGGACAAGCAGAAAGAGCAGGTCAGTGGAGTCTCCAGCCGTGTGCTCTTCGCCGTTTCTCTCCTGTTCGATCACATATCCTCTCTTGCCTCTCCAGCTTAACCTCACACAAAACCTACACTTTACTAACCTGCCTCGTAGGCCATCAAGGAGTTCCGCCAGGTTACCCCTTCAGAGCAGATCGCCATGCTCCAGAAGCAGCGATCTATCCTTGTCGACCAAAGGGCAGCTCTTCAGAAGAAACTGGACGTGTTCAAGGAGCGTGTCCGGGAGAGGCATCAACCGCAGGAACCCTCCCAGAAATCGTAGGGCGCTTCGTGTGTCTCGAAGTATCAAGCAGAATGCAGGAGAGGAGGGGACGTTTGCCCTCTTACGCTGAGCTATCAGGAGAGGAAGGAGAGAAGACTGGCAAACTTTTCTCGGTTACTGGGCTACTATTGGAGCTCTTTTAAGTTGCAATATCACTCGGATGAACGGCCTGTTGCTGTTGTGGATTATTCACTGGCGCAGTCTTGGTTGATGGAATCTATTCGAGACGACGGACTGGTTTTGGAAAATTAAAATCAAGATACCCATATAGAACTGTACTCGAAAAGTGATTTCTCTATTTCATTTCCCCTCAGCTGTGCATTTGATTTCTCTGTCCCGGCTTTGTTGAGCATTCTGTTCTATACATTATGGCATGCCCTTTTATGATTGGTATCGGACCAAAAGCAACAGCTTCAACACCGGAGTGACAAGACCCAACCCACCGCCCAATACCTTGATATGCAAACGCCCTATTCCGAACATCCCTAGTAGTATCGTCTTCCGGGTGCTAGACGTGAAGGGAGTGCAGTCTGCCGAGTGCCTGGGCGACTTAGTCTTCGATGCCCTCGGAGCTTGGCAGAGGAATCGCCTTGTACAGTAGGATCAACGCTGAGTGGGACTCGCCACCGCCGGCCAAGGCCTCGACCTTGTCGACGGTCACCTCAGTTACTTTGTCGTCATTGAACCACCACCAGTTACCATCTTCCTTTTCCTTCTTGCCCGTTTTGGGATCCACAGCTGCCGTCTTCTTCACGTATGCCGTGTAATGACCGCTATCCGCGCTGGCGCCCTGATGGGTGACGACGCCGCGGAGCTCGTAGAGGCCTGACTGGTTCGCACCATCGTCATCACGCAGAGAAGGATCTATCAGGGCGTTGAGCTCCTTCTTGGCGGACAGAAGAGCGGCTTCGCTCTCCGCCTCCACCTGAGCATCTGTCTTGTAGGTCTCGCCCATGACGGTATCACCGTCACCTGCCTGCTGCGACTTGCTGGTCTCGCCCTGCCTCTCCTTCTTCTCCTTCTCCTTCTTCTCCTTTTCCTTCAACTCCTTTTCCGAAGGCAGGCCAGAGCCACCGGCAACATCACTCATATCCTTGTCGTGCGTCTTCTTCCGGCGTTTGCGGGCACGCTCAATGTCCTCTTCATCCTTGCGAACCTCACGGACCTTGTCGCGGACTGGTATCAGAGCCGACTTCAGCTCGTCTGAGCAGAACTCAACAATATCCAGCTCTTGAGGAAACGTGACCTTGCGCATGATCTTGGCCTTCTTCTTGGTTTCCTTCTTCCAGAAAAAGCGTACAAAGTGGATGGTGAGGTACTTGGGAGCTCGGGATATCTTGGATGTCCTGGTATAAGTGGCGTCACGGCCAAGCACCTCTGACCTCTTCTCCAGCTTCTCGCTTAGGGCGGCCAGGAGGCCATCTCTCAGGTGGTTTGTCTGACTGTCAATATGGCAGTCAAGCTTGTAGAAGGTATCTCTCGAGACAATGGGCTGTTCGCCACCATTCCGGGCTTCCTCTTCATCACACTCGAGGACGGAGGTGAACTGCCCTGCCATGTACTTGTCGACGAAAGAAACACCGGGCGCATCGGGGGACGTCTTGATCGTGACCTTCTGGCCCAGCTGTTGAACGATCTGAGACCATGCCTCTTCGGCATCTTGCTGGGCATATCCAGGGCCGCTCTTGGACTTTTCAGCAAACTGAGGGAATACGAGCCTCAGCGCCGACAGGAAGCTCATGGGAGGGATGGACTCTTGCGTAGAACCCATGGTCTTGTATAAGGCGGAGAGCTGGGCAGCCAAGTCGGCCCGCGCCGTGCCCGTCGTTGGGTTGTATGTGGTCAACGCGGTCTGGAGTTCGGGGATGGAACGAAGCGTCTGCAGAGTCGAGTTCAGATAGCAGGTGTTTCCGAGATTGACAAGGCCGGCGGGGATGGCGCCGACCTGCTGGGCCTGCTCGGCCTCGGTCATGTCCTCGACAAACTTGATCTTCTCCGCTGGACGGACCAGATCGCCGGCGCTCCCTCCTGGGCTGCCCATCATCATGATGTTCTGACCGGCCTTGAGGCCCAGCTTGCCCATGTTGGCGTCATCTTTGAGCTGGCCACCCTTGATGAGGATCTTCTGGCGTTCGGGTTCGACGTTGGTAAGGCTGAAGAGCTGGAGCTTGAAGTCCAGGCCTGTGGATTCGGGATCGACCTCTACTTCATATTTCTTGCCCTGATGCTTCACGACAACTGAAAATCCAATACTCGCGTTAGTTAAAGCATACATATTCGAAAGACCCGAGTAGAAGATGCTTTCTGTAATCAAGAAGGCACCGGGGGGCAGCAAACGCGAGGTGGCGGTAGTGGGGGGTCACAAACCAGGTACGGAAGCCATCGTTGCAAGGTTCGCTTGAGGAGCAGCAGGGAGGACGCCAAAGGGACGGGTCCTTTTCTAAGCAAAGTTTTGGTGAAAAAAGGAAATCGTAGTTCTTTGATGTTGCCACAGCAGAAGGAAATGAAGTGCCCGAGGCTGAGATGCCAGACACGGAGAGATGCTAGAAGGGAAGAGAAGCATTGCGGAGCCTCGCTGGCGTCACGGCAGTGGTACCTGATGGCGGGCAGGTGTGGCGCATGTGCGTGGCAGTTCCTGTCGATGCTCCAGGGTCTCCGGCATATTATATAATCAGGCACGTGAGGCCTGTCTCGCGACATGTGGCGCAAGCTCCCGGCTGGACTGTGCTTACCTCATCAACCTATGCTAACAGCCTCACAAGCTGCCTGATGTGTTCAGTGCTGTAGCAGGAGCAATCAGGCCAAGCAGCGCCTGAAGATTAGCAGAGCTTGCCCCACCTTTCCGCCTGCTACAGACGTCAACCTCCTGTTAGTGACATGCGGATCCGAACCCCGCGGATTTCCCCTACCAGTCCACGTAACGAAAGTACTGCACCACTACCTTGCTTCGCACCGTCCCGAACCTCGAACCCCAAAGCTCCGGACTCCGACACGGACTGCGAATAGCTTCCTGCGACACATTGGCCCAGCCCAGGGCACGCAGCAGCTTCAGCAGCCATGGTACAAACAACCCCTCCCAGCCGCTGCCTCCCTCCTCGACACCCTCATGCGGCCATTCCCCCCCTGAAGCTGGCGACCTGACCGCCGCTGACATGCTGTGCCCTCCAGTCTCAATCATTGCGGCCGTACCTCCAATGCGTGCGAAGCAGCCTGACTGCCGCCTTGACGCTGTCCAACTTTGCCTCCCAGACCACCGAGCGGCACAACGTGCCCGAGATTGAAGCCCAGACCTCTCCCGAGGTCCTCCTGACGCCCCTCGTCATCGCGCGTAACGAGAACGAGCGGGTGCTGATCGAGCCCAGCATCAACTCGGTCCGCATCAGCATCAAGATCAAGCAGGCCGACGAGATCGAATCCATCCTCGTGCACAAGTTTGCTCGTTTCCTGACCCAGAGAGCCGAGGCCTTCTTCATCCTGCGAAGAAAACCGATTCCCGTACGTGATACCAGCCCATCCGAGCTTCCCACGGCTGGAGGCGGCGTGGAAACTCGGTTTTGGCGACACGGAACCTGTTCTAACGCGTTAATCGAAAATAGGGCTATGATATTTCCTTTTTGATAACGAACTTCCACACGGAGGAGATGTTGAAGCATAAGCTGGTCGACTTTATCATCGAGTTCCAGGAGGAGGTTGACAAAGAGATCTCTGAGATGAAGCTCTTCGTACGTGGCCCACCCAGTCTTAGATCGCCTGGTCCCCGGCGTGTTAAGATTGATCGATTTGTATTATATACTGACCTTGGCCTTTTGTGTCTACAGCTCAATGCCAGAGCACGATTCGTTGCCGAGTCATTCCTGACACCTGTGAGTATACCACCCGTGGCATCCCGACCCGCCTTCTATTTGCACCAGCTGACACTCTCTAGTTTGATTAATGTGGCGATCAATTTTGTATTACTGAGGTGGAATGTTCCATGTTAGCCCCAAAGCGAATCTTAGTGCTCACATCTCAAGTCGGCCATCTTTCCATGTGAGATTCGAGTGAGATTCTGATGTTTCGGGAACATGTCGGCCTCTCTGCATGTGGCGATGAGGGTGACGAGGGAAGTGTGATAGTCTATATAAACAACTTATAAACCTAGTCGTTACTGACAATATCGCTCGCTCTAAATTCCCCGTCAAGGTCACCTCACTCCTGTCCCCCTTAGCTTTCACCCAATGATACAGCCCACACCATCAGACTTCGTCCGTTTGGCAGGTAATCGTAGCATGATCAAGTGGCCGTATAACTGCCGCAACTGACTTGGGGCGATACTCAAATGACTCGTCGTGGTTGGTCTATAGGTTGTCCATGTGGGCCAAGAGGTTACGATGATAACTGGTAGCATCGTCGGGTCTAAGAAGACCCAAAACTGCGATGCTGCGAACTCGGTATATCTTCACTTCCATACCTACTGATGGAAAAGAGACTCATGGCCCGCTTCTCCCTCCGCTGAAAAACTGCTACCCCTGGCTCTTGACAGCTGCCTCGAACCGGCATCTTCGCCGCCTGGAGCCTCTGGAGGCCTGACAAGCTGGTTGCCAGTCCGGCAACGCTCGGCCTGCCAGCTTCAGCTTCAACACCTGGCAGTGCGCGCAAACAACAGCTGCAATCCAGGCACCATTGCTGAGGCCACCCCACTCACGCACTGTTCAGAGGAAAATGACCACAAAATTCCCAAACACCCTCCTCTTCTCTCGCTTCTCTCTTTTCTCACTCTCTCCTTACCACTTCCTCACCACCACATCTTGCTCTACGAAGGACCTCACCAAGCACCCCTCAAATCGAACTGTCGCGCGAGTAGAAGGTATGCTACGTCTCTGTGTCTTGATTTCTTGTATTTTGGTGACGCGGAATACTCTCTTCCTTCCGAGAAAGAGGCAGCTGTTTCAACATCTGTTGGTTTACGGGCTCACTTCGCCTTCGTCAACTTGGCGATTATGCTCTCGTGCTCACCAGTCATCCTCATCGCACACTGCTCTTCACATCTCATGTGCTGCGAACCTTCTGCCCAAACTGCTTCCATTCAGTCACACAACTTACTGGGGCCTCGCTAATCTTCCGGTAGTTCGACGTCGCCGACATGGCTTCAAGTCGCGCAAGAGATATTCGCGGCATGAGCTTTGGCGAAGCACCCTTCATCGAACCTGTTTTGGAGACGACGCACACGTCGGCTTTTGCAGATGGAGAGGCTCTTCAACTGGTCTCCGACGCTTCTACTGGCCGCAACTCGTCTAACAGCACTCGAAATACAAGCTGCGGTGACAATACCGAGCCGAACCATCAAGATGCCGTTCAGCGCAGCTCGTTCAACCCATCTGCCCGTATTTGGGTCCCTCCCTCAATGAAGCAGGTGAGTAAAGATCTCAGAGTTACCATACACTTTCCCTTTCCATTCCAGTTTCTCTCTGTTACCCTTTGTTCTGCTTTGGCTTGATGAAGGCTTGCTAATCTACAAGTAGCTGAATGGACGAGAGGATAACGCTGCCCCTCTTGTGGTTGGATACCCCCCTAGCTACCGCGTTGCAAACTCGCATCAGAAGCACAACCAGGATCAGGTCCAAAGCCTTACTCCAAACCAAGGTCAAGGGCTGGCTGAGAACCAGCATCAAAATCGATTTGACCTCGTTTCGTTTGCCCTGGCTCACACCCGAGGCCATAGCCAGGACGCACATGCGGGCATGCCTTAGGAAGGCGCCCCAGATAACGGCGGCCTCGGCGAAGCCCAGCCATCGGTGCAATATCAGTATGACGGCTTCGAGCCTGTGGCGACAGAAGGCCCTGATGTTCAGTATCCGAGTCTCTTCCAAGCCCAGACTCCTCCCGGTCGCTCGACTGCTGGCATCCATCAGCAGGCAGAGAGTGGCCCTCGCACCAGCCTTCAGCGAATGGCCGACCCCAATCCTGAGCAGCATGGTCGTTCATCCTTGATCCCACACAGCCAGTCTCTCAACTCTCTCCGCCCCGGCGAAGAGGTTGCCAGTCCTTCCGAGGTCACTACTCCTCATCGCCGCTCTGGTGCTCCCATCCGTGGCTATTTCAGTCCGGGCATGACGACAGTCGCCAGCGAGCCTCGCAACTATGCTCCGCGAACTGCTGGTCTACCCGCCTCGATCAATCCCATCATGATGCAGCCACCTCCGAGATTTGACCTCGGGCTTGCGGCAACCCCTAACCAGGAGATTGATCGCGACGCTTGTATTGTGAGGCAGATTGTCAGGCCTTTTGGTGTGCGACTCAGCGAAACCACTGAGCTCTCTGAAATCCCGCTTGATTTCACCGTCAACGCTCCAGTGATGCCGGCACCACGCTCCCACAAGCTTCTACAGCTGACCAACACCATCACCGGGCTTCCAACCTTGGCCGACGCCATGGATCCGTCCAACTTTCCCTTTGTCGAAGCAGCCAGACTGGCGAAGCCCATGAATTGGGGCATTATCAAGCTAAAAAACGTACGTGGTCACCATTGTCTTTGGGGTTTTTCAGAAACTCTTCCCACGCATTGACTCCGCTAACGCCGCGATCCAGATTCCGTTCTCGACCACCCGTGCCGAGGTGATTGCCTTCCTCGGGCGCAACTCCAAGGTCTTGAACGATACAGACGAAGGAGTGCACATCATCATGGACAAAGTGACGAGCAAGACTATGGATGCCTATGTCGAGTTTGTATCTCTTGAAGATGCCATGAAGGCGGTTGAGAGACACCGAACAAACATCGTCGCTGGCAGATTCAGCCGCCTTGGAGACCGTCCTATCGAGGTGGAGGTGACTTCTCAGGCCAACCTCATGAAAGATCTCTTCCCGATTGCTCGCGGCGTCTTCTGGAATGGCGTAACTCCCGAGATTCTGCCTTTCGATCCCAGCCAGCCCTGGGACAACTTCAAGGGTTTCGTCTCCGAGGAGGAGATGATTATGCTTGTCAAACACGTCGAGGTACCTCATCGAGTACGTTTTTTACCGCCCCCAACAATATCCTCTCCCCTCCCCCGTTGCTCTTCTCTATTCCTCTCTTGTCTTGAAAGGTCCTTCTTTGCGACTGTCTCGTGCTGACGACTACGTGAATCAAGTCTCCTTTCTCCAGGGACTGCCCGCAGCGCCCATATGAATGCTTGATCAGCACCATCAAGAAGTTTCCGTGGTTCCGCACCAACTGCGTGACAATCAAAGAACGAGAGGCGATGTACCAGGCTACCACTGCGCTTATTCGCCAACTCACTCGCAGCATTCTTCTCCAGGAAGACGCCGCGCACTTGACTCCATTCCTACTCCGGCGTCTTGTCCAAGCGGCCATGCTCTGCCCAGGCTTCACGCCGTGCATGAAGGATGGCATTGCTTGGATCACCAACATGCAGGCGCTTGATCAGGAGTATTATCAGCTGCCACGTTTCGCTGACCGCTGGCGCCACCAGTATGCTATCGGCCCAAAGCCTGGATTCCCTCAGGACGTTGTCGAGGTATGTTTGACATATTTCCAACGGACTTGGACCTTGACCAGTTTTTTAGCAGCAAACTAACACTCGTGTGCGTGTCTCTTTTCGTAGTGGTATGTGACGATTATTCGTGAGCAATCTCAGAAGGACATTCTTGCCCTGCCCTTTCGAGAGCGTGCCGAGCTCCAAGAGCGTGCCGACCAGACAGACATGTACTGGGGCTACTTTTGGGCTGAAGTTGGATACGGCCTCGGACCGCAGTTCGACGACATGAGCTTAGCGCAAGCCGCTCACATGGAGTTCTCGGCTGTGGAGCGTATCCTCACGCGTGCCCTTACCCAAGCTTAACGCTGCGTGGTTGTGCCGAAGAAACAAGAAAGTCTCCATGGGTCAGCATCCGGCGTTTGATTCTCTTGTGTGGGTGGAAGTGGGTTGAAACAAAAACAGCATGGTCAAGTTTGGAGGCATTTCTCTCCTTCTGATTCCGGTATTCGGTACTCTGTCTTTTGACCTTTTTCGATGGTCTTCGTTGAGCCTTGAATCAGGCAAGGGAGCCTCTGCCGCGGTGCAATCTGGGTGAGCAGGAGTACACATAAGACGGACACGGGGCACATCTTTTCTATTCCTTTTCTCTTCTTTGCCTTCGCATCTTGTTCTTTCATACCCGCAGTGAATGACTGGTGGCGAGATGAACGATTCATTGGTAGCCCGGAGTCGAAATCATGCATTTGCTTGCTGCTGGCTGGGGAGTTCAGTTGTCGGCTGGATGAGGAGCGTGGTGAATGACGTCCAGGACTTGCAAATGGGGATAATGATTGCTTTCATCTCGAGTCGGGAACTGCGAAGCTGGGCGGCCGTCAGGCGAAATGGGAACACAGGGATCAGATAGTCCACAGTCAGGAATGCGAATGACATTTGGTAAACCGGGCGCTATGTGGACCAAAGAGCAGCGGAAAAGTTTGTGCGTGTAAGCGAAGGACATGATGATGTTCGATGTTCAAGGTGAGGGAAAAAGGAGATAAATTGGCGACAAATGTTCGAAATTGGTCACCGAACAGCATCAGTCACCTGAACTACCGAGCTGCTATCTGAGGGTGGCGGCAGGTGCAGAGGCCTCATCATTGGCTCTGTTCCTATACCAGTACTAATACTCCTCTAACCGGGCAATGACCTTTGCTTCCCTCCTTCTCGATCTGCGCGTGGCATGATGCAGACCAACTTAGACGTCGTAACCGAAGCAAGAGTAAGGTAGTTCCTTCCTCGTGTTCGGGCACGTTCGGGGTACTTGCCTTCATATCAAAACCGGCACGATTTCGGGAGATGTTTATCCGCTCGAAGTACCTTCAGATTCACAGCTCTGAGATTGAGCAATGCATGGCGGCCATATGGCGCCCGAAGATGAAATGAAAAGAACTGGAACCAATCATTTCATTCAGCAGCAAGGGCTTCTAAAGCTATCAGGTACCCGGCCGGATATTGTTCACTGGCGCTATCGTGAGTGTCTTACCCATCTAATCTTAGAGCGTCTCCCTGGTAATCCGCACATGAGCAGACAGCTTGAGAACCTGTCTGGTTTGCGTTAGTGTCGCTGGGGCGATTGACCGGTTAGCTGTACGAAATCACGGAGCTTGTCCCGCGCAGCACGGGGAAGCCTCTAGAAGATGCAACTTATTAACCTGTCTGTAGGGAAAGTCTTCGTACAGCAACAACACAGAAGGGCGCCTTTCTTATGCAGACTTGGGTAGTATGTACAGGCAAGTACAAGGTGCGCGTGGATTCGTTTAACTTGAAATTGCCATCCCGGATCAACTCCAAAAATAAACATGCTGTAAATAACCATCGATCCGCGAAGACGCACCATTTCCAGGCCTCATCAGAAGGAAGCGCCTCCTTTATGCCCCAATTCCCATCGTCTCCTATCAGAGTAGATCTTACCAGCTCGAGGTACTACTAGTACTCGTAGTATCCAGTGCCTTCAAATTCCCGAGTCTTCTTTTTAACCGCCTTTACCTACCCTTGAGCTTCCGTCTAGCACTTGTTGTCTACTACTGAGCGCATTGTCAGCTGCTTTATCGTCTCACAGCAGCCTCGGAATTTTTGCAAATCCGTCCAGCCTTTCTGTACCACTCCGTTGCTCCTGTCCACTTGAGCTACCAAACTGTTTGACAGCAGTAGCCGCACCCTCAGCGAGCTTCCATAACTTTTTTTTTTCTCCCTCTTTGTTCTGCTTCCACCTCCGCGATAACAACTCTCCCTTTCCCGCTCCTCAATCAATCGTTTCGCCTTCTGCTGCTTCACCTTGAGCAGTCAACCAGCAAACTCTCCCACTCTTCGATCTGATCACCCGATCAATTCAGTCGCCGCCATGCCTGAAGAAAACGTGCCCGCCGCCGTCCCTGAGAAGGCTGAGGCGCCGGCTTCGACGCCAGACACGCCACTGGGCAAATTCACGGCGCGTCTTGCCGACATCATCAAGCAGTCGGGCCACGGCGAGATGTGGGGTGTCGAGCTGTCGAGCGATGCCAGCCATGCCCCAACCCAGGTCGTTCTCCAGAAGTTCCTGCGCGCCAACAATGGCGACCTGGCCGGTGCCGAGAAGCAACTTGCTGCTGCGCTGGCCTGGCGACGTGAGTGGCAGCCAACGAAGCTCGTCAGCCAGGCCTTCAACAAGGACAAGTTCAGCAGTCTCGGTTTCGTGACGAACCACAAGGACGATGCCGGCAACAACACCGTCATCACCTGGAACATTTACGGCGCTGTCAAGGACAACAAGGCTACCTTTGGCGACGTTTCTGAGTAAGTTTCCCCTTGTCAAAGAGCTTCATACACATTACCGGAGCATGGGCCTCTCTAACCCGGCTGGACGCCTGTAGGTTCATCAAGTGGCGTACTGCTCTCATGGAGCTGGGCGTGCAGCAACTTCATCTCAACGACATCAAGGAGCCTCTCCCAGAAGACGGCACCGACAAGCATCAGATGCTGCAGGTGCACGACTACCGGTCAGTCAGCTTTTTCCGCATGGATCCGGCTGTCAAGGCCGCAAGCAAGGAGACCATCTCCGTCTTCTCAACGGCCTACCCAGAGCTGCTCGCGCACAAGTACTTTGTCAATGTCCCTGCCATTATGGGCTGGATGTTTGGCGCCATGAAGCTCTTCCTTGCGCCGGCTACTTTGAAGAAATTCCACCCCATGGCATCCGGCGCCTCGCTGGCCACCGAGCTCAAGAGCATCGCCTCTTCCTTGCCTCAGGAATATGGAGGCAGCGGCGCTCCCGTCCAGCAGGGACTGACGGTAAAGCTCGCTGACGCCACCGAGACAGCAAAGGAGGAGTCCACGGCAGAGCCCGAGCCGGAGGCCGCTCCCGCCGCAGCTGCTGCACCTGCTCCAGCTCCAGCTCCTGCCTCCGAAGAAGCAGGTGAAACTGTGGTTGCTGCACCTCAGACAGTGGTACTTCCCGTGAGGCCCAAGGAGGCGGAGGAGACCCCGGCAGAGGCCAAGACAGACGATGCTCCTGCCGCTGTCGAGCCAGAAGTCAAGGCTGCGGAAAAGACGGCAGCAGAGGAAGAGACTAAGCCGAAAGCCGAGACCGAGGAGGAAAAGACAGAGGAGACTCCCGCCACTGCTGATATTGCACCAAAGGAGTCTGAGGCTGCGCCCAAGGACACAGAGGCCGTAGAGACCGCACAGCCGGAGAAGACGGCTTAGGGCGGTTCTCGGTGTTGTTCCTCGTGGGATCGTAAGTCTGATCCAATGTGAACCGCTGGGGAACGGAGCTCTCCATTTTGTTTGTTTTTGTTCTGTTGCTGCTGCGCCGTTGTTTTTGTTGTGTTTTTTTTGCCTTTGATGCCGTCTTTATGAGCGCAGGGCTTCGGTTTGCCCTGCCACGCTCCACTCATACCCATAATACCCTACATCATGCCCGAGAAGCTGTGCATTAGATTCCCCTTTAGATGTTTGTTCTTTTTTTGCGATCAATAGATGGACCATCTATTATTAGTCCAGAATCGACTTGTTTTGAGAGACCCACGCAAGGTGTTTGCTTTGTTGGACGCGTTCTGTGTTAAGAACTGTTTAGATGCCAGGCCTTCGGTACATACGGTACCTGGATCATGTCGGTAGATCAATACCACAATGCTCTGGTCTCGTTACGACGACGGCCACAGCTCAGCTCCTTTGCCTAAGTACTAACCTATCACGTCCATCCCCAACTGAGAGGGCCGGCATGAGTAGCCTAGAATCCGTCTTTGACTGAACTACCTGCGCAGTGGACTCTATCTAGTAGATGGAGAGTGAAAATGTAGACGGCTCTCCGTCTGCAGCGAGTTCTTTGATGATATGAGGGTACGGGCATCCCTTGTCTTGCCGGCATCATTTCTTCCTCCCGCTGCAGCTTCAGGGTGCAACCTATCAAGGCATCTGCTCCGCATCTAGCGATTCCTGAGGCTAGTTTCCACCATCGTCATCAAGAAGCTTGGCTTCGTTTAGTATCTTCCTTGTGCATAGGCTCCCTTGTCGGCCAAAAATGACCGAAACGGGGGCCTCCTTGACATGTGAGTTTAAAGCATAAGTGAGTTAAGAGTCAATGACACTTCAGTTACTTTTTTTGTTTTCGGTACCAAAGCAGAGATTATGCCCGCAAAGGATTGTTCATCCTTTCTCAGTGATATAGATAGAGACATGGAGTCGTTCTCACCGCAACGCCATTATTATCTCACCACGAACTGGGGTCATGGGAGGAAGAGATACAGGCCAAACTGTACCTAGACAAGCCTCAATTTTGTAAGGGCTAATATAAGGATCTTAAAAGAGTAGTATGCCTCGATCTGGACATTTATTCCCATCCTAATCTGAGTATCGCGAGTGAGCCAGAGCCGCGGCAGTTGCAGTGGCACGAAGAAGTTTCCCAACTGAGCAGAGAGAGAAGGATGGGTAGGACGTGGCTCATGCCAGGCTGGTAATACTTCAGTTCTCGGAAGGAGGTGAGCCGCGATGGAATCTTGAATGTATGTGTATCAGGAGACTGTGTGCTGTATTGGTGGCTTTGGCGTGAATAGTCGTACTGGACGACGGACTCCTCGAGGCAAGAGCGTAGAGGACATCCTTGGGATATGTAGCGCTGGGCAAGAGAAGATATGGATATTTTACATTTTCGAAGCAGTCTAGCTGGAGACGGTAGTGACGTTGTAAGATGAATGGGCGGCATTGGGAGGATGCTATGAAGATGAAGCAAGGTACAGCTTGCGGGCATCACCAAAGACTCACCTCCAGCACTGAGAGCTCGCGGCTGGGGCTGAGGCATATGTCACAGAATCAACATCTGAGCATTTGTCTTGTTTGTCCTCTTGTTTTCTAGTGGCCTTGAGCATGGCAAATAGCCGAAAGACGGCAGCGCATATAAGAACGGTAGGCAATATACGGTATGCTGGCCGGCGCATCAGCAAGCAGGACGCGAGGCCCTTTGGCGACTGGAACAAGCAGGGAGAGAGACGTATCACGGGCTATCACGAGTGCGGAGTAAGACAAGACAAGACAAGGCCAGGCCAGGCCCGGGGCCTTCCCGTCGACGGGCAAGGGAGGATCCGGGGAGAGATTGGCGACGGGAAGCCCATCCTCCTGTTCACGTTGGTTTTGGGCTCACAATTTCTGGCGCAACAACTCTGATTTAGCTCGGGCGCCTCACTCTCGCCTCAGCCGCTGGTCACCGTTCTTTGTGCTATTCTTGCGCCTCTTTCACCTTAACTTTTTGTCTTCCCCCCTCCACCCAGGCGTCGTCGGTATCCTTTCCCCTCTTTGCTCCGTAATAGTGACTCTGAAATTGTCAACCCTCTCCTGGCATACCTAGCTCCCTCAATAACTTCTGGGCGGCTAGATACACTCACGCAACCAGCCCGGGATATACGCAACTTGGTCGCAGTAGAGGAGACACGCAACCCAGGGCCAAGTCGACAAACGGGATTTTTATTTATTTTTTCCAAAGCCTTGCGGTGTGACTGCGAGAGTACGCGAGAACCGGTGAAAAGTACGAACTAGAAGAGAAGAACCCTCGAACACACAAAGAGGCAGAGAAGATCGAACAACGAAGCCCAGGCAGCAACAAAGTCATACACATACACTCTTCAGCTTCTTCACTTTGACAGCCTCAGTCGGCCTTCTGTTTCTCACTTAGCGCCACCCTCATCTCTATCGGGTCGGATCCTCCTCCGCCTTTTGCCCCCTTCTCACTGCTCGGCCGTATTACGCTCGACTTCATCCCGGATCGTCTCTTGTCTCGGTGCCTATCGACCCTCAGTTGTGGCTCCCCGTCACCACCCCTGACTGTCAAGCCCGGCAAAAAAACAGGCCTTGTCTTGGCTATTTGATCAAGGTAGGAAAAAAAAAGGCGGGTTAGCCATTAAGTGGCCTCGCTGCTCACCTCGCCTATCAGATCGAGGAGACTCGGTCCCTGGTCTGTCCACGGGCAAAGAAAAGGGTCTGGCCTGGTGCCATTACGGAGCACAAAAGCACGCATATCAATACCGCATACCTGACCATCACGACATCCCGATATCCCGTTCTGACATATTACCACCCAACCTACCTTCTCACCTGCTGCTAAGGTACAAGGCAGTAGTTCCTACACACGAGGACACCCACACACACATACACACACGCCTCGCCTTCACTCGCCGCTCACATTCACCCTCGTCCGGAGCACGCGGAGGATACGTGCACACACAACACAAGGTACGAGCGCACATGCCCCAGAGCATCCCGTCCTTGCACCAACGTCGAACATCACCTTATATAAGGCGCGTTGTCTCTAACAGGACTGAGTTACAGACCGCATACCGACCATTCCACAACATCAAACACCTTACCAGCAACGTGGTTTGGCCCTGACTCGAGTCAAACCCGAGATCACAGAAAAAAAAAGATAGAGGCGCTGCTTTGGCTATTTGCCGAGCTTGTCTCTTCTTAGTAGGGGGAAGCCCTCCTCCATTTATTCTCTCCTCTTATTTATTCATCCAGCCGAGTCCCGGGGCCGCCCTTTTGCCTTTTCCCTCCTCTTACCCGCCTGCCTTACGGTACTAAGGTAGTAGGCAAATCCGCCTCCAGCTGCTTATCTGTCTCTGCTGGCTACGTTAGTTAGCAGCTCTCACGCGTGCACCCGCGTTTTTTCGACGGGACCGTTAGCAGCCAACCTGCGACCTTCACCTTCTTCTCCCTTGCACTTCTTCTCTTCTCTTTTCTTCTTCCCTTTCCCTTTTCCTCTCCGCTTGGGCTTGGTCTGAGTACAAGCCATTCGCGCAGGCTGAATCCGGCTATTCCTGCTCTTTGATTGGTTTTCTGGCATCTCTTCTTGTTTATTCGGCCGCCTGGTTTGCCTTGTTCCGCTGCTATTATTGCCTACCTTACTATTGTTCCTTGTTTCTCCTGCTCTTGTTGTTGTTTGCTTTGCCTCTGCCGCCACTTCATGTTTGCACCCCGGCTGCCGCTATAAGTCCCGCCGCGCCGAATCGCACCTCGCACACCTCGCAACTCGCGCCTCGCAGCCATGCTGTCGTCTCTGCTCGCTGCTATCGACAGCAGCAGCTCGATTGAAACCGCGACGGACGACTCCTCCAACCTCGCGTCGTCGAGCTCGACGCCCCCGACGACGGTCACCGACACCGACAGCCAACACTCGGACACCTCCAAACACGATGTCATCACCGTGATTGACGACTCGACCGTGGTCGCGATAGCTCCCGCTCTGCCCGCGGCTGACGTGCCCTCGCCTCGCCGTCCCCAGCGCGCGCGGACGAGCCTGCCCGTCTACAACCTGGCCAAGCTCAGCGGCACCAGCGCGCATGGCAAACGCCGGGCCAAGGGGGACATCGTGGCCGACCGCAGGCGCCGGACCATTGCGGGCAGCACGGTCACGCCAGGCGACGCCCCTGCTGATGCGCCGCGCGACGCATCGGCCGCCGCCACCAGCTCGACCATTGACGCGTTGAACCTTCAGGCTTCTCCCGGCAGAAAGAGCACGCCGCGCGCGCAACGCACGTCACGGGCATCACCTCGCTCGCTGCGGTCAACGGCGCGTGTTGCCGCTCCGAATGGCAGCGCGAGTGCCGGCGCGACGCCGGTATCGGCTGTTGCGGCCAAGCTCTCCGTCACCAGCAAGCGCGGGCGCAAGACGGCCGGCGTCGGAGTCGAAAAGGAAGTCCGGTTGACACGCGAGCTGCGACGCCTGCAGGACACAAAGGAGTACAACCACATCGACGACCGCCCCGTCATCCACAGCGTCTGGTCCAATGGCAAGTACGTCGACCCCAGCCAGGCCGCAGAGCCCCAGCCGGCGCGCAAGAAGGCAAGGGTCGAAGAAGAGGCGGAGATCAAGGTCGAGGAGGTATCGGTAGAACCTGTCGCCCAGCCCAAGAAGAGGAGGGTTAAAAAGTACCTTAACAAGGGCCTCTACGCGGGGCAAGAGATGCCGCAAGACATCACGAGAGGGCTGACGGCGGCCGAGAAGAAGCAGCTGGCGCAACTGCCCGAGCTCATGCCACGCAGGGAGAACAAGGTCATGCCCACGCCCATCTTCACGGGCTTCCGGATCTTGTTGACCGGCCGCGATTTCAAGCTGCCGTTCCATGTCTGCAACCCGCTCCCGCCTGGCCAGCCGAAGCCGGACGAGTGGAAGAAGATGACCAAGAGTATGTGCCACGCCACCCGCTATGCCCTTGTCTCTACAGCAAAGAGATTATGCTAACATGCGCGCCCATCTAGACCGGTTTATTGGCGAGTCCAAAGAAGTCTGGAAAAAGATGCCGCACATCCTCGATTATCAGTCCAAGTGTGTGTGCAAGCCAGAGGACGGCTGCGGCGAGTCGTGCCAGAACAGAATCATGCTCTACGAATGCGACGACACGAACTGCAACATTGGCAAGGCCCACTGCACAAACCGCGCCTTCGCCGACCTGACGGCCCGGCGAGCCAGGGGCGGCAAATACCGCGTTGGAGTTGAGGTGATCAAGACGGCGGACCGCGGCTATGGCGTCCGCAGCAACCGCTGCTTCAAGCCTCACCAGATCATCATGGAGTATGCGGGCGAGATCATCACCGAGGAGGAATGCGAACGACGAATGAACGAAGTCTACAAAGATAACGAGGTATGTCCATCTTGTAAAGCGCTACATGTGCCATGTCATGTCACGGGGCTAACGTTGCTTCTCTCCTTGTTCCTCGGCAGTGCTACTACTTAATGAGCTTTGACCAAAACATGATTATTGATGCCACCACGGGCAGTATCGCCCGATTCGTAAACCATAGCTGCAATCCCAACTGCCGAATGATCAAATGGATCGTCTCGGGGCAGCCTAGAATGGCTCTCTTTGCCGGCGACAGGCCCATCATGACCGGCGAGGAGCTCACGTATGACTACAACTTTGACCCCTTTTCGGCCAAGAATGTCCAAAAGTGTCTCTGCGGACAGCCCAACTGCCGAGGCGTGTTGGGGCCCAAGCCAAAGGGGGTCAAGCCACCCAAGGAGACTGTTGAGAGTGCCGCCAAGGGCAAGGTCAAGGGCGGCAAGCGGAAGCTCGGTGAGCTCTCGGGGAACGAGGAGAACGAGGAGCCGGGCACCAAGGCGAAGAAGCCCAAGACGCAGCAGCCCAAGGCGAAACCCATCAGGACTCTCAAGGCCGTCAAGGCATTGAAGCCCATCAAGGCCCTCAAACCTGGCAAGGCCCTGAAACCGGCTCAGAAACAGCTCAAGCCCATTAAGGCCGTTCAGCCTGCAAAGGGCCTACAGCCCGTCAAAACTCTCAAGCCCATCAAGATGGGGAAGACGAAGCTCACGAAGCCCGCCAAGGTCTCCAAGGCCTCCAAGGTCTTACCCTCCAAGAAGGTTGCCCAGTCCAAAAAGGACGCTCAATCCGCAAAAACCGGGAAGAAGACGCACTCCAAAGTCAGCATCAAGCTGGTCAAGAGCTCGGTGAAGCCCAAAGGCCAACACAAGAAGCAGATCAGCTCAACGATCACCGTCAGCGCAGCCACCGAAATCATTGCCGCCGTCTGAGCGAACTCAAGCTGGGAAGGGTGCACGTCCCGGGACGGCAGGATGGGATGCGATTCAGCATGGCTTCTCGAGCAGCCTGTATGTGTGCGTTGCAGACGCTGCGTGCGGCTGCTCTTGTTTACCACAGCCTTTCGCCCCCGTCTCTGTTCGGACAACGCTGAGCGTTCTGCGCCATGGCATACTGAGAGTATGAGACCACCTTTTTGAGTCATTTCTCATTCCATTTCTGGTCAACCTTCTCTCTCTTTTCTTTCTTTCTCGGATTTCAGTTTCCCCTTTGTTGCTTTGGTGTGGGGACAAGGTGCGTGATAGATATTTTCCCCCCTGGTTTCCAATTATGCTTTCCATGTATTATTTCCATCTTCTTTTTCTTTTATTTGGTGATGGATCATCATTTGAGGGCAAAGGAGGGGAACGAGTCGCAAAAAAGGTTTGCTTTTTTTCCAGGTCTTTTGAATTCGCCCGTGTCTTTTGTAGTAACGTTTTGGAGTTGGGGGACGGGCAAACATTCTGTGGTTTAGGCGATAATGAGAGCTGATGATTTTGGGTACTATGCCATCTTTCGACGAGAACGTGACTTGACTCTTGAGTTCAGATGCTCGCTTGAATGTGCATGTCGATGTGGAAAAGCTTCTCTGGGTCTAACGTTTGGAGTTGCCTTAGGCAATGCCCGATGAGTTTCTGCGGTAGAGGCCCACATGGGAGTCGTCCTCACGATTCTATTGACTTGCTCGAGATACATTTTACTCGGACGATCCTTTATGCATCTCGTCTATCTCTGCTGTTCTCGGCCCGTCCCCAACAACTTTCGTCAATTCTCATCGAGTCCCACCCCTGAGAGGTCCAACTTCTCTTCTCTCTTCAGTTGGGAATTTCCACCATTTACGGACACCGTGGACTAAGATTCATCATATTTTTCCAACAGTCACATGGCAAACAATGAAGGATTTCTCTGAATACGAAATTGTACTGAAATAATTAAGGAAAGAATGGCGTAACGAATGGAATATCTACACATCTTGCCCAAACCCTGCCCCAACACGTCGAGCCAACTTTCCCAGTACCGGAATTGGTCCTCTCATCAACACTTTGCGGGCTTTCTCGCGGGCATACTCTGTCCGATGACGGGAAGCTTCTTAAGCACCACCAACGGGGGGCTGGCACAGAAGAGCTTGGCCGGCCTGGAAGCTGGGTGTTAGAGGTGATTTTCCCGTCAAAAGCCAGGAGCTGAAGCTGGGAATGGACTTACAAGAGGGGCAACGCAGCAGAGAGGCTGGGAGCCAGTCTTGGCGCAGACATTGCGGAAGTCGGTGCCGTCGTAAACCGACTGGGAGGCTATTGGTGCGGAAAAGGAGTCAGAAAGGATGACTTTCAAAAGAAAAGGATTGTTTGTTGATGAGGGCTCAACTTACGGACTTTGCAGTCGAGGCCAATGAGGCCGAGGACCTGCGTGGCACAGCACTGGGGGTTGCTGAAGAGGCCCGGGTTGCAAACGGAGCCACTGCCGCTGCGGTCCTCGAGAACCTCGAGAGGCTGGGCGACGGCGGCGGCGGCAAAGAGAGCGGCGATGGCGAAGAACTTCATTTTGAAGAGAGTGAAGAAGTCAAAAAGATTGAGTTGTTCGAAAGAGGGCTGGTTGGGAAGTTGTACTGGAGTTGTTCAGGCTGGGAGTTGGTGCTGATGAAGGAGAAGAAGGAGGCGAGACTGAAGGAGAAGAGATGGTATATTTATACTTCTTTGAGGCTCTACAACACTCCCTCGATCGAACGATGCTCTCTTCCTATGACCACTCCGGGCAGCCATCCTCTTCCTTCCGTTCAACAATTTCAAAACTTGGAAACACAACATGACGGCTGAGGTCCTTGCACATCTCCCTGCCCGCCGTCATCGACGCTTCCAACTCTTTCTTCGGGCACAGTTCAGCTGGCCCGACCACGTCCTGCATGTCCCAATGGTATCACCAGCTGCCCACTTCTCTGCAAGAGTAATAAACCAAGGTGGATATCTAATATCAGGTTGTGTCACGGTGACAGCAGCAGAGACGGGAGACGGTGCTCGTGCCCGGATTGTTCTATCCCGTCCTTTGCTCGGATGCTGAGGAGCTGATGCTGATCAGATACTGGAACGAGATGGTTGAGCTGATGGATCATGTTTCCGTCGAAGTCAGCTCATGTTCGTCTGGAGGCGTGAATCTGTTGTCTCTCTGCTGTACGATGCCAGAATATTGAGGGGAGGTATCGTCACTTGAGCTTCACAAAACCAGTGCCCGAATTCGCCCCCTTTCCCATCCTAGAGTTATGAACTCAACTGGGTGATTGGTCCTATTTTGGGGCTTCATTCTTTCCCGGGTTACACGCTGAGAGAGCTCATATTGAGACTCAAGGCTCATGGGACTGCAATGTATGTCTCGAGGCAGTGCAGGATGTCTCGGTGATCGAGATGAAGGCGCTGAATCTAGATACGGTGGCGAATGGACCAACCGCATCTGGACTCTCGAGGAATTCTTATCCGCCAGCCGCAGTCCCCACCCGGTGAGAAGGATTCATTACATGAGTTGTGACAAGTTACGACTACAGTTGAACAAAATCTGTTGGGTCATGGAGGGTGCGCCATGATCTGGTCTGACGCTGGGCAAAGCCGTCTGTCCAAGGCGTGGGAGAGTGAGCTTGGCAAACCTTGTCTGTGGGATTCAGTCGATGGAGAAGCTCAACGAACTGTTCTCAGCTGAGTTTGATTTCAATTACTCGTCACTTGGGATTATAGGAATTTTGAATTGAAGCCTGAGACAAAGAGAGACTGGCCCATAGAGTCCTAGTATAAGTCTCTTCACAAGTTATCCAAGCGTTGGTGAGGCTTGTGAGAAAGTTGTGAAGCCTCTAACGCAGGTCTGGGCCAATAGGATGACGTACCTTCACAACTGCCGTTGAGGATCAGGAGATTTGCAACTCGGTCTCCCTCTTTCGATACTAGTCGCCCTTGGCAATGACATGGATCTCTGGAGATCCAACCATTCAAAAGCGTGGCTCTCAGTGTAACCACTTACAGCCCATTATGCACGTCGTGCATTCGGTAACTGCATCTTCCGTCTGTGAGTCAAGGGGCGAGAAAGACTTCTTGACGCCCATCAACTATCCTGTACCTGGTGAGCTGATGCCACACAGTAGCCTTCTTGGACGATCTACGGGAAGTTTCCTAGACACAACGTCGGGCGTACCATCTAGAAGTGGTGATTCGGACTTGTCAGGGAACCACTGAGGTGGCACTGGTAAACCCAGATGCTCCTCTTCTCGGGTTATCGCTCCAAGCCACCAGTGAGCAGACAGGGTTGCTCTGCGTTCCCAAGTATAGAGCACATACCTTGTACAGATATGCATGCATGCCCTTTCTGTACCACCTACAGGAGCCACAGCAAGTGGTCTAAGTGTTGGGCCTCGTGTTTGATGGACTCATCACAGCCACGCAGACCAGCGGCTGAGAACGGCCAGCACCATGGCCGCCTTTGCATGCATCGTAATTTGAGAAACAAAGAAAAAACAAGGAAACTTCCTGTCCTGGCGCATCACGGCGGCTACGTCTCGTCCATACCACGTCCCTTTTCATTCAAATTGTGGCTTGTCTGACGGATGGCTTGCCGGCAGATATCCCGGACCCGGACCATACGAGGATGAGAATGGGTGGCAAGCCACAACGCCCATCCCGCAGCTTTCCTGGTAAAAACCAAGGACATTCGGGCGGCCAGGTACGAAAAGTACAGGGCTACTGATAGGCCATTGCCCCATTGAATTAGATTAGACGCGCATGAGATGCAACTGCAAAGTGCCATCCTTGGCATGACGCTGGGACGAGTGCTCCTCTCCGATCGAACAATGGGACTCGCCTCAGCTGCCCCCGTATTGTAAGCTGGAGGCGTTCAGGACAGAGAATCATTGGTGAGGAAAAGGCAGGGATTGTTTTCGGCCATTTCAGTCAAGTTAATTCTTGTTTTCGCCTTTCTTTCCACTTCACAACTGCAGCATCAACAACATTGATTTACTATCACGAAGTTGTTGTCTGTAGGTCTCAGTTTGGCGTCTTGGTGTGTCTGGCCGAACAAAGGGAGGGACGTGGCCTTACCAGCTACCAGGAATTCGAGAGCTCATCTCTCAGGAGCAACTGTCTCAGAGGCCTCAAACCTCCCACGCTATTGACGCCCGTTTGCCCGTGGCAATCATATGCGTGTAACATATTCATGCATGGCGTCGTCTTGGTTGCCGGGCAGCCGCGCCGTATTACATCAGCTGGTAAGGTCGGCTCGAGGCGGGATAGTAATGTCAGGATTCTACTGGGATCACCAGTTCAGGATACTAAATGTCAATCAGCATCTCGGCAAAGCTGCAGGACAAAGCGTTTGAATACGTAACGTGAAAGACGCCAGCCAGATGGGCTATTCGAGTGGTTGGCAAATGGAACCGAATTACCCTACAACGATGAAGATGTTGGCGAGAGTGGGAAGCAGAAGCTGGGCGTCAAAATGTAACTTGTGATGGGGTACATATACTAGTTGTGCTTAGGTAGACTTTCATGTATCGCAGGCATTGAAGCCAGTCCTCTGATAATGGGAGCTCTGAGGTCGAAGCGACTCAAGTTGTAAGGTGTGGCAGATAGTTTTCGAAGGCGTGATGTGTATGGGAGATTCCTGCGTGTCCAGAAGGCATTGGCTGTGATGGGTTCATAAGAAACAATAATTGGCCGATCGACATCTGAAAAGCCATAATCATATAGTGGTCATTATATCAGTTTGTGGCCTAAGGGAAACACTGAAAACCGAGGTTCGATTCCTCGTTATGGCATAAAAACTTCATTTTTTGCTTTTTTTTTCTCTGTGGCACTCTTGCAATCGTCACCTCACTGCCCTACCCATATGGGTCATTTTTGAACTTCTCGGCTGGTTCTTGATACTGCTAGATACATAGATGCTTCACTGCTTGCTATTCCTTTCTGCTTATTATGGTATTCATTGCAGCTGTATGATGATTGAGGACCTTCTCGTCACTCCTTCTACTTCTTGAAAAGAACGACGATAACTGCATGAAAGTGGATCGCTTATTAAGCAGCTGGAGAATGGGTAAGAGCAGCTATCACTTATACCGAGAGACCTCACAACCCCAAATTCAGCCCAGTTTGTCAATTGGAAGTTCAAAATCTTTTCGGGATTTCCTTTTGTGAATGCCGTATTTTTGGGGTAGACAATGAATGTCTCACCGCAAAACTCATTATTGTGGATTGAAGGGATGGGTTCCATCTCAGCCACACTCTAGGTACGAAGGCTCAGTTTGAGCGCCTTACCAGCTAAAACACAAACTGGAAAAAAGGCAACAACGTATCGCTGGGTTATCATATACCCATTTTACAAAAGGCGGTCAGAGCAATAGACGAAGTTCATCACGTTACCGTTGATCATTTTACTAAAGCTAAGCCTTGGTGATGTCTCACCCATCTCTATAGTAGCACTAGCACTTTGGTAAGAAACACTGCCCCCTGCAGGTACGATCGAGCCTCAAAACGTGGAGACGCTCAGCCTCGTTTCAAGAAGACAAACTCGACGATCTTTCATACAGAGACTTGAAAAGTGAATCAATATACTGTCTTTGGATGGGTTGCTCAGTTGGAGGACGATACGCAGGATCGTGACTCATTCTCTTTACCCTCATAGTACAAACCACACTGAAGCTTTGTGGACAAGGGAATCGCACTCTTATATGGCAGCGAAAAGGGAGCTTTTTAATAAAGAACGAACTCCTAACGCGCTATCTATATTCTCGGTACATGGAACGAATGGACGGCACAGCCATGCCACAAAACGGAAAACCCAAACGAAAAACAAAGGAAAAGAAACAAGGAAAGACCACCGCCCAGATTATTCAGGAGGAGGTGACATGGTCTTGCGATGTGTCGCGACATCCCCTACCAAGCAGAATTCCGTCGTTCTCTCTTTCAAACGGATCTGTGATCTGAAATACGCAACCATTTCGTGGATATTGCCAAGTCGTTCGCAGAGCTCGTTGAGGACGGGATTTGTTGCAATGATGGTCTCGCGAAGTATTGTTGGAAATGCCCCTCCCCATCCCCATCCCCTTCCCCCTTTCGCCAAACACCAAAGGAAACATAACAGAGCCATATAAGGAAATCCGGGCGCAGAAAAAAGAAGAACCGTAGACTTTTAGAGCGAAACCGGGTATCTTAAAAACGCCAGAGCCAGTTCTATGGACGACCGCCAGGGGTAAAGAAACCACTGGCACATCATTTCGCGGGCCGGACTGGTCCCACGGCATCTTTGGAGACAACGCAGTTGCTGCAGCGGCGGTGCTGGCAACCAATTTCCGTGCATTGCAGATCAACCTCCCAGAGAAATCCTGCCATTCCGCATTGGCAGCACCGCCAGGTGTTGACGACCTGCGTGTTTCCAGAGCCCATCTTTGAGGTGGAGGTTGGCTTTGAATTGGCTTTAGAATTTGGTGTGGTTTTGCCGAGTGAGGTCCAGATATTAAAAGTAAATAAGAAGGAGGCTAGAGTGATCCTTTGCTATCCCAAATGGACTGTGATGCTCGATGCTCTGAGTTGAGAAACGACACGACTGGATTTCTGGAGCGGGCAACCCATTCTTATAAGCAGGGCTTCCTCGCAGCATATCTAGATGAGACTGCTGCACAAACCAGCCTCAATTCCTCGTTGAGCTACGCAAAGGAAAAAGGCCAATAGTCGGCCATATGGCCGGCAGCAAGATGGGTCTATCACGACCTTTAGTCGACAGGATTTCCACTTGGTGAAAGCCCGGTGGCTTGCCGAGGGGGTTCAAAACTGTAATAAGAACATCACCATGGTCAGAGAAGGCCGAGTTCTGGGAGATTGAGCAGCGATAGGGGAGCGAAAGACATGATAGACCCTGTTTGGCGCTACGAAACTCCAAAAAAGGCGCAGGCGCAGTTGCTCGCCTTGCGCGAAATCTGGGAAGCCTTGCAGGGGAATATCGTCAGGTGAACATTTGGTAAGGATCTTTTTCTTCGTTCCCTTGTGACACCAGTAATGGCTCAAAGCAAGCAATGGTGGCAAGCCGTTGTATAGGGAGCGTTCGAAGTCGGCAAGCGCTTCGCGCAAGAGTTGCGCCGGTGTTGTTGCCATGATGTGGCCGATTGTATCCCGACGAGGCTGGGTGGTGAGCTCGGATCAACACTTGTAACTGACCTCGGCAGGGAGTAGAGTTGTTGCTCATGCGTTAGCTCAGAGGTCTTCTCTTTGTCTCTTCTCTCCATCTCTTTGCCATAATCTTTTGTCTGTATAGTGAGCTGGATGCTTGCAAAATACCCTGGGCAATGTGACGATGATGGCCTTCGCGCCAACAAATGGCTCAAGAAGGGAAGCTACCTCTCAAATACAAGCCAAATGAGCGAGTAATAGTGTTCATTGTGAGTACCTAAGGGATTGTGAGTAAGTTATTTGGCCTTTGGCTGGGTCTGATACTCATCGATCTAACAATTCCATAGGTTGGGCGGTCTTGAGCTTCCTCCATGCAGCTTACTCACGGAAGCAGCAGCAGTCGTATAGACAGAAGAAGGAAACGCAACATGAAAACGAGCAAATGGCCACATGAAAAGCAGAGACGGATGGGCGGGCTTTTATATTGCATCTCAGCATGCGAACAGCCGCAACAAGGACTTTACAAAAAGATGAGCCTCGTGTGTTGTCCGGCTCAGCTGTTGATAGCCTGCATGTGCGGCACCACGGGCTCAATTGAATGGATGGGATGCCCATGAAGGGCCGACAAAGCAGGCCTCAGAAGGGCATGTGGCTGCAGGACTCCCCTGATGGTGTTGTAGCATCTGTCCAGTTGGGAGGGCTGTCTCCTCACAGCGCCGGAGACAGCCTCGAAGCCTTGCGCAGAGCCGCAAGTTCGACAGGCTGTCAAGCGTGGGGGCGGGGATGGAATGGAGACGAAGAGGAGACCAGTGACAAGGTATCGATGATGTGCATTCACTTGAATCAGCGCATTGGCTGGGAGAATCATGTCAAGTAGACGAGGACAATGTCGAGGCAGAATCTTGACAGTTGTCAGGATCAAGATGAACGTTCCGTCGTTGATAATCCTCGGTTACCTTACAGGTAGGTACCTTACAAGGTAAGGTACGAAATACAGGGAGGAATTGAAATGAGCTGCGACAAGGGAAAGCATGAGTGACGCACACTATTAGCACTGTCCTTTAGGGCGAAGAAAGCACCCATTTATACAGTACGAGTCGTTATCGATTGGCGACCTGCAGCTGCCGGGATCCCGGTCCCGGTAAGATTAAGATTACGGCTTATACCCATCATCATCGAGCATCGCATCTTGCAGCTGAGATTTCCCCCCAAACCACTAGTCCAGACGACACAAAACCCGGAGCAGCGACGGGCAGAGCAGCGCAACTCCAGGGCAGCGAGAACCTGCCATCATGGTGTCGCAATGTCGCGCCCGCATCACAGCAGTCGCGCCAGCACGCGATGGGCAGTGCGCATCGTTCCCTTGTTTATTCTCGGCGTTTTAGGCGTGGCCACCTACGCAGTCGTCGATCGTCTTTGTAGTGAGTATCGTACCCAGATGGATAGGGCGCCCGCCTCTTGCTGATCAGGACGTCCATCTACTTGTAGTCAACTACCTGTACAGAAAGAAACACCAGTCAGGCGTCGTCACGGCCTTCCTCGTCCTCTACTTCCTCTTCTTCGTCCTCATGATGGCCGCCTATATCCGAACCTTCTTGACCGTCCAACTGAACCCAGGCGTCGTCCCTCTGGCTCCCGAGGAGCAAACCGAGCGCGAGGCTGCCGAGAAACTTCGAAAACGACGTAAACGCAACCGAGATGTCGAGGACAGGGCGCTGGCGCCTCCCGACCCGAACCCGGATAGCCCCGGCCTCGAGGCCTTCTACAGCAAAGACGTCTTCGTCTGTGAGGCCGACGGCCGGCCTAAGTGGTGCTCAGAGTGTCAGCAATGGAAGCCTGACCGCTCGCATCACTCAAGCGATCTGAACCGCTGCGTCAGAAAGATGGACCATTTCTGCCCCTGGGTTGGTGGCATGGTCTCCGAGACTTGTGAGTTTTTGGCATCCCTTTTATTCGCAGAAAGAACAGAAAATCCCACGTCTTGTTCCGTATGCTGGTTGAGGAGAGAGTTTTGAGATCTTAACACACGATCGTGTCCTTTGTGGGAACCATAGCCTTCAACTTCTTTACGCAGTTCTGCTTCTATTGCGGCCTCTTCTGCGCCGTGAGTCTCTCTGTGGGAGCATACTCCTTTTCGCAGCACCACAAAGATGGAGACCCTCTTGATGGCTGGGCTCTCGCGATCATCGTTCTGTCTTGCCTTTTCGGCACCTTTACATGCGGCATGGCGCTCACCTCTATTCGCTACATCTTGATAAACACCACAAACGTCGATATGCTTAAGAGGCCACAGACCACCACCTTGGCGGTCCGCATCCCTCTGTCGACTCCGCCGTCGGACAAGTACAACGTCATCGTATATCCGCTTCGAGGACCGCCGCGACGACCTGGCTCCGAGGGCCAGCAGCCGCTCAACCATCACGCCCCCATGTCTTCCAGAGATCAGCAGGCGGAGCGCAAGTTTGCCATACTGCGCACAAAACCACGCGAAAACCCATGGGATCTGGGCGCCAAAGAGAATTGGAAGTCCGTCATGGGGGATAACTTCGTGGAGTGGTTGCTTCCTATCCGACACTCGCCGTGCTGTAACCATGACAGCATGGAGAGCGACTACAAATTTGGCCCTCTGGTTTCCAGGTTGAGGAAACGCTATGGAGCCCCCGGGCTCGGCACCTCTTCCCGCAGCGGACATGGCGTCGAGTTGCAGGAGAGGGGAAGCCGGCGCGCCAGTCAGTGATTGAACGATTGACTGTTCGACTCCCCTTCACCATCCGCTACTACTTCATGTACTTGGTGTTACCACTGTCTCTGATTTGTTTCTCAAAATCTCCTTCTGATGGCGCAGCTACGTTGACTTTCTGTCACGCACATACTGCCCTGCTTTTCTGCGTCGGCACTTTCTGTTCTCCCCGTTCCCCTATTTCTTTTCACGTTGGCGTTATTGCAATTACGGGCATAGACAGGGGGCCCTTTGTGAATCCCTCCTTCTACCGGACAATACATGTACATAATTTATGAACACGGCAAGGCAAGGTCGGGAGTAGGATGTTCTTTACATATCTGTGGGTTAGGCTGGATGGGAAAACGCATCAAACGATTCGGATACAGACGATGGATTACAACTAGGACTTTAATAACTGGCGACAGCAAGCCAAATAACATCTGATCACATCTTTGCGACCAGTCTCATCTGTCCGATTTGTCGCTAGTCACTGTTTCTTCCGTAGAAAAGATGACACAAGCCCCTTCGCATACAATCATGCTGATACTGCTACTTCTACTGTTGCTACCTCTGCGGATCGCGGTCTAGAGTCGGCAACTGTTGCTGGCACAGCTTGGCTCCAGCTTGGCAGAGATGCTCCGTTTGTGAGTTCATCGGCCGTACTATGCATTCACGTTTCGGGTTGATCCGGCATTTGACCAGGACTCACGCCGGTGAAGGCTGCTCTTTCGGAATTTTGTATGAACTGCGTGACATACGCCATCGGTATGCTGCTTCGGACGAGGAGTGTTGATGTCTGAAGTATATAGTAACGTCTCGCGGACGGTATGGCGCATCGACTCCTCTAATTCTCTTCCGCAGTGAATATCGAATGGCGTCCACTAAGTTCATTACAGGGATCCAAACAGATGAAAAGAAGATCATGGTGTCCGGTCTGTCTTTTGTGTTGGCGTTTGCCTGTTGATGCACCAAGATAGGGAGTACCTTCTTCTGTGTGTGTAAGCGATGCCGAATGTACGGAGCAATCGGTACCTGATTAACGGAGCTGTCCAGTGTGGGTCGTTCCGTCAATCTCCGATCAAAGGGAACCTCCAGATTTGGCGTCGCGCATCAACATCGACCAAGTACACCAACTATCATTTTTCATTCACATGTTGCGACATCTCAACTCTCATCTTCAGCTTCAAATGAGATTCACTCGTCAGCCTCCAGCATCGCATTCTGCTGCTTCTCCCTAGTCGTCGCCATATGCCTTCGTCGTCTCCCGGCAGCGGCGCATCTTCACCGCTGCGCGATGCACGCCGTTCACGCTTCACATACCGGCAGCTTGCCCAGCTGGCGACGTATGGCACGACCACGCCTCTGCGCGTGATTGCGCATATAGATCTTGATGCATTCTATGCTCAGTGCGAGATGGTCCGGCTCGGCGTTCCCGAAGACAAGCCTCTCGCCGTCCAGCAGTGGTAGGCAGCGCCTCCCAAATTCACCAGCATCAGTGCGTGTGAATTTATGCTATCCTGTCCGGACTGGCTAACACGGTTGCATCCCAGGCAAGGTCTCATTGCCATCAATTATCCCGCGAGGAAATGGAAGATTGGGCGCCACTGCGACGTCACCGAGGCCAAGAAGCTGTGCCCGGATTTGATTGCGCAGCACGTCGCTACCTGGAGGGAGGGCGACGACAAGTGGGCATATCGGGACGATGCTGCCGCCAACATCGCAACGGACAAGGTGTCTCTTGACCCTTATCGACTGCAATCGAGGAAGATCCTCGCCCTGATTAAGGACTGTCTGCCAAAGGACCTTCAAAAGGTAGAAAAGGCCAGCATCGATGAAGTCTTCCTGGATCTCTCGGCCCAGGTCCACGCCGAACTTTTGCGCCGCTTTCCAGAGTTGTCCACCCCGCCTCCGTCTGGCGACGCCACTGAAAATCTGCCTTTCCCCTCTGCTTCCGCACTCGACTGGCAGACGGACAACCTTGTCGACCTTGAAGAGGAGCAAGAGGCTCTCGATCCAGACTGGGATGACGTGGTCATGTTGGTGGGTTCTGAAATAGTCCGCGGCGTCCGCGCACAGATACGGGAAAAGCTGGGATACACGTGTTCCGCCGGTATCGCGAATAGCAAGCTCGTCAGCAAGCTCGGCTCGGCCTTCAAGAAGCCCAATGCCCAAACGGTCGTGCGCAGCCGAGCCGTGCTGCCATTCCTAACGGGCATCAAAGTGACTAAGATGCGGAACCTCGGCGGCAAGCTGGGAGATCAAGTCGTCTCTACGTTCAACACGGAGAGCGTCAAGGAGCTTCGCGACATCCCCTTAGACCAGATCAAGGCAAAACTCGGCGACGAAACCGCCGTTTGGCTCTACAACACTATTCGAGGGATCGACCACAGCGAGGTGAATTCCCGTACGCAGATCAAGTCGATGCTCTCGGCCAAGTCTTTCCGGCCCTCGATCAATACCCCTGAGCAGGCCATCAAGTGGCTCAGGATCTTTGCCGGTGATATCTATTCTCGCCTTGTCGAAGAAGGCATATTGGAGCACAAGCGATGGCCACGCACAATCAATCTCCATCACCGTCACGCCGGACAAACGCGCAGCAAGTCGAGCCCAATACCTACTGGAAAGCCCTTGGATGAACAAGCCTTGTTCATTCTTGCTAAAGAGCTCCTTCACCAGATCATGGCCGAGGGAGACGTCTGGCCCTGTGCAAATTTGAGCCTGAGCGTTGGCGGGTTCGAAGAGGGCGTCAAAGGCAACATGGGCATTGGCGCCTTTTTCAAAAAGAGGGATGAAGCTCCCCCTCCTCTTCGTCCCATTGATACAGCGCCTGAAAACCCGATCGTGGAGCAACCGAGCAAGAAACTCCGACTCGATGAACCTAGTAGTATTCAGCGGTTCTTCGCCAAGCGGTATGCTGGGGATGCAGCCTCTCTCGGCGTAAATGGGCAGCTTCACGTCAAGCAGCCACCAGTTGATGACACCTCTTCATCCTTTCGGCTCGACCATGGGGCCGAGGAGGCAGACGCTCGCGGGCCAGAATCTCGATTTGGCCACGATACATCAGGCCCAGAGGACTCGGTCCATTCCACGATTTATGCCTGCCCCAGATGCAAAGCCAGCTTTAGTGACGAGGTGTCATTGCAAAGTCATCAGGACTGGCATTTCGCCAAGGACATCCAGGATAGTGAGCGTGTCATGTCCACACCTGCTCAGCAGCCAGCCGCCTCCCGCAACCACACGTCGAGGAGCTCTGGTCCTGCTACTAGACGGGGGCGCGGAGGCCCAAAGCTTGAGCAGGGACAGAGTAGGCTCAAATTTGGATGAGCAATGGCCGCCGAAGCTCCGGGGCGTTATCCGCAGCCGGCAAGCTTGCTCAGCATTGGCAGAGATTTCAGAGCGGAGGATCTCCCTTGAATTTCCTCATCGAATCAGGCCAGCTTTCTCGCATGATCAGCAAGCCACAATGGCGAAGGACGAGATGATCCACAGCAGCAGCCTGATTCTCTTTTCTCAACCCGCTGCTCATGAGACAGCTAACAGCGGGCACTGTATGGCCTATCTTGATGTTTGCGCAATCGTTCTTGTCAGCCTGAGAAGGGGGTGAACGATAGCAATACATCCGCACACTGATGCGCGCCTCGCAGCAATTACTGATTATACGTCCTCGGCCGAAGTACTCCGACTGAATCAGCTGAATCCCTCAGCCATGAACAAGCAAATGGTTTGGGGGCCTCGGCTGATACTGCGTCTCAGCCTTGTTTGCCTCCTCGGATGGCGCGCCAGGGTGTGACCAACCCATAGTACTACTCGTGAAGACCTTCAAAGCCTTGGTACCAGTCGTCGTTTGCTTCATACGTGCTACCCAGATCCTGCGAATACCGCGTGCATCCGGCAAAGTACTTGTACTTGTAAACGATGACGGCGGCAGTCTAGTAGAAACGAGATGGAGAAGGCGGCAGTTGGGCCGGGACAAGAAAGACGCCTGCACCATGCAGTCACAGCACCGCGGGCACATTCCAATATCCCCCAACATGTCATCATTATGTCCCAGTACTTTGGACATAGAAGCAGTGGCAATTCATGTCATTGCTCTTGACTGTGACGACGATTGGCTCGGGTGGAACTGGACGCTAGTGCAGAAACCAGTTGTCGACCAGTTGGGCGTCAATCAACCATAAGCGTTGATACCCAACTCGGCGGACCGTTGATGAGCCCCTCCCCTCGCTGGTGAGGTAATACATGGACTTTAGCCAGAGACTGTTTGAAGTTGACAGTGGAGTTCCCGTTCGTGAGTACTCGGTACGCCGGGGTGCTATGCAGGTACTATTACAGGTAGGAGCCGACTGTGTGTCTCATCAACCAGCCAGCTTGATCTCAAGACAAACTCTGCAGGCGGGCCGGCGCAAGAGGACGGACGGCTCTCCACGCCTTCCAGGTCCACGAATATCATGGCGAAAACTTCTGGCATGCGTTTGCTGCTGGCGCACGTACGACGAAGATACTGAACTCCGAACAGAGTTCGTGAGAGTGTATACCTGGCCAACTGACGAGACAAACAATAAGCGTCGAATGCTCGGTCTCCTCCCTCGTCGCGTCTGCTCAACGCAGCAGATCGTATGATAGCTCAGTTCGTCGTGAAGGGGTTGCGGCGAGTCAATGAGCGTGGCGAGAGACACTTTTTCTTCTCCCCTTCTCCCCTTCTCCCCTCCCTCCCTTTTCGAAGCAACTCAAGTTTGCACGGGGCCGTCTCTGAAGTACAACGGCCAGCTCGTTCGCCACAGCTTCAACTCGGGCCTTGCGGGGAAAGAAAGCCGCTGGGTCAGAATCATCAGTACCATCTACGGCATCGATATCCCCGCTCGATCTCGTGTGTACCTCACATAGACTGTCTGGGGAAGCAAATAAGCTCCATATGCCGTAGGAACAGCTCGTCTTGCCATTCTTTGCCGAGCTGCGATCTGACCCCTTTCAGCGTGGTCTAAATATATACGCAGGTGTATACGGCATGCGCGGTAGGTACATGCGCATTCGGACGCAGACATGCAGACACGCAGACACGCACGCAATATCGCTGAACTTTTCAAAAGGAGCTGCTCTAACGCACTGCAACATGACTCTCTGCAGACGGCGAATCAACGAGCGCGGAAGCCAGCTGGTCAGTGTCTAAGTGTCCAAAAACAAAGAGTTCAAGACAGCAGGAACAGAGATAAACGGAGCTCCATGCGTCCTGTCGCCAGTCAGGTACCATCGGCTGGGGTAGAGGTTGGCGCGGGGAGAATGCGAGGCTTGCCGTCGGTTGTTTGTCATTTCAGCTCAACGGTATAAGCAACCGCCAAGATGGTAGAAAGGGAAGACATGGGAATTCCATGAAGAAGAAGATGGTCATGACAATGCTGATGGATGATAACGAGCAAGGAGGAGGTGGGGGGGAGGAAGTGAAGGAGAGGAGGAATGCAAAGCTTCTGACGACCAGGAGAGGCGGTCGGACCGTGAAATCCAGAGACGTTGAGGCAGACGAAAAAAAAAACAAATCAAATAAATAATAGTACTCATAAAAACTCAAACCCAGAGCAAGAATGCGATGCGCTTTGACTGCACATCTCAGGCGGGATAGGAGGCAGTTCGCTGGCTCCCAAGGTATGGAGTGCCTGAAGAGGTATCTGTGTATGTACGTTGCCACGAGGTAGGCAGCAAACTGTGCGAAGGACGCCGTGTGTAGTCATGGTAGCAATAGCATCAGCAATTCGGTGTCAGAAATCGCTTCGCGCAAACGCAAGCTCCAATAGTAATAGGCGGCCCATCCCCAGCCCCGTCAGGCCATTCCACGACGTTTGACGCGCCCTCCATCCCCGTTGCAGCGACGTGCAGCGAGGCCCAACCTCAAGGCCCGGGAGAGGCGAAGCGAGGGCGACTTTTGGGCTCGGGACTGGCGCTTTCGACGGGCCCCATCAACCACCTTGACAAGCCGCCAATAGGTTCCAAGCATGCGGTGGTAGACTCGGATACGCACCACTTAAGCAAGGTCCCTCCTGTATCACTCCGTACAAGGTCCCCAAGGCCCCTTTACTAGCAAGAGCCGCTATTACTCGGTGGTGCTAGCGAGTAGTGGTAGCAGTAGGTAGCTGTCCAGCTTGTCGTAGCTAGCCGTGGAAACAAGAAGTCGGAATACAGACCTACCCACGACTGGCAAGACTGGGTAGCAATAGCGAGTGGTCTGGAACTGCTGAATGATGGAGAATTCATCTTTCATCAGGCAGATTCAGAGCCCAACATCTCACACTCCATACCGGCGATACTAGGCAATTGGCGGTAGCGGGAAGAGAAGAGATCAACATGAGAGCCAGAAACGGTCAAAGAAGCAGCTGCTGCTATGCCGTGAGGAGGCGTTTAGTCGAGCTGCGTTGCGTTGCGTCGTGCGTGCTGTGCTGTGCTCCGTACATTGCCGTGCATAATACTTCGTGGTGATATCTCACCAGTCCTGTGGGAGTCAGCAGGCAGTTCCATCTCCATTCCACCACGTCCTGTCCTGTCCTATCCCGTCCCCTTTTGCCTGTCAACCCATCCACTCCGGTCCATCCTTCCATCCAGCTGCCCCCCAGTCGCCCAGTCGCCCATTCACTCAACTCCATTGCACGGAGGTGGCCACAGGGACAGTCAGGCCCGGCCCAGCCCAGCCCAGGCCATCCAGGCAGCCGATCACAATCCGCCCATCCACCCTCCATCCAGCATCCACCATCCACTCGTCGTCACCCATCAATCAGCACTGTCAACTGCAAGCTGCAACTGCAACTGCACTGCGGTGGTCGCATTCGCCGTCGCCACAGCCACTGGGAACCGTCAGACGGAACAGGGTGCTGCAGCAGTGCAGACAACCAGGAGTGCAGCAAGCAAGGAAGCAGGGGTGAGAGAAAAAAAAAGGGCCAGCGGATCTGAGGCCAAGCTCTGCAGCCAACGAAGACCTTGCAACGATTCGGCAGCACTCTGGGAGGTCACCAGCGTCTCGATGCTCCTCACTGCCCCACCCCACCATTCACACCAGATCATCCGCCTTTTTTCTCAAGAAGACCAGTCGAGCTGTCGCTGTCGCTTTTTCCTCTCCTTCTCTCCTCTTCTCTCTCGACGATACGCCTCTTTCGTGCTTGGCTGCAGCCGACCCCTTGTCCACCCTTTGCTGCGTCTTCCATTCCTCCATCTGTCGTCCTGCTATTTGCTGCTTTCCCGCCTCCATTTAGCAAGCAGTCCTGCCCTGAGGTGTTCCATCTTTCCTCGTTCTCTCTCTCTCTCTTCTTCTCTTCCTCTCTCTCTTGCTCTCTCTCCCCCTCTGGCGTCTCTCGTTGCTTTGTCCCTGAGTTTCGTTGCCTCCCCAAGCCAGATCCCGTTAGCTGTTCACAATGTCGCGACCCACGACTCGCATGAACGAGTACTTCGTGCCCCGTGATGGCATCGACCGTGAAGTCATCTCCGCTGATATCTGCCGGTACCTGGGCAACGATGCTCTGGTGCGACCCGGCCACTATGAGGTACGCCGACTTGAGCAGCACCAGCTTGGACGACGCCCAACCTGAGCACAAGTGAAGCCCCTCCCGACTTGGCTGGTCGCTAACGGCTCTTCTTCCCTCAGAACCCGCAGACTGGTCAACCCGTCCAAGGCTATTATATCACGGCTTATCGCAACCTGACGACCGTGAGTTCCCATCTTCTCCTTGCCGACCCGCTTCCCGGCCGTGCCAACCGTCTCCTTTCCCCGGACCCGTTGCTAAAACATGACAACCTTGGTTTCGCAGGCCATGATCGAGGATCTCAAGGCCGACTCGGCTCGATGGGATAGGGAACGCCGCGCGCAAACCGCGCGCAACAGCAGCGGAGGTATCATCGCCTCGAGAGATGCCACTTACGGTGCCCCTAGACCGAGATCTAACTCGCCTACAGTCCAATATCGCTACTCTGAGACGCACCAGTCTCGGCAGCACCATGGCCCTACTGAACCACCCTTCCGGGATGATTCCTATCCTCCTCGTGATGGTCTCTATGACGCCCCAAGGTATCCAGGAACTGGCGCCCAAGGATATAACGGTGCCTCCGGTCCGTATCAACCCCAACAAGCGCCGCAGGGCTACGCTCCTCCCAGTGGCGGTGCGTATGGCGGCAATGGCAACTTTCAGCAGCCTCAGCAATCTCCTGTACCTGACGCCAGATATGGCGGGAATCCTCAAGGCGGCCCCATGATGAACCAGGGATACCCCAATCCGGATGGCCCTTATGTTTCTACCGGAGCCAACATGCCTCCCAGGAACTATTCCAATGAGCCCTATGCCGGTGGCCACCCTGGATCGGCTGTTCCAGCGCCTCAGCAACCCATGTATGCTCCTAATCAGCCTGTCCAGCCAGGATATCCCGCCCCAGCAAGCTACCCGTATCCTACCCAGGCTCCTGCGGGTGCTCCAGTCTATGCCACGCAGCCCCAGGACCCCTTCTTCGGCCGAGGTGCGTCTCCCACCAAAAACCACCCCAAGCCTGCATCCAAGTTGAATTCGTTCGTCTGATTCTGTAGCTTCCCCAGCAGGCCAAACCTCTCAGCAACCACAAGGGTACGCCTCACAGGGACATGCATATGACGAAACACCACCTCCGACTCGCACTTCCGTGCCCCCAGCGGAGACCCAGACACCGCCGCGGGAATCAAGTACCCGTCTCAGCGACCGGGAAGGCGATAGGAACCATCGACCACCGCCGCGCCGATAAGGGAGAGGGATCTGCTTGATGACATGTCTTGCGAGGCGTGGGTTGAATCTCTCGTCCAAATCGTTCGGCTAGAGCTCGACCTGTCACCCCCTGGATCGGAATGTCTTGCTCTTCCCGTTCTATCATTCTAGATAAACGTCCCAGGCAGGCACCAGTTAAGTTGTCAAGGATTTTGCGCAAAAGAAGTTGGAACCCACAGGAAAATAGTCTGGTCTGGACCGCCCTTCTCTTTTCTGCTTCTTCTCTGCGGCTTCTCTCCTTTTAGCCTTCCCGGATTCTGGACCGATAATTTTCAGGAGATGCGCCAAGTTTGACTTTTCCTTTTTCCGCCGTCTCCGGTTTTCATTTTCTTCTTTGGAAATCCTCAGTTTGCATGTCGCGTTTCCTTCCGTCTTTTCTCTTTCGAATTTCTTTTGATTGACAAATGATGCATGGGTTTATTGTGTCGGATGGGTCAAATACCGAGCTTGTTGCCGGCTACGATGATAGCCTTGGATGAATAACGCCTGCATATGTTTGAAAGCACTGGCTCCTGGCGCAAGGTGGGAAAAGAGAAGCTCATCTGCGATTGCTTCTCGGGTGGTGGACTGTCTTGAAATCTTGCTGCCCCGGACTGGCCATCGGCGGAGTTATTTGTGTTTGTCTGGACTCGGTTTTTCCTTGGCGGTCGCTGAGCATTCTTCAATTGATGCTGGTTGTCTCGATCATGCCGTTTAATAGAGTAGTAAAGCCGGACTCCTGGGCAGCAAGGTGAGCCTCATGGTTTGTATATATTAGCCATAACCTGTTGAAAGGACCATCGTTGCCTCACTGTCTCCTTCTTCTTCCAACTCATCTCTGATGATTGACTGTTGTGTCTCTTGGTGAAAACAACCCTTCGGATGCACTCGAGGAGTTGCCAAGCTCAGAATCGATAGACCGGGGCACCATTATCGCTGATGTAAACGTTCGTTGGCTGTCAAGACACTGATAAAATCACCAATGCTGTCAAGCTTCTTTCCCGGTCTCTCAAATCGGCTAGTGGGATCAGACATTGAACCGGGAGGGTAGAAGTAGCCATTTTGTTGGCTGGGCTGCGAACCGATGGCATATTGGCATATTGGCTGGACCTGCGACAGCGAAATGTTTGCCTGTATAGAAGCGGGAGGAATTTAGCAACCCGACAAACAAGGAGGGATTGCGATTGTGTTCATGGGTCTATTACCCGGACAATAAAGTACCTGACATACTGCTTTATTAGGCGGCCTAGCTGCGTTGACGTCTCTACTGGCTGAGCAGTTCACAGAGGTGACACAAACGAGGCAGACGGAGTCTCCGCAAGGGTAGTCGTTTCTCGCGGCACCTCATCACTCTGCTCTTCGGTCTGGCTAATCTGGGGAAGTGCCGTACCCTGTAGCTGGGCAGACTTGTAGAATTCTAATCCCTCCTTTTCTTTGGGGAAAGGAGAAGTTGAAGACGAAGATGCGGCCATGGCCGAGATCCACCACTTTGGCGCAACGAGCATTTGGAAATTTTGCAGGGTTGAAGCACGATCAAGTTGCGCGTTTGAAGATGCATGCACGTTCCCGCGGCATCGGCAAATCGAGATGATGCTCCAGGCCGGTAGCACAGAAAAAAAGCCACAGAAGCAAGGGGCAAGTGAGCGAGGTAACAAGCAATGCCAGGAACGCCGAGGAGAAGCATGGAACATGTTCACAAGACGAGGATCTCGACAAAGGCATGCACTGAGGTTCCCGGTGGATGGAGAGGTCGGCCGTAGCAGCTGCCTCAGACAACCTACTTTAGCAGTATGATCTCAGTTGAGGCAGGAGCGTGTCACACTTTGATACACACACATGGGCGGTATGAGGCACCAAAGGTAAGGCAGGTACTACGAAGAGGTTATCGCATGTATCCCTTTCCCCCCAAACTTGAACGGACGTTGGGGTCATCTGGTTGTCTCCTGCCGTTTCCTGCATCAAACGAAGTTATCGCTGGGCTGCGCCAATTAAAGCCACAAGCGACTGGCGCAGAGGAATTACACCATAATCTCGCCAACTCTTCTCATTGGGTCAAACTGATCCCTTTTCTCTGCTCGTTGGGGACTAGACTTTGCAGCTAGATCCTGCTGGTGATAGGCTTTTGGAGTGGTGATTACAAAGAGCGATACACGTCCTCTTTATTCGTTGGGAGCCAATACCTACCTGGCCATACGTCACTAGTAGCAGGTACGGAGTGGCTTGACGAAATTAGAAGTGTTGGTGCAGGTATGGGGTACGGAGGGTCAGCAGCAGGGCGAGTACCTTGCATGGCAGGGAAACAACCTAGCTTGAGCCTGCCAGGCAGAGATGCAAGAGAGAAAAGCCCTTTATCGTGAAGAGCAGCTCCACCAAGGTTCACTCGTGCCCTGGCAAGAGGAACGGCGCGAACAGCGTCATTGTAGACGAAGCCCTCCATTTCTATCAGCTGATAATATCGACCACCTACGTAGAGACTGAATAGCAGTATCGAACTTACTGATATGCACAGCCGTGATATACACCCAAGGTAGCAGGCTGGTAGGTGGCACCGATATCCCAAGGCGTACAAAGCACTCTCGAGAAAGGCGAAAGCGCGTGGAAAACACCATCCAAAGTCTCCGTGCGTCTCTCTCCCTGCATGTGCGCTGGAGTTCCATGTCCTCCTCAGTCAGCGGCTGCAGCCTCTGGACACGCACAGTACCTTAAGCACCTTAGTAAGGACTGGCGACCCTGATCACTTTTCCCGTTTCTTAGCGTCCAGGGCCCCCTAAAACTGGCTGCATCTCCTCAACCCAACCGCCCAAAGGCTCTGCCAAATCGACACTGCGAGTACCTGCGCCACGGTGCTTGAAGCCTGAGCGTTAACTCGTAAAAAGCTTACAGGTAACGACAAACAACCTTTCGTCACCGCCTTGTGCCGCCGCTTTCTGCCTGGACAAATTCTCATCCGTCTCTCTGCGTCAGCTCCAGACAGCCTGCGCAGTGTGTCTTGTCCAGAGCCGGTATCTCATATCGTCGCGTTGTTGTCGCTGCTGATCGCCCCAATCTTTCTTTCTGATCTAAATTTTTTTTCCTGCTCTTCTAATTTTTTTTTTCTTAATCCTGGGTGGGCAGCTGGTGCTGGATAGATGCCCCGCCATCGGGTCCTCCCAACCTAACACCAAAAAGTTGTTCAACTGAGCCCGCCTTTCTTCTACCCTCCTCCGCGCCAACGACAACGACGCCCCTCTGTGTTGTCGTCCGCTCCTCTTTATACCCTGAAATATGGACTTTGCAACTGTCAGGGCCTTGCTCGCGGCCAGCTTGGACACAAACGCCGATAGCAGGCGACGTGCTGAGCTGCAGCTGAAGCAGGTGAGTTTTCCAAAGCCGTCTTTTCGTCCCTCCACAGCCACCGCCCGCCCGCCATCCGAAGCGTGAATACCACGGCGACGAAAAAAAAAGGGAAAAAAAAAGAGAAGAAAGGATCAAGAAAGGATATACAAGATTTAGGAGGAAAAGGAGACGATGGAGTCACGCAGTGACTGCCATCCTTTGAAACACTCGTCCCAACAGACACAGCATCGCCTTTGACTTTCTACACCATGGTTGGATTTCTATGCTAATGCGCTTCTTCGTGTCGTTGGTTCTAGGTCGAGGATCATGCCGGCTTCCTCATATGCCTGCTTGATGTCTTGGAAGCAGAGCAGGACTCCAGTGTTCGCCTTGCCAGTACGTCGTCGCAGCCCCCTTTCCTGTGCCTTTACGAGAAGACGATTCGGATCGCAAGCGGGAGACATGGAAAACAAAGGAAGACGTTGGGGGAAGTGGAAGAGGGATGTACGGCAAAAGGTCTCTAACAATTTTCTTCACAGCTGTCATCTACATCAAGAACCGAGTAAACCGCTCCTGGTACCAGGCCGAAGGCGTTCCCTCCGAAAGCTCAATAGCCGAAGATGAGAAAGCGCGAATTCGAGACCGTTTGGTCCCCATCTTGGCCTCCTCCGAGGGGCTCGTCCGCCAGCAGCTGATCCCCGTCCTGCAACGCATCCTGCAGTGTGACTTCCCCAGCCGGTGGCCGCGATTCCTCGAATTCACTCTGGAGCTGTTAAATACCAACAACCCGAACTCCGCGCTGGCTGGCCTGCAGTGCCTTCTCGCCATCTGCCGAGCTTTCAGGTACAAGTCCAACGAGAGCCAGGACCGACAGCACTTCGACAACATTGTCGAAGCAGCATTCCCGCGACTTCTGGCCATCTGCAATGAGTTGGTGAATCAAGAAAGCGACGAGGCCAGCGAGATGCTGCATTTGGCTCTCAAGGCGTACAAACATGCCACTTGGGTATGAGCAAATCCTCCTTCCCATCGCCTGCAAACCCCTGTCAGCTGTTTCTCTGTCGTTTTGGAGGGGTGAATCCACATCAAACCCACGTTCTTGAGCTGACATTCCTGCCCTCCATCTAGCTCGAGCTTTCGCCGTACTTGCGACAGGACCAAGTCAACATCGCTTGGTGCACCGTCTTCCTTCAGACCGTTTCCAAGGCTGTCCCTGCCTCCGTTATGATGAGTGAGGTGGCCGACCGCGAAAAACATCACTGGTGGAAGGCCAAGAAGTGGGCGTACTTCAACCTGAACCGTCTTTTCATCAGGTAAAACATGCGACCAGCAGACTGCCTCCCTCTCTCTACCATTCTTTGCGCTGGTTGAAGGGGGAAACAGGGCATGCGAGCAATCTGGCTAACAGGTCTTCTTCTAGGCACGGAAACCCCTCCAGCCCCGGCAAACAAGACGGAGCCGTCCAATTCGCGAAGAACTTCACGACCACTATCGCCCCCGAGATCCTCAAGCATTACCTCCAGGAGATCGAGAAATGGGTGGCCAAGACTTCCTGGCTCAGTCGACCGTGTCTTTCTTACATCCTGGTCTTCCTCGACGAGTCTGTACGGCCCAAGGAGATGTGGGTGCATCTGAAGCCGCACCTGACGAACCTAGTGACCCACTTTGTCTTTCCCGTGCTCTGTCTGTCGCCGGAGGATGTTGAACAATTCGAAGAGGAACCGGAGGAGTACCTTCACCGAAAACTCAACTACTTCGAGGAGGCGTCTGCTCCCGACGTTGCGGCCACAAACTTCCTGGTCAACCTGACAAAGAACCGCCGAAAGGAGGTCTTTGAGATTCTCAAATTCGTCAACGCGGTCGTCAACGAATATGAGCAATCTCCTGACGATAAGAAGAACCATATTGCAAAGGAGGGTGCCCTCCGGATGATAGGAACCCTGGCTCCCGTTATTCTCGGCAAGAAGAGTCCCATTGCCGATCAGGTCGAGTACTTCCTCGTCCGCTACGTCTTCCCTGATTTTACCAGCCCCTTGGGATATCTCCGAGCCCGAGCCTGTGACACCATGGAGAAATTCGAGCAGCTCAACTTCCAGGACCAGAACAACCTGCTGACCATCTACCGGAACATCCTTGACTGTATGGCAGACCCAGCTCTTCCCGTTCGTGTCACTGCCGCCCTTGCGCTGCAGCCCCTGATCCGACACGAGGTGATCCGGACAAGCATGCAGCAAAGCATCCCCACCATTATGCAGCAGCTGCTGAAGCTGGCTAACGAGGCTGATATCGATGCCCTGGCGAATGTCATGGAAGACTTTGTTGAGGTGTTCGCTACCGAGCTGACCCCCTTCGCCGTTGCCCTGTGCGAGCAGCTTCGGGATACTTATCTTCGCATCGTCCGAGAACTGCTGGAGAAGGAGAGCAAGGCTGGAGACGACGGCGAGCTGTACAGCGACTACGATGACAAGAGTATAACTGCTCTCGGTGTTTTGCAGACTATTGGAACGCTCATCCTTACGCTGGAGAGCACTCCGGATGTTCTTCTCCACATCGAAGCAGTACTCATGCCAGTGATTAGCATTACGCTGGAGAACAAGCTCTACGATCTGTACAACGAGGCCTTTGAGATTATCGACAGCTGCACCTTTGCCGCCAAGGGCATCTCCCCCAACATGTGGCAGGCATTCGAGCTGATCCACACCACCTTCAAGGCAGGGGCTGAGTATTACCTCGAAGACATGCTCCCCGCGCTGGACAACTTTGTCCAATACGGCGCGCCGGCTTTGGTTCAGAAGCCGGAATATGTCCAGGCCCTCTATTCGATGGTGGCCGATATGTTCTCTGACACCGTGGAGGGCGGCGTTGAGCGGATCTGCGCCTGCAAGTTGGCCGAGGCCATGATGCTTAGCCTCCGGGGCAGCATCGACAGCTGCGTTGAAGGCTTCATCAACATGGCCATGAACATTCTGGCCGGCCAGGACGTCAAGGTTAAGAGCTACAAGATCCACCTCATGGAGATGGTCATCAACGCTATACACTACAACCCTGTGCTCACCCTGCAGGTACTGGAGACCAACGGCTGGACGAATAGGTTCTTCAGCCTATGGTTCGGCAGCATGTCCTCCTTCACCAGAGTGCACGACAAGAAGCTCTGCATTGTGGCTATCTCCGCCCTTCTCGGCCTCAACCACGACCAAGTGCCCGCCAGTATCTCTGTTGGATGGCCGCGGCTGCTTCAGGGCATCACGGAACTTTTCCGGACACTGCCCAGCGCCATGCGCAGTAGGAATCCCCCTCTTTCCCGATGTGCAATATATCGTTGACGCTAACCGTTTGTGAAACAGATCGTGAGGATGCCCTTCGCGACGACTTCACTCTGGATGCCGGCTATGACTACGTAGACGAAGACGAGTGGGACGAGAGAGACGTGGCATGGAACGACGATGAAGATCCGGGCTCCGCCGGCGACGAGGAGCAGGCGGAGACAAAGGACGAAAGCGCCGCCTATCTCGAGTTCCTTAATGAGGAGGTGAGTCTGAAAAGGACGCCTACAAACGGTGTTCTCAGCAGAGGCAAACCTGGCTCCATTTTTGGCATTCACTAACGATACGCTTTGATCCAGGCCCAAAAGTTCAGTCGCGTGATTGACGATGATGAAGAAGAGGAGCTAGGAGAGGACAGTGTGCTCCTCGAGTCGCCGCTCGACAAGATCGAACCGTACCAGCTCTTCAGGGCAACGCTGCTAAGTGAGTAGATTGACACGACTGATTTACCCCGTGTCTGTGCCGAAGGAGCACAAACGCACCTTGTTTCTGCTGCTAACCAATGATGCCCCCATTCTAGAACTGCAACAAGAACAACCCCAGTTCTACTCCAGTCTCGCCGGTCACCTCTCTGCTGAAGAGCAATCTCTTATCCAAGACATCATTGTCAAGGCCGAGGAAGTTGCCCAAGCGCAGGCCCAAGCTCAGCAGGCCGAAATGATTTCTCCTCACGGCACTGCGAGCGGCTAATCGTACCGTGCCCACCGATTTTAAGCGAACGCCTTGCGCTCTGAGATGGGAATTGGATGAAAGGACGTCTTGTACAACCGCTGCTGTGCGAAGGCTAGTACTCTGGCCACACAGGGCCTCTTGACGAGCAAGCTTTCCCATTTATGAGAAGATGAACTTGATGATATCCCCCCCTGCCAGGAATTTGCGAAAAGGGAGAGAAGGCGAGAAAGAAAACATAGAAAGAAAGGAGAAAAAAAAATTGCAAAATTATAACAAGAAACCAAGGGTGATGGAGGAGCTGCGGAGGCAAACGAAGCAAAAGGGGCTTTTAGACGGTGGAAACATGGCTGATGATGGAGACGGTTATTGATGGAACAGCAGCCAGGCAAAGAAGAAATAAGGGCTTGGTACCCCGAGGTAAGTGTTGCAGAAGGATGGCAATCATGGCTGCTGGGATCCGAGCAGCAGCGCAAGAGGGAAGTTCTTGGATGGGGAATTCATGTTCAAATTTTTTTTACTGTGTCTCAGGCGCAGGCTGGTGATTTGCGGCCGAATTGAAAGAGCACATAGGCATTGGCAGATTGGTGTTGATGTGCGGCTGTTTAGGTATACAGAAGAATACACAAATGGTATTCTGTAAGGTAAGGTAAGGTAGTAGTAGGTAGCTCCCTCCGCATTCTGGTACCCGGGACCCTTAGGTTAGTGCAAACACATATATACACTCTTACACGGCAGTTATAGGTCCCTTCTGTCGAGTTTCAGGAGCAGTTTGAGGACAAAGGAATCGAGACATCAACAACAGACAGGAGGTCTGGTGACTTATCGTCAGGTGTCTTATCGCACTGATTACCAGCAGCGATAAGCCCCATCAATTAAGCGACAGCAACCGCCTCGGCGGGCTCCGACCGCAGTAGCCACTCTTCACCGTACCTTACCGCAATAGCTCCAGTAACCCCCCCTCCCGCTTCTTCGTACACAGGGAGCTCCGGAGAGCATCTGCTGCAAAACGGGCGCGAAGCTGCTCCTAATTGGCACAAGGCAGGCATCTGGGCCCCTCTCAGGCAACCGGTTTTGGCCTAGGAGCCGGGCACATGCTCTCAATCGATTCCATTACCTAAGGCACAGCATCAAACCTTAATACCGTAGGTACCCAACTTCTCAACATTTGTACGACACCAGCATCGCCTCGACTTGGTAACACCCTGTTACTCTTCTTCTTCACTTGCAACTCTCTCCTCAATTCCCCTCTTCTCTTTCTGTCTCTCTCTGATACACTCTGTATTTCTTCCGGGGATACTTACTTGGACACCTACTCGAGCTCAATTGGCCACTGAAGACGACACTATTGCCTGCTTCATCGCCCAGCCATGACGACTCGGTACCGCGTTGAGTGTAAGTCTGCTCAACAATTCCAATTCTTCCCCTCACGCTTGGTGTCGTTCCACGAGATGGAATATGAAGCATGGCTGGTGAAAGAAGTCCATTGAAGCTGATAGAAGACTCCAAGATGCCCTCAAGACCCATAGACGGGATCAGTTCATTGGTACGTCGCTTTTCCTGGTGGGGATCATCTTGACCGTGAGACATCAGCCTTTCGCTGCATGATCAAGGCCTGAGCTCACAACAACTGCTGGAATCACTGAGCTAATACATGGCCTTGGTGTCTGTGTCAGAATGGATCAAGGGTCTCTTGGCTGTCCCGTTTGTGCTCTATTCCCAGCCGACGGGAGTCTTTGGCGATGACAACAACGTGGCAAAGATGGCCGAGGAGGCCCATAGACGCTACGCAGAGATTATGCGCGACGTTGAGCTGATGATTGATGACCACAGTAAGGGGGCGATTCCTCTATTCTCTTCCGCTTTTTGGTTGGTTCTGTGTGTATGCTGATTGGATGTTACAAACAAACAGTCGCCCGCCAAAAGCGTGATCGCGCGCTCCCTTCCAAGCTCGGAATGCTGGTGCCCACAGCAGGCCCTTTCTTCACGCGGCTACCCCTGGAGGCAGCTTTCAAGTACCAGGACCGGAAGCGGTACATCTCGTCGAGACGATATGTAGCTCCTTCGTTCAACGATGTCCGTCTCGTGCTCAACTCGGCCCAGATCATGGCTGTGACGAATGGCACTCTTCAGCTGGCCACGTTTGATGGTGATGTTACGCTGTATGATGATGGACAGAGCTTGGAGCCTTCAAGCCCCGTCATACCGCGACTTCTAGGTACGCACTGCCTTATCTGACTGGAGTTGTAGTGTTCACTGGCTCTCTTCCTGCTTCCCTTTCCATCTTGCGGTTTTGTGACTCACATGCAGAGGAAAGGGAGCGGTGTGGGGAAGGAAAGTGCAGGGACTCGTTGTGAATCATGATGCTTATTTCTATTCTAGATCTCTTGCGCAAGAACATCAAGATCGGCATTGTCACGGCTGCTGGCTATACAACCGCGGATCGGTATTACGAACGTCTGCATGGCCTACTCGATGCCATTGCCACGTCTACTGATCTTGACCCCGTGCAGAAGCAGAACATTGTCATCATGGGCGGTGAGGCCAATTATCTTTTCGAATACGAACCGTCGTCACCATACCGTCTGGCGCCTGTTCCTCGCCCCGCGTGGCTCACCCCGGAGATGGCAGCCTGGTCAGAGGCGGAAATCGCGGCGCTGCTGGACGTGGCCGAATCAGCGCTCCGCGACTGTATTCGCACGATGAATCTGCCAGCCATTATAGTGCGAAAGGATCGCGCTGTGGGCATCGTTCCCAATCCTCCTGAGATCCGCATCGCACGAGAGAGTCTGGAAGAGACGGTTTTGGTGGTCCAGCGTATCCTGGAATTAAGTGCCCTTGGAGCGCCTTCGCAGCAGGCCGGCCAGGGCGCTCAGGGTCGCCATGGAGTTCCATTTTGCGCCTTCAATGGCGGCCGCGATGTCTTTGTTGACATTGGCGACAAGAGCTGGGGTGTGACGGTCTGCCAGCAGTGGTTCGGAAGACGCAGCGGAGGAAGCACTGGGGCCGATGCAGCATTGACGGCGATCAAGGGGGAAAATACACTGCACGTGGGTGATCAGTTCCTGAGCGCGGGATCAAACGACTTCAAGGCGCGGAGCGTGGGAACCACGGCATGGATCGCAAGCCCGGCGGAGACGGTGGAGTTGCTGGACGAGTTGGCGGATTTGATGCAGAAGAAGCTTTCATGAGGCCGCAACAGTGCTGGGACGAGCCTGGGAGGCAACCCTCTCCTGTGCAAAATGCAACCTTACTCTTTTGGGAGCACGACTGTTCGGTTCTTCTTGTTTCAGCTTTCTCTACGAGAAAGCATCATGCTTTTGCAGTTTTATGCCAGTAACGCTGCTTAGATATCCAGCATGCTTAGAATTCTGTTCTAGCCAATTCTTTGCTACGGTCACGATATACGAATGTGGACTTTGGAATTCTCGCTTTCTCATCATTCATACTGATTAAGTGTCTCGCTGATCAATGGTCCTAGTATGGATCTCATGGCAACATCGGCGGAAATGGGCATGCTGGTGTTTATCGCCGTTTACTGCGAATAGATCCAGAAGACGAGATGGATTCATCTGCAGATCTCTACTAGCAAGAGCATGATGGTCGCGCTAGCTTGTCTCTTATTACTCGTAGGCAAATCCTTAGGCCCAAGCAACTGGATACTAACTCACTTGCTCACCTGACAGGACCACCGCCCTATTCCCACCGCAAGCCCAACTGATCGGATATTGAGACAGTCCAGCCCAACCCTCGGCCCCTGGAGCTCCCGTCTCCACATACACACGTTTTCTCCCTCTTTTTCTCTTCCCAGCCGTCCGGCCTTGTGGATCTAGTTCGTCATTGCCGCAGAGATGCGGCGAGGACGTCCCAGGATAAAGGAAGTTGTCGATCGATGGTGGGGATACGAGGCAGAGGCGCATGAGTCGTCGTGAACTATCCTACTGGACTCGCGAGCCAGGCCAGGATATCTCGCCTTCATGCTCGGATTTGTTAGTGGCGGTGGCTACCGCTTGATCACCCGCTTGCTTAGGTACTGTGCGTACCCGCTCAAGAGCTCAGTAAGGTAAGGTATGCGGAACCGTTCACCAAGAGCCAGCAGCTGGAACTCTCAAGCAAGCTGGTTCGGAGCTTCTCAAGTGCCAAGGCAGAGTAGATACTCTTGCTCCTTCCCTTCGGGAGACTGTGCCCTTATCAATTACTGAACGGGAGCAGTTGCAGGTGCCCAGTTGACCCCGAAGTCGATAAGGGATCACGTGCCCCAAGGTTTGGCGAGGAGAAAGATAGAGTGAGCCACAGCCGATCCATCACCACCAACTCTCTAACAAACCGGAGAGAAAAAACGTTCCGCTGCTGGTGTTCGGTCAGATTCCAATTCGCGAACCGTAAGCATCTCCGCACCACCGTCTTTGTCTCTATCGCTATTCCGCCCCTTACACAGCTGAACTGACGAGCCCAGCATGTTCCCTGCTAGCCACGCTTGCCACGCCAATGGCCCCAAGGGGCCTCTGCCGATGCCAATTCCACCAGGCTCAAGCTAATCCTTAGTGTATGGCTGCCATGCATCTCGACAGCTGGGTCGACGACGTTTCCTGGGCATTCGCATGCGCTTCACCGTACGCGATCCGGGCCAATGTGGGCCGAACCAAACGGAGCTCACGGCTCGGTTTTGACACATGGCGCTTGCGGGTGGGGGAACGTAATAAAATCGGGCATGGCGCAAATGGGCGTCAGCTTGGACAAGCCCCGACGGCGGCTCTAAATCTCTTGACTGCCGAGCCAATGCTCATGGTGGGCTTCTTTCCGTCCTTCGAGGTGGCGGACAGCTTTTGGGTCCTAGGACACGACTGGTATGGAGTTCGGATGGTTTAAAGACGGGACGGGCGACGGCCATCATGGGGTGGTCAGTCTGCACTTCGTTTTGCTCGCTTTTTGCTCCATGGAATTGGCCTTGTTCCGGTCAAATGATCACGATACAGCTCCGCGATCTGGGGTGGATTGCGTGAAGAGCGCTCGAACACTCCTTTTCCCAGATCTCAGCTCCAAAGGCAGCCCATTGCACAGTATCAATGGTTATGGCTGAAGGGGCCGGTTCTTCAAATCGTTCATTTGTCTGTTGCTCTTCTGGTCACAGCCCAGCGAACCATTTCCCCTGAGAGCCACTCCTCTCATTCGACCCCGAAGACCTTCGAAAGCTGGATTCCGACACAATCGTTTACACTTACCATGTCCGCGCTCCCTCCGCCCCCGGCTGGAATCAATCTCCACGATGACAGGAGGGCATCCATCATGGCAACCTCTATAGTCACCTGGGTTCTAGCCGTTGCCGCCGTTGTTTTACGCATTGTATGCCGCCGCATGAGGAAGATGAGGCTGTGGATAGACGACTGGCTCATCATTGCGGCCTTGGTACATACTTCCCATCCCTGGCCAGACGGAGAGCTCGCTAACGGTCGCCTTGACAGGTCCCTTCTTGTGCGCATGTGTTTGGGATAGGTGTATACTGTCAGTAAATCCCCGGAGTCAACGCCCGTCTCATTCTTGCTCTTCAGCATGGTACTAACTGTCTTCACCAGCCGTGAGCCGTGGCTTAGGCAGACATGTTTGGGTCGGCCCGCCGGACGCACGATACGCATGGGCAATCGGACTGTTCATCGCCGAGCTGGGATACTTCGTCACCATCACATGTGTCAAATTCTCCATCCTTGCTTTTTACTGGCGCGCATTCAAAGTTATGCACTCTGTCAAGATTCCCATCTACACCCTAGCCCTGATTGTCTCGTGCTGGGCTATTGCTGTTGTAAGTTACCTGTCCGGGAACGAAGGCAGAGATCTTCCAAACATCTGCTAACGAGCGTCAAAAGATCCTCGTTACCATCTTCCAATGCCAGCCAACCAGTGCCTGGTGGGATCGCTTCAGTCCGTCACATCCTTTGCAGCCAGACCAGTACGACTGCACCGTGGACTCGGTCAAGTTCTTCTATGGGAATGCAATCCCAACTATCGTCACCGATGTTCTGATGCTCGCCTTACCTCTGCCATATATCGCAAAACTGCAGCTCCCCAGGGGCCAAAAATGGGGCCTTGCGGGCATCTTCCTCGTCGGGATCTTGTAAGTCGTCCGGCACCTCATCATTGCCATGACCATCAGGATATCTGATCATCGCGCAGCGTCACCATCGTCTCAATTGTACGGTTCCACTACTTGATTGAGGGGAATCTGACCAGCCCAGACATTACCTGGAACTTCGTCAATATTGCCCTCTGGTCCGTCCTCGAAGCCAACTTAGCCATCTTCTGCGGTATGTGTACACCTAAACGGCCTTTGCTGCCGTTGAGACTGCTCAATGAGCCATGTGACTAATCCTTTGCTGCCCTTGTAGCTTGTCTACCCTTCTTGAGGCCGATTATTCGCAAATTTAGCGGCGGCAAGTTCAACCTTTCGTCTGCCACTCCCCCGAAGCAGCAGAAGCAGTCAAGCGGTACACCGAGAATGAGCCTTCATCCGAGTGACCATCCCCGGACTTGGCAGGGGGATGGCCGATTCGGCACTTCGACCTGTCATTCCCGAGCATATAGTACCACGCGCGAGACGGACGGACACCCGTTTGTGCGTCTTACAGACAATGGTTCGGAAGCCAGCGTGCCTGTTAAGGAGTCGCCGGACGGCCCCCAGATCGAACTCGGAAATGTCTCTGCAGGAGAACACCTTGCTCAGCCTAACGGCATAGTCATTACGCGCGAATTCCATCTACAGCACCAAGATGTGTGATGTTAGAGGCTCGGTGGATCAGGCATCGACTTCATCACATATACCCATGCAGTTTCCATCCAGCAACTACCTGCGATGACCGGGACGCTTGCACCTACTTCTATCGATGCTGTCTGTGCACAGCTTATTCGACATGGCATCCGGAACAACCACGTTGAAAATCTTCAATGGTGGGTCGGAGTTCCAGCTTTCCAGACCCTGATCGACATACTGGGCCGTCTCGGCTGGAAAGCCTGCATCGGAAGGCTGCCAGCAATACATAATACCTGGGCTTAACGATGTCATGGGGCCCGAGGATCTGTTCGCGAGCAAAGTTGGAGATGCCAAAAGGCTCGAAGTTGCCTTTTCATGTATGGCATCCCTTGGCTCCTCGAACGGGACATTTTCGCCGGCGCCGTGCAGAAATACCTCCATATGTATGAGACAGGGCACAACAACACTGGATGCCAGGGGTCCGGACTTCACGAGAATTCGCCGAGATTGGGGTGATTTACCGTACCTTTTGAGCCTGCAGCTCCGTCAAGCTCTGTTCAGCCGACTGCTAAATATTGTCCGCAAAGCCCTTCGCGGGCCCTCTGGGCGCCTTGGTGTCAATGACGAACCCTGGGCTTATGTGAAGATCTTCAATGGCCATCTCTGACGCTTCGTCAGTCAGCCTATACTCAAAGTCTGTGCAATTCCTTCACTGCTTCGAGGAAGGTGATGGGCCCGATCTGTTAGCGAGCAGCTCATTTCGTATGCCGCAGATATCGCACATATATACGAGCCGTGATCATTACCTTGACGTTTATGGAGGTCTTGATGTTATGAGAACGCATAATGGAGATGATGCTCTGCAGCTAGGGTTCATCGCCTGCGACCCAGGTATGAGCCTCGACAGTTATGGTGACAGATGATTCTTCGGGCACAGTCTCCATCACCTTGTTGACTTCGAGAGAAAGACTCTTACTTTTGTTCCCCTATTCTACTGAACACAGTGGTTGGGGTACTTGTCCAGCCATAGAGTAGGTAGAAGGCAGCATATAGATTAGCTGGTCAACAACAGCGAAGCTGCGACTTTGTTGGAAAGCAAAATGGATATGAACAGGTCTTCCCACGCTTTGTAATCGTGATCGGCCCCTGTTTGGCGCTGCCGCGTCCGTTGCTCTCGTTGATGCCGTGACGCAAGACTGTGGTAGCCTCAACATAATGCAGAGTGTGAGGTGACAACGAAGCGTTTCGGTGTATGGACAAGCTCGTTTCGAACAGCCGTTTCTCGACAAGATGACATTCATTACTTTGTCTCATCCAGCTTGGCACCGAGACCGAGTGGACGTCATTCTGTCGAAGCGAGAGAGGCCATCCAGTGGGCATGAGGAATCCTTCAGCCCTTGGCACCTCCAATCAAGATTGATTCGGACTTGTTGTCAAGAGCTCTATGCTGTAAAAGGCCCACCAGGGCTCATTCTTCAAGTTGGAAGTCCCGAAGACAGTCAACAACTCCAGACGCATCTTGGTGTCTGCCTAGTGGAGAAGGATGAACTTGATCCTAATCGAAGGCAGCAGGAAGACTGCACAATTCTAACCCTTTTCTGCCATGCATCTGCCACGTCACCTTGGCCGGACACAAAGGTCGTGTTTCGTCCCACGAACAATATCTCACCAGATTTTGTTTCATAGCATTGCCCGCTCCCCTTTTGGCCAGGTAAGTAGGTGGCAAGGTGGCTAGCCCGACTTATTGAGGCCAAGGTAGCACGAGAGTATCATCTTTCATCTGTTTGCTTTTCCCCTATGGGTTTGCCCATTTGGACATGAGGCCTCAAGTTGACGAGCGATGACTATTCCCAATGGCCTTTGTCATTCGTGAGGAGCTACTCGTCTTTGCCTTGCGTTGACACAACACCTTGCAAATCTCGTTGTCCGGTCCCGATAGTCTATGCCAATCGGAGAAAAGAAAACATGGCACTATGATATGTTTCATGTCTCTTCGTGGTAGCTGATGCTTCCATGAGAGAATAGGAGACATCATAACATAGGTCCTTGCTTGAGAGCAAATCAAGTTGCCGGCACCAGAAAGTCGAGAGCTGCAATCAACTTCCGAACTGACGTTATGGTTCTCGGCCTTCAAGCAGCTACCTGGCCCAAACGCTCATGTGGGAGGGGTGAAATCCAACCCATCACGCGTTTGTTGGTTCACAACCAAGCTTGTCCAAAGGCGAGTATAGCAAGCTGCGTCGCCAACAGAAGAGCAACGAGATATCCATGACTTGATTGTGCGATATCGCTCGGCAGCACGGGGCTAGACTCGTCATCATGTAGTACACCGTCTTGGTTGTGGAATGCTTGTCCAGACACGCCACCACTCTACGCACGGCTTCGGGACGAAGTACGACATGCCAAGATATTCCAGGGCCTCTTGGCGAGACATATGTGCGTGTATATCTCAGCGCTTTTTACAAGCGCTAAAACGGGAGCAAATCATATCGAGATCCGTTTATCAAGTCGCTGACCCGAACATCTTGGCACACGCCAATCTCCGTTAAATCGATCGACGGAGCACCGAAGGATCACCTGGGTCGCCCACCAGCATCTCCGTGGTACTTACAAACGTGCGGCCCAGAATTTCTGGAAAGAAAGATGAGATGAAGGAACATGCAGTCGGTGTATTGTACCAGCGAGAACCGAGGATGTGTCGTGGGCTTCTGCGAGAAACCCGACAGGCGCCTTGCAGGCATATTGGTGTGTGACTGACATTCGGGAACGGGAATTCGCATGAGTTCCAGAATTCGGCCAACAAAAGACCAATCGGAGAAAGATTGATAATGGTTTTTCGTGAGCAAGGGAGCGATTCCCAGGACCATGTTCAGACTGCACAAGCGTTCGTACGAGGTAGGCTCGGCTGTATGATCCTCCTTGCAGCGCGCAGCCATTGACCGGGTCATCATCTTCGCATTATCCGACAGCGCGTATCTTGGCCTGTTCTCCCCTTGTCTGAGAATATGAGACATTCTCACTACGGCTGCCTGTCCGCATTATCACGAACCGAACACGTATGAACGCGAGCCAGCTGATATCAGTCGGCTTGCTTGGGCAGCAGGCGGAAAAAGCGTCGAAAGGAAACTGGCTGCCCACCAGCGTTTCCAAAGTCTTCTTTTCCCGAGCACAGGACATCTCAAGCCTGCGGCATCTCTCCGTTGATTATGATGTGTGACGACTGTATACCGACCGAACTGATTCCAGAACACCAATGCGTGTTCAAGGGAGGCACAGCCATATATCTCCCGCGATCATCACGGTTCCTGACTTGAAACAGAACAAGCTCGTCTCAAACTTGATCCCTGATTTCTTGGCCGTGGCCTTGACGCTGCTACTTGCCGTGGCCAAAATGAGGCTTGGGAGATGAGACTTGGATTCGAACCAAGAGTGTATTTTGGCGAGAAAGCGAATCGCCCTTCCCAAGACTGCTGTGATTGGGCCTTGGACGAAGGAATTGGTAGCAGTCTGAGGCAGTCGGGCCCATGTTGAGTCTGGCGCCCAGCTGTCTTACACCAAAGCCACTGCCCTCAGGATGGTTTGGAGCGGGCCCTGAGATCAAACGTTGCACTGACACGAATAGCGTGGTGCGGCAATTTAAGCATATTTTTTGAGTTCTGCTAATGAGAGTACATAAGCGGCTGTGGCAGCACCGCTCATGCTGTTTCATGCTGTGGGAGGTTGGAAGGGATTGCAATGGCTCATACCAGTCGTCTTGATTGGCCTCTTTCCCTATTCCCCGTCAGCCCAGGTTGACAGGTATGAGGCGCTGGCGAAAATTTCAAATTGCTAGATGGAGCTATCTCGCCGGTGCCATATGGACAAGTGGGTTTGCTCAAAGCAGTTCGTCTTAAGATGAACCATAAACCATGGATTCAAGGAGCAAGGAGAAAGCCCGAGAGGAGTAATGCAGTGCTCGACCCTCATAACAAGAAGTGACGGCCTGCGATCAGAGCAGGGGAGAAGCAATAGGTAGAACGGGATGGTAGGAAGCGTATGACAGGGGCTGCTGCTTCCGTCAATAAATTCAGAACGTGTACGATCTCTCAGTGTGTGTGCTTGTCGAAGCGTTTCGCGCACAAGCTAAAATGTGTCACGGATGCCTTCCTGGGCCTAATCGACAATCCTGTGGCACCTTCAAAAGGCCAACCGGAGGCCAACAAAAAATCGGCAACCCCCTGTTGGTTCCATGTAAAGGACGCATTGCATTACACTTCGTGCGAGGTGATGAGGACTTGAAAATGTCTCGGGCAGAGAGGGCTTCATCAAGACTGCCCCCGTTTCTGAGGGAGACACGATGCTGGCCCTTTGCCTTGGTTGTGGCGGTGGTCAGGGAGTGCTTTGGTGCCAATGTGCCCAGAGGCGACTCTTCCCGCTTTCTATATCCCGCCGTGGATCGTCTTTTGCGTCTGTACTCCGTGGTTGTCAAGGATTGTCGACCCGTTGCCGACGTTCGATAGAAGCACCTGGCCAGCCCGAGCTACGGCACCGTTGCACCTCGTATGGATAGCGTAAGGGAGCGGCATATCACAGGCGCCCGTCAAGAATGGCTCCGCTTGAGAAGCAATACCTCTTCGTTCTGAGTGAGTTCTGAGCTTGCGAGCATTGAGTCAAAACGCGATTAATATCAAGAAGCGCGAAAAGCGCGGGTCAGCCAATCGCCTCACTGCTCTGCTGCGGAATGAGGGCACGGCACATCGGCTTAGCTTGGTGATGTTTCCTTGCCTGCTTGGCTTAAAGGCGCTTTGGGTGCCGACAGAGCCGGGCATATCCAATAGAGAGTGAAGGAGCCGACGGAGTCGACAGTTCCAGCCTGAGCAAGCACATGCATCAGTGTACAGCAGGTCGAATAGCTTGAGGAATAGCGTCGGGCGCGTGTGGAGGCCATGAGATAAAGCGTGGTTTTGAGCTCCGCATACTCTTCAGCTGCCACGGTATCGGTAACATGGTGAAGCTCACAGAGCAAGTGAAGACGGCGCCTAGACGTGTATGAAGTAGCTCACGATGTCAAGCTCGTGTGGTTAGGTGGCCTAGCTTGGCGCTCTTTGGTTCATTCTCGATGATCGCTGGTGGTCCGGTGGTCCATTGCCGCTCCCGCGGAGCCACCAACTCAAGCGGAGCATCATCGCCCCTGGACTCATAAGACCCTGAAATGCCGTCTGGACGTGGTGCTCCCCTCCCCCCTCCCTTGCTGTATGCTAGTATCCGTACTTGGTACGAATATCGACCGCAGGATGGCGGTGCAATGGAGCATATAGCCAAGTATGCGATACTTTGCAGCGCTGAGAATCCGATGGGAAGCGTCATTTTCGCTTCTTGCTGTTACTGTAGAGGACGGAAATATTTCCACGTCGAATATGCTGATGATGGCCGTGACTCGCTGCTGCTCGAACCCAGTTGCTATAATTAACCTGGGCTCCTCCGGCTCATCTTGTACAGGTGCAAGCAATATTAGCACTTGATACGCTGCCCATCCGTCGACCGTTCTATTAGTACTGCTCGTAATGGATCCCGTCCCAATCCCGCTTGATCTGGGGGTTGCAATTTGCTGCTTCGGCTTTTGCTTCCCTGCTGCTAACGGCCAGATAGACTCCGCGGCCGACTGGATCGGAGAAGGGGAAAGGGGGGACCGATGAGGGGTGTAATTGGGCACTAGGTACGGAGTACGGAATACCTCAGGTAGTGGTTAGTACCGTAGTGCCTGGTAGTAACAGTACTAGTGCTACGTAGTATTCTGCCCAGGGGCAAGGTTGAGTATGACCTGCAAGGCGCGACGTGCTCTGGCATCAGTCAAGCATGAGATGGAACGGCCGTTGACCGGCAAGCAAGAAGACAAGCGGAGAGGACTCGGAGCTTGATTTGGGATTGGACATAGCAAGCGCCTCGTTTGTGGTCCGGCCGAGGAAGTAGTCTTGTCGAAATACCCATGCGTGACTGACATGCGGCTTTAACGTGGCATATAGGTTGGTGCCATAAGGGCGGTGCAATGCAGGTACACAAGCTGCAAAGGGGCGTCGAGCAATGAGTACCCGATGTAGCGGCCGGTAAGCTGTCTTTCTCAGCAGTACAAGTATTTCTTGCAGCAAAGCAACGCTGTTGATGAATTGATTGCCGCTTTTGGTACATACTTTCTGACGAGGGCAGCGCCTTGGCAGTCAGATGTTGGTATTCTGTACTTCGAGAAGCGAGGCCGGTTTCCAGCTGACATCGGTCGGACACGGGAAACGGTGGACCGGGGCCGATAAAGGGCCAGCACGCCTTGCGGCGAAAAGTTGGGTGGTGTGTCTGTATTCTCTATTCGTGGCTGCAGCTCCGAACACCAAAGAGGGACGGCCGCATAATAGGTACTTGTAAGCCGCCGTTCTCGTACAAGTACGATATGAGGTTCACACCGATGTCGCTGATATTGGTGTAATAAGCTGTTAGGTAGCTTGAAATCGCCTGTGACGCCTGGCTCGCCTGGCCTGGCACTCGGGGGATCGAAGTGTTATGTCGATCCCTTGGCTGTTGCGCTAGAACATGAAGAGGCCATGGGCGATTGGGTGACCCCACATGCATGCTTTGTATGTACGAAAATAGCAGGTTTCGAATGTTGACCACAGTAACACTCTGATCCATGCCTGAGCCTCTTGACTGTGTCAAGGAGATCCTCATCAAGGCCGTGATGAGCAAATGCAAAACCACCCAAGAGGGAAGGGAGCAGAAGATCATGCGGAGTAGCATTGGGTCCCGTACCCTTCTATACCAGCCGTGCCAGGAGCCGTGACGTTGGGACCCCTATGGAGGGCCGCAGCGCATGTACTACAAGTACTTTGTAGTATGAAGTGCGGCTTGTCCTGTATGTATGTGTCGAGCAGATGAGCACCAGCAAACAATCCAGTGGGCGGCATTTCGTATTACTCAGAGCCGGATCCATTGCGCCAAGCGGCGATCAAATGTGTCTTCCCTTGTGCTCGGACTCGATGACCCTGTTGCTGGACGTGCTTGGTGGTCAAGCAGCATACCATTAGCACCAAGCACCGAGTGACTGAAAAGGAGCGAGACAGAGAGCAGAGAGCAGAGAAAGCCTGATTACTGTGAGTAGCGCGGCAATACGCGGGCACCTCCCCGAGCACGGGTCTTGATCCATCACCCGACCGATGCTTGGACAACGAATACTGGCAGAGATGCGGGCGTGAGGGTCTTGTCGGTCGCCCATTTTGGAGTTGGTCACATCGCGTGGGTGTGCAGATGATGAAGTCTGGAACAGGGCAAGTCTGGAGATGAGGAGAACCTTGGAGGTCTGGAGACGGGAAGGTGCGCATATGTTTGGTGCCAGCCTTCCGTGCTTGCATGCTCACACAAGGTACCTACCTTACTAAAAGGTAAGGTACCACTGCACTGCTTTACCTTCCTTGAGGTAACTGTACGTGTCTTGGCTTCAAGTTTGCAGCTTCCAAGTTTCTTGTTTTCCAGGCTTCTAATCTCGTCATCAATCAATCAGTAGCAGCAGCCTGCAAGTGAGCCTGATCATTTGGAGACATGTGCAGTGAACCATCAAGCCAGGCAGCCTTGCAAATTGTCGAATCCTCTGAAGCAGAGGAGCCTCGTGTGTGTTGCGCACCACTACCTACTCCACCATTGTATCTTCCCCAAGTTTCTATTTATACAGTGTAATCTGTAAAATTATACAATCCAAATAATGGCAATGATGGCCCTGTGGATTCTGTCCCTGCTACAGAAATGAGGTTGTGAGATTGTGAGATGCTCTTCTCGTCTCGTCAGGGAGAAAAGAGTGAAGCGAGCCTCCAAGCGAAACTTGGCGCCGATTAGTACTTACTGAGGGGAGCATGTACCGAAGACCGAGCACCCCAGACATGATCAAAACAATACAGTACTTCGCAACTCAGTCGTCATAAACGCATCTCCTCCTCCAGCTGTGGCTCGCAACACCTCCCTTCCTGAGAAGCCGCAGAGCATTGTCGCTCCGATGCATGCCCAGTCTTTAACAGCCCATGGCTCTCGAGGCTGTATACGTCTACTCCCGAGTTCTTGCGTCCAATTAGCACTGCAAAGAGCACCAGCGCTTCGTGCAGCCATAAAGCACCCATAGGGATCTATAACTGCTGCTTCATCAAGGAGGGATAGGTTCGGCTCATAGGTCCTCCTACAAACTGGACTGGAAGATTGACTGCCGTACTCGGTACTACATAGGTGAGGTATTGACCAACTGAATCAGATGCCTTGGGATTTTGTAGCACGGCTTCAAGGTTCCCGTCCTGTGCCATCCCAGCCCGTGCCAGCATGTACACGTATAGAACAGACGCCAAAAGATTGCCTCTGGTGCTAACAGGTAAGTCAATGCTAGGGGCCAAATCAGATTGCCTTGGCATCGACATACAGTAGCACATGTAAGGGGAGCGATGGGCAAGCCACCGGGCGAGCGCAGTACCAGGTACCGGATACCCTTTCGGCTTCGCGCAGGTACGGCAGGCCTGTACCGTGTACGAGCGGCTCCGTACCGCGACCCCCCTCCAGATTTGCATCCAGAGCGGCCTCGATTTGAACATCGCCCATTGTTTTATTAAATGCCTCCACCTCCCACGCTTTGGATCATTTCTCTCTCCTCGTGTCTTGGCTGGTTTTAGCTGAATCGAGAGAAACCAAGAGCAAGGAAAGCGAATCTCCACCCTTTAGTTTCCTCTCTTTCTCGCTCCTTGGTCGACATTCTTCTTCTTTCTTTCCTCTCTTCATGTTCTTGATTCACCTTCTCTGCTATTCTAGTATCTTTTGTCTTCACTGATCACCTCTTCAGTGTCAACCTAGGAATCAATCACACCTACAATCTGCGCCTCTCCTCATTTGTCCTCTCATTCAACGCCGTCGACGCCGGGCCGGATCTAGCATCTGACCCAAACCTTGACCGACCAGATTGACGCGAGACAAGCTCCTCCGAGTCGGCTTACAGCCCACCTTGAAGTGCTTAAAAGCCTCGGTGGAGACACGGACGGCTTTGTCGCTGCCAGAAACCCCCGCTATACGGCCGACGCATCAACGCGGAAAAGGGTGAAGACGAAAAGCGCGAAATCGATGGGAACCTAGGAAAAAGGGAAAAAAGAGCAAAATCAGGGAAGAGAAAGAGAATGGGAGATTCCCAGGCCTGACCGAACTCTACCGCTACGATATCTGGCATCATCGATCTCCACACACATCACCGCCACCCGAATCCTGACGTCGCATCGCAAACCTCTCCGGGGTCTTCTTCTTCGTTTCTACTTACTTTTATATGAGGCACATCTACTGCAGCCACACACTCTCCTCGAAATCTTCACGTTGGCTTTCTCTCCTCCCACGACACCATCAGCGAACCGTGACGTCGAAATCCAGCCAAACGACCGCCTTGGAAACGACGCCTCGTCCACGGCACAAGATCCCTCTCGGCAACACCGCGGACTTGAACCTCTCCTGTCGTCAGAGCCGAGCCTTTGTTGGTTGGTGAGTGGTTAAAGCGACAGCCCAATTACGTCGCAGGCCCGCCCCAAAGATCCCCCTCCAAGCAGGATCGGCCCCGAATCGAACGCTTCTAGAGAAGCACCAGCAGCACTCTGATTCGCCTCCCGCCGACGCCTAGACGCTAAAGAACCGCCGTTACCCTGATACAGCGTCGGTAGCGTCCAGTGTCGCAGTCGAGTCGCAGTCGCAGTTGCACGCACGACAACAGCAGCAGAGTTCGAGGTACACATAGTGTCTTCGCATTCATCGCACCGCATCGCAGCCAAGCCGCGCCGTTCAAGACCCTCAAGCACAGGCGTTGTACCACCGATTCTCGCTTCCAGAACAGTGGAGCCCCAGGCCCCTCCAGCTGCCAAACCAACAGTCAGAGCTACTATGGCGCTTTCAGCAGGTCCGGGGATGCTGGCTGCTCCAGCTTCAGCGCCGGTAGCGCCAGTGCCGGCCCCAGAGGGTGAGTGACTTATTCGCAATTGTTTCCACGTTCCTTGCACCTTGCCTTAGATAAGCCCTTTTTCGCATTTTGCATTTTTTGCATTTATCACGGCGACGTCTTGCCGCTTTTGCCTCCAGTTCCTGCTTTCTCCCCCTCCAATTCCGTTAAGAGAGCCTTCTGTGGCACCCACGACGCCTCTTGTTCTGGTGCGCTGCAGGTTTTTTTCCTTGGCGCGCAACGTCTCTTCAACACCACCTCTTTTTGGCTTCGCTGCTGAATAATTCGCTCCAACGTCCGTCCCGACTCGTTGATTCGACGGCATATCTGCATCATTTCGACGATTCGCCTTGCCTTGCCTTGCCTCTTTACCTCCCTACCTATTTCCCCTTCCACAAGCCGGCTTGCATATTTTTTTTTTTCTATTACTATTGATATTGTTTATTATTATTGCCTTCTCTTTGCTGTTTTCATCGTCACCGATTTTGCTGACTCCGTCTGCAATTGGCCTCAGCGGATAAATGCGCGCAATCACTTCAATGCGCCTCTGATACAAGCAGCTACTACAACGCCGATCTGCCTTCCCGCCAGCCCACGATTGATCTCTCAGATCCAATCCTCGAGGGTGACGAGACCGAGAGCGAGGGCCCCGTTGAACCCGTTACGCCCACCAGCGGCCGCCAATCGCAAGACTTCACATCGCTGAGGAATGCGCATGACCAGGAGCAGGACGACCGCAGCAGTTTCAACACACAGTCTGACCAAGCCTTGCATCAGCAGCAACCTGCCGGCGCTGTGACATCTGCAAACAAGGCCCCTGTTCTCTCCTCGCCCTCGCGCAAGACGGCGTCCGTCGAAGCCTCCGCGGCAGCCCTGAACCCGGCTCCAGCGGCCAGACCGACCTCTAGCAGCCTCCTGTCTCCTGCATCGGCAGCATTTCCTGTCTCAGTCGCAAAGCCAGGCACCGCGTCTTCTGAGCTTGCGCGTACCAACAGCAACAGCAACAGGTCTTTCACAGACCTGACGCCCACTTCGAGCCGACCTTCCATTCAGGAACCGCCCCCGCCATCGCGGCGCTCAGCTCGGCTCTCGACTTCCAGCTTCAAGAGCACAATGACGAACTTCTTTCGCCGTCCCGGCGCACAGGACGCCCCGGTCTTTGAATCTGGTTCGCCGACTCCCTCAGAGTCTTCCTACCTGCACCGACCTCTCACCAGCACCGCTCGCCCGACCACGCGCTCAAGTCGCTTCTCATTTACGAGGCCCTCTAACTCTACTACTCGATCAAACTCGCCCCCTTCTCCCACCATGGCGGCATCTCTCGATGGGGCGCAAGCAGACAAGGCGTCTCTTGTCGACGAGGATCTGCTCAGCGAGGCCGACTTCAAGAAGAAGAACCGTGCCTCGACCGGGCTCAGCTTGCGGGGCCGCGCCGTCAACTTTGTGGGCACGACAGTCGGCCGCACTGCTGGGCGCCCTAGCAAGGCTGCGTCGCGCCGTGCTAACAGCTTTGACGCTGGAAGTCGCGGGCCGCCTCCTCACCAGCATGCCAACGTAAAACCCGGCGATCAGACGTACCCCCCTGAGCGACACCCGTGGGCACTCCCCCCTGATGTCGGAACCGGCGCCAAGGCCCGTCGCATGAGCTTGAGCTTACCCGACGATTTCAACGTGGACGTCGCCGTGCTACAGGACGAGTTCGAATACCAGAGCAAGCTCCTGGGTCGCCACGGCAAGCATCTTGGAAAGGGTGCCGCCTCCAAGGTTTCCCTCATGGTGCGCAAAGGCTTCCCCACTGAGATGTACGCCGTCAAGGAGTTCCGCAGCAAGTCGAGCCGGGAGAGCAAGGAGGATTACGACAAGAAGATCAAGTCCGAGTTCAGCATCGGCAAGAGCCTGCATCATCCAAACATTGTCGAGACTGTTCGCCTCTGCACTGATCACGGACGATGGAACCACGTCATGGAATACTGCTCTGAGGGTGACTTGTTCAGCCTTGTGCAGAAGGGCCACCTGAAAGGCGAGGGCAAGCTTAAGGATCGCCTGTGCCTCTTCAAGCAGCTCATCCAGGGCGTCAACTATCTGCACGCCAATGGCATCGCCCATCGCGACATCAAGCTCGAGAACCTGCTCATCACCAAGGACAGCAAGTTGAAGATTACCGACTTTGGCGTCTCCGAAGTCTTCTGTGGCACCCATCCGGGCCTTCGCGAGTCTGGCGGTCAGTGTGGTAGAAACATGGGCGAGATCCGACTCTGCAGCCCGGGGCTGTGTGGAAGCGAGCCCTACATTGCGCCCGAGGTTCTCCAGAAGAAGGGCCCATATGACCCGCGAGCCCTCGATGTGTGGAGCTCAGCCATTGTCATGATTTACATGACGTTTGGCGGTGCCATCTGGTCCAGAGCCGAAGCTGGCAACCTTCACTACGACAAGCTGGTAGCGGGCTGGAAAAAGTGGAACAAGAAGCATGAGGGCGAAGAGAACGCCACCATCACCGACACGGACTATCCCTACTGCCAGGCCCTCGACATCGGCGTCAACCCTCCAGCTCTGCGACGAATTCTGCTGCAGATGCTCAATCCTGACCCCGACAGCCGTATCAGCATCTATGAGGTCATCAACAACCGATGGGTCAAGAATATCGAGTGCTGCCAAGTCGAGTCGTACGACGACCCCAAGCTAACGATTGACGTGACCAAGAAGGATTACGGCGGCAAGAGCGGTAGCAAAATCTTCTGCCACAACCACCTTCCGCCCAAGTCGTTTGGCTCTCACTCGTTGGGCAAAATGCCTGGCCAGGCTGGATACTAAGAGAGCCACGCCACATGCGACGATAGCCTTGCGGTTTACCATCTGTCAACTGTTTTCATAGCGACCATCTTTCCTCCCCAAGCTCCTCTGTCGTTCCCGTTCTTTTACCTCCTCGGAGCCTTCATGGATATTGGGTGGAGCATAGTGATTGTCTTTACTTGGCTTTCTCTGCTAATTGAGATTATGGGTGTCTCTTGCTGAGAGTGTCATGAACCCATGCCTTTCCTACCCGGTCTACCATTCTTTCTTTCTCTCTTTTTCCCTTGGTGTTATTACGGGTTGGGTGCACTGTCCAGGTGGAAATACGAGCTGGCATCACCTATTGGAGTCGGTGATGAGACTCAAGCGGCCCAAGAGAAGGGGTCCGTCTGGTTGGCGTTTTATTGGAGGTTGAATATCGTCGTTTTCTCTCACTTGTTTTTTTGATACAGCTGCCTTGTGCCAGGCTTCTGCCTGTCATCCTCTCTTCAAGAGACAGCGGCGCATGGCATTTCATTACAGAGCATACACGGGGATGTGTGATCGTGAGTCGATCCAACCCCTTTTCCTTCTTCTTTTCTGTTCTGGGTTTGTTGCATACATACATCAAGACGGGGAGATGAGTCCACGCGAGTGTCATGATATCCTTAGCTCAGTAGGGTGAGCGACCGCAAGAGTTTCATGCATGCATGGAGGATTCCATGCCATTTTCTTACTTTCCTTTATGTGCTGTCTCTCTGGGAGAGAGGGATCGGCCACTTCTCCTTTTGCGATTCCCCCTTCTCGCGCCTACGTGGAATGAAAAAAAGGAATGACGCTGCAGAGCGTCTAAAAGGGGCAACGATGAGCGCTCTGCAATGCCGACTCCAGACGGGGTGGTGGCAAAGCGAAATGCCTTGAACGGCGCGCCTGGGAGGAGTCGCGAAATCCCTTTCCCTAATAGACTACTGAAGATGTACCTTAATCTTGCCAATACATCCATGCCTGAAGAATCGATCATGGCAGTCAAAGTCGCACGCAGTCCTTATGCAGCTCAAGCAGTGCATCCATGCGTCCGGCCCCCTTTCCCTCACGGACGATCGAATGGTGACGTTGTGTACCGATGACCCAAACTTACAGCGTCATGAATTTCGAATGGCGACAGGCTGCACATCCGCACACTACCACCAGTGCGGCTGTGGTGAGACCAGAGCTTCACGTGGGCGGCTTGATTGAAGGACACGGAATCGGACAAGGCTGCGGATGAGACCTGGCCAGATCTTTACAGCAGCTGACTTCACGTCTAGTGATGACAGGCCCTGATGAGGGTTTTTTTTCTCTTGTCGGCGAAAATAGCTGTCAGAATGTGACAGATGATAGAACTCTCGATTCCGTATTGATAATATTCTCCGAGCCAAAAAAGAGCTGCGCGGAATGGTGAGGCGGGTCTGATCGGAGCTGAAGCTGCTATCAAGAGAGGCATCACAAGGCCCCCGCCGTGATATTGAGCAGGCAACTGCATCACTAATGCCCCGTAGCTCGTTGGGAGCTGCATGGCGATGGGGAACGAGTCATGCAAGCGTCTGCAGAAAAGGGTTCCAGACAAGCATATTCGCCAATGAGGCGAAGCTGTGCATCCCTCTCTGGAATTCATTCGGCATGTGAATCCATCCAGCTAAGCGGTTGGGTGGTGTTGCGGACTTTTTTTTTTCTCAAATTGCAAATGCAGCTTCTGTCCCCCTTTGCACCATTTAGCCAATCTCATAGCAGCGCTGACAGGGTCCTCATTATCTTTTCTCCTATTCTATGTACTTGTAGGTTTCTGTCAAGGGACGCATGGAGCTCGGGCTTTTGCTTCAGACACGACACCCTCGAAACAACTGCACGGATACGGAGTAGTGAAGATTGAAACAGACACACACTCTTGCCGATGCTTGACAACGGAGTTCACTGCCGCGCCGCCTCATCACCGCTCAAACGGCACGTCCATCTCAAATCGGATCGTATTTACATCTGGCATTCCGTAAGTGTACGTCGGGCGACAGCTGCCGGCTTGGCTGCATATCAGCCGCAGGGATTCGGACTGCGACGTGAATGGACCAAAGGCTGTTCAGCGCATGCATGTTTGACCCTAGCCCTGTCCTTTGTAGTCGTTTTGGCTTGTCATGTTTTCTTGTTTGGGCCATGAGATGCGACTCCCGTACTAGCATCGGCTTCTTCGCCGGCGCCTAGCGATATCGGCTGCAGGTAACGGGAGCTGCTTCCCTTGCGAGCTTCAGGTGCACGGATAACCGATTGTAAGCTCTGAAGCCGAGTCACCCGGTCTGTTCTTCTCTCTATCTCTCTCCTTTACGTCCATGTACTCTGATTTCGCGTGAGCATTCTCATACGTGATGTTGATGTTGAGTTGGAGTATTGGTACGTAGTACAAACAGCCAACCAGGTTGAGTTCCGGTAAACTCTTGCCGGCTGGATCGCCCCCATTGTGTCGATGTGTCGGATCCCTCAGCCATGGCCCCCAGCTGTTGCCGGCATGCCGCAGATGGTGTGAAGCGGTGCATATGAGGCTGATATTTCGGAGCATGACATAGGATGGTATTCAGCAGATGTAGACGGTACTTGATCGCGCCTCGAGGCTATCTTGATGGAAGTAACAACTACTTCATGCAGCTTCGTAGATCCCCAAGACTGACCGCTCCTGTCATGCACCCTATTACAGTAAGGGTCCTGAACCGGGGTGTGCATTTCTGCACGCAGACGGATCGATGACTTGGCATCTTGCGATTCAGCCTGCTAGTAGTAGTACTACCTAACAGTGCCAAGTGATACGAAGCAGGATCCTCTAAGATCTCATGGGGGCCACATATGCCGTGGCTTAGACCTGATGCCCAAGGATGGGGATCGAGCGATGCTTGGAGCGTGGGGCATACGGAGAGAACCATCTCCTCGGGAAGGGCACCTCAATGACGTTTGAGATGGACGACTTGCGGTCTGCCATGATAAATCGTACGTAACACTCTTCATCGTGCTTCGTCAGAGCACCGTTCACCTGATGATTGTCTTAGTACGACTGCTGTACATTGGCCATTGGCCACCTGGAAGGTTCAGAGGAAAACAAATTCGATACCCAGCAGAGACTTGCGCTGAGGCTCTCTTTCGGTACATGTAATAAGATGTGCCACTCTTCAGAGACACTCGGACGTACATGCGTTGATACTTCGTGCACCTGCGTCTCATTCCAGCCTGATCCGTTGATACCTGACTGCTGTTTACTCAGAGCTCGGTCCATTTCGTCTTTCATATTCGATAGCCATCAGTGACAGCATTCACCCGCTGTAGTAGCAGAATCAAGCTGGGTTGAGAATGAGATTTGGCGTTATGGTGGAGGGGCGTAGGTCGTACCTACCCTGAGTGAGTGATGTGTCACACACGACAGAAGGTACGCTCATTTCCTCAAGGCTGTTGCCTTCCAATTCATCCAGTACCTCATGGTAAGGTAAGGTATGATGACTTCGCGTCGGGATAGGTAGGGGAGAACAGTCATCGGGTCTGGGCTTTGCCAAAAATCACATTCGCTGCCGAGGCATTCTTACAACATTCAGACCTCAGATAGCATCGCCATCCCGGTATCTGGTGACGAAACATTCTACAAGGTCATGTTCGACCAAACCCTGGAGTGTATTCAGAGCACCTACGTAACTGCCTCCTTACTACGGAAGGAACATCGCGCAAATTCCTACCTCGGAAGGAATATCACGTAACTGCCCACTTACTATGGAAGGAACATCCTGAAGATGGGTTGATAGGGCCAGGTAGAGAACATGGCGACACATGATTCGTCTCGCCTAAGGTATCATTATCGCACAGAAGGTGAAATGTAAATCTACCGTCCCTACCTTGTCATGACCAAAGTGCATCATTCACTCTGATCGTCCATCATATGGCAACCACCTACTGCGACATTGTTCGACTATAGCCGCATTTGACAGTACTCTGCCTTCAAGTGTGCCCGTTGCAACAGATCTTCTTCAAGCCCCGTCCTTTGTCGAAGGCACTTAAGAGATAGGAACATCTTCGCCCAGACAGCAAATGGCTAAGGCGGATGATCCCCTTCAAGCATACCTTGCCAATCGCGTCTCCCCATTCAACGTCTGGACTCTATCGATACTGCGTTGGAGGACCAAATAATCTCCCGACACCTCTTCACAAGGTAAGCTCCATGGCCGCATAGTAATAGCACCTTGACTGGTCAATCTATCTAGCAGTGAAAATGAGTAACTAATACTTGACAATCCAGTGCTTTTTTCATATATGGATGACTCTACATTGTCACGGTTTGTAGCATTCCAGTGATGCCACGAAGACACGACAACGTCACAGAAGCTCGATGAATACCCTTATTCGCCGTCAACAAAGTTATACTCGGACGCCGCCTGTCTATTATACTTGAAGGAAACTTTCTGGACGATTCAATAAAAGTCACTGCATTCATCAATTCGTCCACTTGTACGGTGCTCCCTGTTGACCAAGACTCATGGTACTTCGAGCTGTCGGAGAATCTCGTCGAATTCTGGATCACACTCCCTATACTTGACCACGAGGCCTGCCTTGGACGAGCCGTACCCGAGGGGCGGGAGTAGGATACTCCTCCGTTGAGATCTTTGGACGTCTTTCGCTGCTCGACACAGATAAACCATTACCGGCATTTACACGATCAACAAGATGTTGTGAGCTTGTCACAATTTGCGATAGAGAGCCCGTCTTCGATGATGCAGGGTCCCTCAAGTCCCAAAAGCAATGCCAGAGCCGAGTGCAGAAGTGTGTTCATATTTGCTTGCGGTGACGAACGTGAACTCGAAACAGCTCAAAGAGATAGGTGAACAGCCAAACCATCTCAGGAAACAGATCTCTGACGGTGCTCGCTCAACTTTGGCCATCACTGGCGTTACGGCAAATCGCTTTCATGGATTACTTGCCATCGCAATATAGCACATCGCTTTGCGACAGTTGTGACCACCGATAACCCAGCTCAGGTCAGTAGCTACCTACTACATTGGCAACTTCTCTCGCAGTTTATTCTTCAGGTCGGGCCACGGCTGACTTTAGGGTAGATGATGCTCGATTACTCCCTTTACAACGATGCCCTCAACGAGCGCCGCACTTGGTCGAATAGCATATCTACCTGGCGCCAAGCCGCCATAAGAGCTTATACTCGCTTTGGCACCGCCTTTGGTGATGTGATGTCGATATGACCGCTTGAATTACTACGTCATCGTGGGATTCAGGAGCCACTACCATGGCTAACAATTTCGGCGAGAAATCCTTAGCCAGGATTGGCTACAGCTACCCGCTGAATATCGCTCAACACCTAGCGTATGACTTCCGTGAGCCAGATTCCAAGCCCTCTTGCTTGACCTCCCTCCTTCGCTTTTGAAAAGGCACCGTCGCTTTCACCGAATCAACAACCACAATTGTCCATTTTGGCGTATCTTGGGCTGCTCGGGACCATACACAACAAAATGTACTTGTCCGGGCCATCTCTCGTCTTTGTCGCTACTGGCATCATCGGTTCCTCATGACTGTCTGGTAAGTCTCGACTCCATGCGTTCCGAGCTCCTGGTTGCAATCGGATAATCTCATTTTGTGCCTCTCTAACGCCACTATAGGGGCTATCATATCATTCTCAATCGCCGGAGCACCAGCTGCCGCTGCAGTGAACCAATCCTCTGCCACAATCTGGGCTGAACTGTATAAACGTGGAGCTGCTTCAATGCCAAAGTTCGCCGTCGGCACTTCTCTGGCTTACATATTTGCGGCATACGGTGCTTATGGTAGCAAGGGACCATGGGCGAGCGATCTGGGAGCCGCTGGTTGCGTCTTGTCGATCGTACCCTTTACTCTGACAGTCATGAAAGATGTCAACGGGTCTTTGCATGAAGAAGCCGGCCGAGAAGCCAGCGAGGAAACGCAAGTCCCCAAGGTGCGCGTCAAGGGCCTTCTGGATCGATGGATCACCTTGAACCTCGTTAGAGGGCTCTTGCCGTTTGCTGGAACAGCCTTGGGCTGCTTTGCATTTTACCATGATGGATTCTAGTGGCACAATTTGCCGCTCAGTCAATGTATGATCTATCAGCCGGGACTTCATAATGGTGGCTGTGTCTCTTCTTGCTTTTTTCCCTGGCGTTGTGATCCACCCGGCAGGATGCAACAGCAATTAAACATGTCACCTCAAATTTACACTACATGCGCCTTGTCACCTCATTCAGTAACACAGCCAAGGTGTCAGGTTGGACGTCAAGAGTGAACCGCGGAACCGGGACAGAGTGAAACTGGACTTACTCTACCTACTTACCATTGACTGTCAGGAAAAAGCAAGGGAGAGGGTACGAACAATAGCTTTCAAGCCACGTCAGGTGGATCTGAAGCAAACCTCCCGAAAGAAACACCGAAGGATGCGACATGTGTCTCTGCAGTACATTGAAAGCATTGGATGGCGTTGCAAGCTGCCAGCACCTGTTTGTCATGGCTTCAGGAGCGTCCCATACAGCCTTTGGCGCACAACCGCTGAATGGCGCGCAGCAGCAGGATATCGACAGTTTAAGCTGATTCTTTATTTTATATCCAGAGAGAGTCAACTCTACCGCTCAGGGGGTCAGACCCAACATGGCTCGTCGGGATACATACGACCTGCTTCATTTCTCTCTATCCTCCTGTCTCCTCCTTCTTCCATTGACTTCTAAGTGGGCAATGGCTTATTGTGTACGATTGTTTGGCCTAAATGAAACAATGGAAGCCATGGCTCCAGGGATTCCCATCCTTCGACGGCGATAAGATTGGACCGCCCATCCCAAGCGGATGAAGAAGACGTCGCTTGACGACGACCGACTGCATTCACTGCAACGATCGACAAAGTCTGGGAAGCTTGCGGTCCACCACCGAAGGAGAGACCCCTCTCGAGTTACCAGGGGAGACACCATCGCAGCTGATCGGAGGTCAACATGGATAACCACTACGATCACCTGGGAGGGGGTAAGAATAGCACGTATTGCCGCTTGAGCAAGGTCTCACGATCTCGACGGCAGGCCTTGCGACGCTTATGTCCCGAGCGGCAGACGGTCAGCTCCTCTGGCCGTGGAATCACATACATGCCGCTATCGCTCACAGAACACAACAATTGTACATTCAACGCGCAGGGAGAATGGGAACTCGGCAATGGCGGGCTTCTTGGCGTCCTTCTTAGTTTGAAGACACGGTTCTACTCTGAGCACAAAGTCGTCATTCACGTGAGAACTTTGCGGTGAGCAAATACAAATCGATGGATGTGGATGTGGTACGGCTGGAGGAAGCAAGAAGACAACTCTAGCACGTCTGGAAAAGGCGCTTATTTCGACACAACCAGCCGGTACGTCCCGATAGGATGACGGAAGCCTTGACGGAACGATTGTGGCTTGCGTTCCTTTCACTCGCTTTGCATGCGGCCATGAAAACCTGGGCTCAGGGGACTTGGACCTAGAAGCGGTCCGGGCCATGACGGGAAGGTTCAGCTGTACACCCAACCGCATGATCTTCTTAATTGCGAGTCTCGGCAGGGGGTCACCACGTGTCTGCCTCAGCGGACTATTCGAGCTCCCGTGTATTACTCTCATACGACACAACAGCAGGATGGACTGAAGTAATACTAAGGTGAGCTTGATGATCCACGACTTCGCGCTTAATCTCGGCTGTATCATCTCGATGAGCCACCATTCCAAGAATCGGGTCGGCCAACACCCCCCCTGTGTGATATGGGTGTGAGAGCAGTGATCATATGCTCTCAAGCCTGCGATGACGGCTCGGAGACTTTGTGAAAGCAGCAGGCCTTTACGAAGGGACTCGTGAGGGGTCCTGCAGCAGAAGCCATCACCGCGGGAATCGACTTGCAATACTACAAAAATGTCTCCAGTAAATGCGAGTCTCTTTCCTCTTCGCAGCAAACCTTCCGACCTGGTACGGCAAATCGGCAAGTACAAATAAAGTATGGAGAGAGTTCTATGGGGCAGACTCAAGATTGGCATTTGGAATCAGTCCAGAGCTGCGACAATAGGCAGAATGAGAACCGACATCTGACTTTGAGGCGGCTGCCTTATTACCCCACAGCATCATATTGTAACACTGGCAGTCAGATTTGACAGCTTCAAGGATGGACGATGATGCAACACCAGGAGCGCGGAAAACAGAGCAGACGAGACTCTCGTAAGGAACAGACTTCGTGTGGACAGGGTGTTGAGAGTGTGCTGTGAGGGTAGCGATTCCGCGGGTTCTCGAACACGGGTTCTCTCGAAGGGGCATGTCTCTGACTGACTGGGTCGATCGGGAGTACTTCTCACGGCAGCCCTTGGCGCAAACCACAGGCGACTATAGTACTAGTATCTGCGCGAGCCATTGTCTCATCCGAGGTCTCAGACTTGATCCAGATCCGGCTGTCCGGAGGAAGGTCCCATCTTCGACTGTGTGGGAAGCACTGCAGCACACATCGACAGAAAGCGAGGACAGGGAGTGCCGATCTGCAGTCGTTGCACAGCTCGTCTGTCAATCTGCCTTCATGAAGTTGATAGCTTGTATTCCATCAAGGAATGCGGCACCAAGTCAGCATATATGGATGCATCAAGCTCGACAGGGATCACAGCCGTCCCAGCTTGATTTGTTCCCTCTCTTGTCTCGCGCAACCTCGCGCTGTCTTTCCTAGGCTCAGTCGACCGCCTTGTGTCCATCTCTCGTCGTCTCCTGACCTCTATCTCCTGGTCTCTCCCTCCCTGCTACTGATCCCTCCCCTGATCTTCCATTGTGTCCTCGGTCTTCTCTTATTCTCTCTAGCATCGGGGATGCTCTGCCGCCTGTTCCCTGCTAGACTCTCCATTAGCTTCTTGGCGAAGGATCCAGCTTACCGGATCTTGGGTTACGAGTTGCAGTCGCCCTGGTTTCCACGCAGCCATTCCAGCCGTCATCGGAAACCTTGAATCAGGTTTCGTTGCAGTCCCTCACATTCAGCGGCGACAGTGCCAGCAGCCAATCTTCTTGGAAAGACAGCAGGCGTCATCCTTTTCTCTGGCTTCCCCTCTCGACCTTTGCAGGTGGCTGTTTGTGTCAAAAACCTGAAGGCGTGCGGTTGACGAGTGCAAGGATGCCTGTGGATGACACCAAAGCACCTCTCGTCTCAGCTCGTACTCGCACCTTTCCATGCATGCAGCTTGTCTCCAGAAATGATGGAATCAGTAAATAAGCTCCGCGACTATACAGCACTGCACCCATCTCGCAAACTGGAGCAAAATTTCCGAAAGGAGACACCAAGCAAAGCTGCTTCACAAACGGCAGACGAGGACTGGGATCATCACTCCTGCTGTTTGTTCGCTACTCGCTACAAAGCACTCGCTCATCGCCACGGCCTAGAGTTCAGGCCGCCCAGACCCGCCTCCTCTTTTCTCCCGGCTACCCTCACCCGAAAGGAATATGCATAGTCCATACAGTAACTTGGGCACATGCATGCCATGGCTACCGCCATCTCTCTGCTTGATGTGCTGAACCGATCCAGCCCAGACCATCGAGCAGCGAATCAGGCGGCAGCGTGTGCAACAAAGCTCTTGAAACAGCCAGGATTATCGACCTCCCTTGCGAGTCGGAAGTTTGCTTCTTTGCATGATTTGGCGCCGCCAACCAGCCTCAACTTGCGTCCTGCTTCGTCGCTATTGGTACGTCTAAATGCTACTGCACGTCGCCCGCGCCAGGTATTGGTCGCCTCTTTCTCCTTTCCTCCCTCTACGAAGTACGAGCATCCGTCTCTCCCTCTGCTCCCACCCTCCCCTTTCTGATCATCCCACTACTTGTCGTGTCTCTTTCTCTGCGGTAGCCTGGGGAATCGTCATCTGGATAAGGAAAAGCTCTTACTAACGATTGGACAGATGATCGATTCTCTCTACCAAGCTCAGGCACTGCGCTTAGTCCCGAAGGAACTAAAATAAAGACGGGCACTAGCTCCGGGAGCCCGGAGCGTCTTGCAACCATGACAGGCGGGATCCAAGCCAAGAATTTGCCGTGAAGAGACCGGCTGGGGGCCGCAACCGGGGTCCCCAGATGGGGTGTGTTCGCATCAAGCCCACACAGCTGAAGCTCGCTCAGAGACATTACTACTGCTACATGTTCTTATGGCGTGGGGGAGTGATGCCTCCGTAAACGCCGATTCTGAATGAGAAGACAAAGAAATGCTCCGCTTCATCAATCATTGCTTCTCTCTGATGCGGCAGAGACGGGTCCAAGATCCTATTCGCTGCGTGGCCGCCACAAGAGGGTCATTTGTGCCTCCCGATGCCAACATAGGGTACCATGGCACGAAGAGCACACTGCATCCATGACCAGGACGACGAATAGGAGAATGGGCGTATGCAAAGGCACATGCAAGTGCAAATGCAATCAACGAACATTGTTCGTTTGGCCCATTTCTGGGGAAACCGCTGGATTGGCCTGTGACTGCCAGCGAAGAGCACTCTGCTTCAGTCGTCTGTTTGCACAACTGCCCGGCCTCCAATGCTCCCCAGTGAAACAAGGCACCCCCATTGTCAGTATGACTGCCGTGAGGCCTTATAATTGCTTATTGTCGTCACAGGAATCTCCCATCATCGCAATTGATGTGAGTTGTGGCTGAGACAGGGTCTTGCTGCTCGCCGTCCTCGCTGCACAGATGTGTATGTCCTGGTTCTTACGTCCCAGTTACAAAGTCTGACAGGCAGCGACCCTTTAAAGAGGACCATCTCTCGCGCCTTCTCTCTTGCCAAATCCCCATCATCTCCTGCTGATTCTTCACCACGACCGACTGCAGCCTGTGATCTTTTTCTTTACCTCACCGTACACCTCCGTCCTATCTTTTGAGTGGCCGAATCCTACCCCCTACAGCCAAGGTTCGAAGAGCTAAAATGCCTGTTACATCCATTCTACAGCATCAGAGGGAGAGGGAGAGGCTCACGCAGCCTGACTTGGACACACCTATGCCGGATCATGACCAGGGTCCCAGCATGCGAGAAGAAATGCAGAAGGTCAGGATTCGATGGGCCCTCGCCGTTGAGCAACATGTTCAAGTGTCTTTGCTCACCGAAACGGAAAAGGCTGCCGCAGTAGCTGCGCGATGGATTCCGCCTGATTCGAGTTACAGTATGGAGATTCTCAATCGCCCGTTTAACCCTGCCTCTTTGAAAGCTTCTACACCGTCTACCAGTCGAGGCTCCTCCGGCGTGCGCAAGGCAAGTCAGACGAGTGGGAGAAAGCGTGGTCCATCGCAGGTTCCCCCCCATGACGGCCACAATACGAGACGACTACCTCCGACGGACCACAATTCCAGACCTGGAGCATCTAAGATGCAGCAGCATAATTCTCAGCAGTGTTCTTCCCGAGATCACAATCCTGGTCAGGTCTCTCCAGATGTATATAACGTCACACATCGTGCTGTAGACGCCCTTCGGGCTCAGAGGCGGGGTGAAACGGCGTCCAATGACAACAATGCTCGGCAGCTGATTTCCAGTCCTCTTGCCAATGGGCAGACTGCTCCAAGGGCATACAACTCTGCCTATACTCCTCCTGCGAGTCAGAGTAGCACACAGACATCTTCGTTGAAGCAGAGTGGTAGACAAGCACCACACGCGAACCATCACGCTGGGCATCCATCTCCAGTGGAATGGGATGCGGTGCGGGCATCTTCTTATGCACCGAATGCTATTGTGAGCAAGATCAAACCGCATTCTGCCTGGACGACTGCTAACGTCATTGGATAGGAGGCCGGGAGCAGGCTCAGAGAGAATGCCATCGCTCCTCAACCACAGGTATCAAGTACCACTACCAGCAATCAACCTCAGCAGATAGCCGGTTGGCAGCATGCTTATTCACAGTCAACGACTACTCCTCGACCGGCGTCGCATCAACAGTCCGTGCCATCCGCCCAGTCGGTCATGTGTCTGAAGAGCATCGTAGCTCCCCAAACACCAGTGGTCAGGGATCCAACGGTGGCTGCTCCTTCAGGACGCCCTCAACGGCCAGAGGCTACTACACGATCCGCGGCGTTCTCATATCCGGCGACCACGCCACAGGGCGTACTAGCATCACAAGCACTGGCAGCTTCGCAACTACTGGTCGTGCCAACGTCCCTCTATACGCAGCCTGCACAGTCGCCGCAACCCGTCGGTCCTCAGCCTGCATATACGCAGCCTACCGATGCACAACCTCCCCATTCATGGCCTCACCAGACTCAATCTGCCTTCTCACGACCCTCCCCATCCCAACCTTATTCACAGCTCGCGGGTTCGGAATCTGGGTGCACGCTTTCTGACTCTTCACGGCCCTACAACCCGCAGCCCGTATATTCACAGCCGGTGGCGGCTTCCCAGCAAGCAAATGTTACACATCCAGAGGCCACCCCACGGCCAGTAGCGACTTTGCAATCCACGGTAGCTTCTAATTCACCGGCAACTCCAAGGCCATCTGAGTCATCACAGCCAACGACAGCTGCACAACAACCTGCCCTTCCGCAGCATGCAATGTTTTCACAGCCATTAGCTTTCCGAACAATGACGACCTCACATGCCGCAGGCTCTCCGCAGCAACTGGCAATTCGACCCGCAGCGGCGGGTGACTCTCGCAGTTCGGCTTGCAAAGGCCGCAGAGAAAGTACAAAGGTCCCCCAAGTCCACGATCCACGCTCTCTCTATGACCCAAAAGGATCAGCCATAGTTAAAATGACGCCGAGCTACGGGAACAAAGTGGTCGACTTTATTTTGAAGCATGAGCCGTCAGTTGTTGTGGGTTCGCAGTTGTCCAATACTCTACCCAAGGAGACCGCCGTTCATTACAACAGTGTATTGTCCTACCAAGCCCAGAACCTGGGACTTTCCTTTCCTCACGGGCGCCCAGAGTCACACAATGGCATCGACCCAAGACTTGCACCACCTCAAGTCGTGCCAGCCTCGCAAGAGGCCCAGGGCATGCAGCCGACAGTTACGCATACTGGTCGAACACAGCCTTTCCAGCAAGTACACAGCACGGAAGCTTCGCCTCGCCACGACCAATTCAATGGCCCGGCACGGCGGAGTGATGTTCAAACGCAATCTTCTTCTGGAGTACCTCCTACCGGGAGAGTACAAAATGGCTCGACCAGTTGCGTGCGTCATCCCCAACCGCCGGTCCAGCAATCCCTAAATAAAGGGGGGAAGGGGCCAGCAGGAGCCGGCTCCCGCGGTGATGTTCAAGAGGTCACTCAGATGGATTGGCAAGCTGCCAATGATGGAAATCAGAGACGCCAGGGCGACATCCAAGTGGTCTCCCGGCAGGATTGGCAAGCCGCCAATGAAGATACCAGTGGCCGCCAGTCCGCTTACGGAGCCCAGCCTGTTGTAGCCTCTGCTCCAGCGAAGACGCAAAGCGTGTCTCAGCCATTTGTGGCATTCGTAACAAATATCCAGGGCAATAAGCCATTGTCGAAAGCCCAGCGCCCCGTCCGCGCACCCGTCAAAGCTCCAACAATACCAGCAAAGACTCCAGCAGCGTCAACGAGACCTCAGGCGTCCAGGAAAGCAAAAGGCCAATCTAAACCGACCCCCGCATCTGGTGGTGTTCAGAAACGAAAATCCAGTCGTGTTGGTCAAACCACGCCGCCTCGACCTGCGGCGGTCCAGCCTGCAGTGCCTAGAAGTACGGTGCCTCCAGCTGTGGTGCCCCAAGCTGCGGTGCCTCAACCCGAGATGCCTCAGACTTCGCTTCCGTCATCTAGACGAGAGCAACAGCCCGCTGCTTATGTTTCGGGCTCAGGATTGGGGTTGACCCAAGACGACGTGAATCGTTGGCAAGAGGAACGGCAGAATCCCTATCGTCTGCCCTCGTTCAGCGACGCTTTTGGTCATATTAGGATGGATACGTGCTCAATCGGTTATCAGCAGACTTCATATGAAGCTCGCGGAGGCAAATTTGACCTTGCCGCTTATCGCATATAGTTTATGACGTGTTGCACAGGCCTTTGCTTGGCCCTTGCATTGGAGCGGCGAATGATGATTGGCAATTTGAATGGGTATATCTGAGGGATCAAGCGAAATGTCAAGCCTTGTAGACCGATTGCCCAATGGCGAGCCGAGCGATGAACCAAGGCCGCCGACAGCCTCGCTGAGCATATAGGAATAGCCTAGATAGAATGGAACCCATCTTTTCTCTTAAAACCAGTGGCGGTATAGAGTCGATGAGGACAAATGCCGATAAATGAAAGTCAAGTCCCCCCCCCCCACAAAGGTATGTTTTACAATGGCCACAGGACTCCATGATTCTTGAGAGAGGAGGATCTTATCCATCCATATGCCGGTATTGTTGCCAAGCACCACCACGGCCACGACGACGCAGCCAGTTGATATGTTAGTGCTCGGATCGAATCCATGTTGTTGGTTCCATTTGGCGCGAGGCGAACCGCAAAAGCACACAAGTCATTCGCTAGAGGGAGTTTGAGTTTCGAGAGGACAGGGCTGGGGAATCATCCATGATGCGTGTACTCCTTAGTTCATTGATCATCGGCTCACATGGCCCAGCATACGTATGCGGTCCAATCGGTCGTATCCGCCAAGATGCGACGCTGGGCCAACATGCTATTTCATAAAGCGTCAGAAGCGTGTTCGCATCTTGGGTTCTCCCCTCACTGCATCTGTCCAATGGCATCAGACGATCGCCGGTTGCACGATGTAACTTAGCCAACCTATCCTTGCCACGGGCTGGTATTCATGCAGACTCTCCTTTGTGGCCCGTAGGACAGCGATTGCCCTAAAACTGGGCAACATCGCAACCCAGCCTCACTTGAAGGCGGAAGGACGAGGAAGGGTAGGACAAGGCCTTGCAGAGGTATTGTTGCAACGGCTGGGTGAATCCGGGGGAAAGATGGGTTCCCGTCTTTCTCCGCATTGATCGGCATCGGCTCCGCTTCGTCCATGTCAGCATGCTCTTCTGAACCCAGTCCAACAACTTGTAAATGCGAAGCGAGTGTTATGGGATTCACCCGGTCTTCCCACCGCCCGTTCCTCTGCATAGGTCTCTTGGGCTGTTTCGTATCTGCATCTCCACACCGCCCGTCACTATGAGGTAGAGAGCAAGCAGGCATCGTGGGACAGCAGGAGCTGCTCGCATGCAGCGTATCATTGGACTAAGAGAGGAAGAGGAAAAGAGGGGAAATGAGCTTGATGAGAGGAGTCGTCCCGACGGCGTGACAGTATTTAAGAGCACGAGTCTCCCTTGTTTCCGGTAGAATCAAAGTGTTGAGCAAAGAGGGTTGTTGCGAAGACTAAGGTTGAGCCTCCCGTCTGCGCATATAATTCAATTGGCATACTTCCCATGCCGCAAGCCCGCTTCAGCAGAATAGTACGACAATCGTGATGAATTTGTTTCCGGCAGGCCTGCTCGCGCTCGTCTGCGTGGGAACTGCCGTCGCTCAAAGCAACAGCCCAGCCAGCTATAAAGTCCGGACACCGCCACTAGACACGGACTGGACTTACAAGGTGGGCACTAATCCATGGCCAGAGTATCCTCGGCCTCAGCTCCAGCGTGATGCCTGGCAAAGTCTCAATGGTATATGGACGTTTCAGCCTGCCGGGGCTGGGGCAGGCGACTCCGGTAGTCCTCCGGAGGGTCCACTTCAGAGCGAGGTGCTCGTGCCGTCTTGCATCGAGAGTGGGCTCTCGGGATTGCAGGTCATGAATATCACGGACATGTGGTTTGCGACGAGCTTCAATGTACCACACAGTTGGAGCGGGCAATCTGTCATCCTGAACTTTGAGGCCGTTGACTACCAGGCGGTGGTGTTTGTGAACGGAGCCAAGGTTGGGAACCACACCGGGGGATATTTTCGGTTCGCATTGGATATCACCGAATTTGTGAAGTTTGGTGATGAGAACGAACTGTAAGTCAGCCACGCCTGCCTGTGCGTTGGCTTGGAGCAGCAACGGCATAAGGTTCAGCTTGAGCGACAGAAAAGATGCGTGCATGAGTTCATAGCTGTACTGACCCGGAAGCAGGACTGTGTTCGTTCACGATCCCACCGACCTGGACGTCATTCCGATCGGAAAGCAAACGCGGAATCCTAGCCACATATTCTACAGATCGTGCTCCGGAATATGGCAGTCTGTATGGCTAGAGAATGTGCCTTCAAACCATATCACACAGCTCGACGTTGCTGCGGGCATGGATGGAACAGGTGCGAAACCAGCGGGATACCCTCCCATGAGACGCCTTGTGGTGGCGATTTCTTCTAACGCAATGCCATAGTTTGCGTAACCGTTCACAGCTCGAAAAAGCAAGGAGCCGCAGCCAAAGTGTCCGTCATCGGGCTCGACGGGCGAACTATTGCTTCGCACAAGGGCCCATCGGATAAGGAGTTCACGTTCAAGGTTCAGCACCCAAAGCTTTGGTCTCCATCTTCTCCAACTCTGTATAACCTGACGGTGACCCTTGGCGACGATGAGGTTTCCAGCTACACTGGATTTCGCACAATTTCCTCTGGCCAGGTCAAGGGGGTCCAGCGGCCACTTTTGAATGGAGAGTTCACATTCATGTTCGGTACGCTCGACCAAGGGTTTTGGCCAGACGGACTATATGTGCCGCCCAACAAAGAAGCCCTTGTATACGATCTGAAGATGCTCAAGGGTCTGGGCTTCAACACCGTCAGAAAGCATGTAAGTAGTCCGTTGATGCGGTTGCTGCCGAGAACGCCGTCGAGTAGACAGCTAAACCGAGTTATTCGTCGCAGATCAAGGTTGAGCCGGATTTGTTTTACCGAGCCTGCGACGAGATGGGTCTGATGGTCATCCAAGACATGCCCAGTCTGACCAACGACGGGAGTCGGCCCCCTAACCCGGACCAACAGGCGGAATTCCAACGTCAGCTGGAAGTGCTGGTCAACGAGCACAAGAACTACCCGTCAATTGTGACATGGGTTCGTCTTCTTCCAGGATCCTGCCCGCAAGTGCTGTGAGCACTGATTCAGGCTGACTGAACCATTCCTAGGTCATTTACAACGAAGGATGGGGGCAGCTCAAGGGCCCACCGTATCCCGAAGTGAAGCTTGTGGAAGTCGTTCGCAGCATCGACCCCACGAGGCTCATAGACGCGACGACGGGCTGGAATGACCACGGAGCTGGCGATTTCTCAGTGAGCTGATTTTATGTCGACGCATGCGTTGCCCAAGATGAGAAGCTGGCTGACCAAGGCGTGATGGTTTAGGACAACCACCATTATGCAAACCCTCAATGCGGCACGCCCTTCTACTCCACCCCTTCATCTCCGTACGACCCCAGCCGTATTGGATTCCAGGGCGAGTTTGGTGGCGTCGGCCACAACGTGTCCATCGAACAGTTAGTTTTCCATATCCCCTCTTCACCCTTCTAGAGTATTTCCCAGAAGGTGGGTGTGTTGTGAAGGTCAAGCGTCTGACTTATGATTAGTCTTTGGAATGTCCAAGAGGCCATCAACACCATCAATCAGACTTACGAAGTCGACGCTGATCTAGCTACATACAACTACCGCGCGAGCGTCCTGTTCCGCGAGTTTCTCGAGCAGGTGCAGCGCTATGCTTGTAGCGGCGGTATTTGGACACAGACGACCGACGTCGAAGGTGAAGTCAACGGACTATACACGTATGATCGCCGAGTCTTGAGGCCAGACGCGAAGCAGTGGAAGAGCGATATCAAAAAGCTGTACTCCGCGGCGGCAGGTAGACGATGATTGAGCAGCAGTGTGTGGCCACGCCATGATGGCAAGCTGCTTTGCTTGATGGCTTTGGAAGTCCAATTGATAGATCCCGTATGTAGGACATCATTGGAAGAAAATGATGACTTGTCATAGAAACCCATTCTCAATATTCGTATGCAGAAAGTGTGATGATGCCTCAGAATCTGCTCTGGATGCTGCCTTCCACAATTGCATCTCTCATCTTCACCCCACCTGCCACATGCAAAACAGGCTGCTCTGCTCTTGCCCGCCGTGCTCCGAGTTCCTGGCTACTGATCAGCTATCCCCAGGACGGCTAGACCAGCACTGGAATATCCCCCTCGCCCCACCATCCCGCAATCGTATTCGGATCTCTGACCGCTAGGCAATTTCTGATAAAGTTTGCAAGTCAACGAGATCAAAAGCCACTTCATCGTCCCACAATCATGTGATAGAGCTCCTTTTCAGCATATCCGTCATGTCATGAACAGGGGTCCTGTGCGGTATTCAATTTGATTCTGCTCTTGCACATTGGCCAATTGGACAGAGTTTTGCTTGTGACAGTCTTTTCCGCCGTCCAAGAGACAATACGGAGCCACGAAGAACGACAATAAATACTCAGACGGCGATACGTGCTTCTCGGCCACTTCAACATCGGACTTGTACATTGGCTCTCCCGGGAGCCTCATTGGTGTTCGACTCCTCCAATTGCTTCGATACCTAGATTACGCGATCGTCTTTGGCTCTCGACTTGACGAATTCTTCCCGTACGAGCAGCTTCTGCGCACCTTTACCTCCGTCTCTCGAACCATCTACAATCCCAGACCTCAATGTCGAAAACATCAACGTCGGAAGTCCATACCCGCGAGCGGCGCGACCTCTACCATGAGGCCGACGTTGTCGTCGTCGGTGCTGGCGTCTTTGGCTGCGCGGCCGCTTTTGCGCTGGCAAACCAGGGACGCTCTGTGCTTCTTCTCGAGAGATGGTTGCACGAGCCTGACAGGATTGTGGGCGAACTGCTACAACCGGGCGGGTTGACGGCCCTGAGAAAGCTGGGCCTGGGCCACTGTGTCGAGAACATCGACGCGATCCCGTGCTACGGCTACAACGTCATCTACCACGGAGAGCCGTGCGCCATTCCCTACCCCAGCCTCAACGAAAAGGGCGAAGTGACACATGCGTGGGGAGGCAGAGGGACGGGCGAAGGAATTAAGCAAGAAGGATGCGGCTTCCATCACGGCAAGTTCATCACGCAGCTGCGCAAGGCTTGCTTGGGCCACAAGAACATCACGGTGGTCGAGACGGAGGTTGTCAAGACGATTCGAGGAGAGCACACAGACCAGGTTCTGGGCGTCGAGACGCGGACGACGGTCAACAAGGAGACCGGGGAGAAGAAGAGCGACTACTTCTTCGGCCAGCTCACCATTATAGCCGACGGCTACGACTCCAAGTTCCGAAAGCAGGTCCTGGAAACGAAACCTGTCGTCAAGAGCAAGTTCTACGCCTTGGAACTCATCGACACGAAGCTACCACTGCCCTTCCACGGCCACGTTATCATCGGCAACGCTTACCCCATCCTCCTCTACCAGATCGGCACCCACGAGACGAGAGCGCTCTTCGACGTGCCCCAGAACATTCCCGAGGCCTCCCCCGAAGCCGGAGGCGTCCGCGGCTACATCAAGAACTGCGCCATTCCCGCGCTCCCCGAGTCCGTTCGCCCGGCCGCCGAGCAGGCGCTCGCCGACGGCAAGATCCCCCGCAGCATGCCCAACAGCTGGCTCCCCGCGGTGCCCCAGACGCCGAGCGGCCTCGTCATCCTCGGCGACGCGCTCAACATGCGGCACCCCCTGACGGGCGGCGGCATGACTGTCGCCTTCAACGACGCCCTGCTGCTGGCCGAGCTGCTGCACCCCGACCGCATCCCGAACCTCGAGGACACGGCGGCGATCCGCGACGCCATGCACAAGCTCTACTGGCGCCGCAAGAACTTCACCAGCATCATCAACACGCTCGCGCAGGCCCTGTACTCGCTCTTCGCCGCAAACGACCGCCAGCTGCGCGCCCTGCAGATGGGCTGCTTCGAGTACTTCCGCCGCGGCTGGACCGACGGCCCAGCCGGCCTGCTCGGCGGCATCATCCAGCGGCCGCTCGTCCTGGCCTACCACTTCTTCTACGTCGCCTTCGTGGCCATCTGGATGAACGCCTGCAACGTCATTGGCGGACCGCTCGGCTTCTGGAAGCTGCCCCTTGCGCTGATCGACGCCATCCTCATCCTGTGGAAGGCTTGCATCGTCTTTTTGCCAGTCATCTGGCGGGAGGGCTTCCAATAAGCAACTGACAGCGTCCTCCTCTTCCTGTCTCATACATATCTCTCTGCTTTTGTAAAAAGATGTCGATGTCGTTTTTGTTTGTTTTGTTTTGCCTCAGGCGACACACGGAGTTTCACACGGCTAGCAAATATGAATGCATGGGGTTGGGTATTCTCTCACTTCTCTCCACCCACTATTCAATAGAGTTGTGGCATGATACACAGAATCTTGCTAGACTACAGCATGGCTGGCGGCCATCTTGGTTCGCTGCCTGCCAAGGGGAAAAGAAAATTGAAGGGGAGTGAAACAAGAGGGCAATATTGCCGGGCTTTGGATGAGCAAATGTGATTTACGCAGTTATGGCTAGAGAACGATGCTAGAGACATTAGATAATAATTGTAATTAATACCTTATTCTTCCACGTATGTGTCTCTTCTTAGTTTTTCCATGCCCTGCCTGTCTGATGCTGATGCAGATTCCATGCGTGTCCCGTAGGATACCTAGGTAGTCACACTATGACTACCATCATGGAATGGTTTCCGCCTCATTGGTCATGGATCTTGTGGCAGCTACTATACAGATGGGTATCACATGGCTGAAAATAAACCATCAATCAAGAAGGCATGCACATAGCTGTGCCCGTCGGCCCTCGATTTAGTCGTCGGCCCCTTAACGCCCAATTCCAGGGGCTCTTAGTCTTAGGTGAGGCGCCTCCTATACACGCCCATCATCCAACTGGCCCTCAAAACGGCCAATCCAATGGCCATCTTGATGCTATCCTGAATCACATTCAGCTTGCTGCCACCCACCTCGTGCCACTGGATGGGCACCTCGGCGACCTTGATGCCAGGACTAGTGCCAATAACAGTGCCGTCGCTGCCCAAGACGGGGGTGGCAGGTGCGGACTCGGCGAGCATCAGCATCTCGATGTCAAAGATCCAGCCTTCGGTATGCATGTAAGGAACGATGTGTGGCAGAGAGGCGCGAGTGAAGAGCTTGAAGCCGCATTGGGTGTCGCGGATCCGGGAGGTGGCCGGAGGCGTGAGGATGGTGAGGACGAGATGGAATGACCGCATGAGAAAGTTCCGGAGGGCAGAGCGCTATCAAGACGAGAGACGTTTAGTAAACGTGAGGGTGCTACAGTAAGAGATTCGCCTTAGCGAGCGATGGGTAACCAAAGCAACGAACCTTGACAACTGCCTCGCTACCGACGAGATGGGCACGGCTGCCAATGGCAACTCCCCGACGGGAACCATCGACAACCTCCTCGACACCCTCAATCAGCTTGGCCACATCGCTGAAGCGCGACGCCCCGTCGGCATCGGCAAACAAGGCATACTCGCCGCGCACATGGCGAAGGCCGTGAGTGACGCTACCGCCCTTGCCCCGGTTCTTGGCCAGAGACACAACCCTCAGGACGTCATGGAGGCCATTCTTCTGCGCAAAGTCCAGCACCACATCAACCGTCTTATCGCGGCTTCCGTCGTCGACAACGATGATTTCGTAGCCGCTGAGACCTTTTTCCTTTGGATCAGCAACGTTTGGCGCATGCCGCTTCTTCACCGGCACATCAGGGTTCTTGGCGCCGGTGCTGCGTCCAAAGTGCTTGTCCAGGTACTCGACGGCTTCTTCAAGCGTGGGGATGACACGGTCTTGTTCGTTGTACGCGGGGAAGACGACGCTGAGGAGCAGCTCGGCGGGCTCGATAGAGCCGACATCGGGTGTAGGGAAGGCCTGCTCAGGGCGAACACGCTGCTCGCTGAGGCGGCGTTCTGCGAGCCATCGATCGTACCAGCAGGGAAGAGGACGCGGCGTTGTCTTGCCGGAAGGGCTGCTGGTGATGTATGTCTTTTCCGAGGGAAGAACCGGGCGAGGCTTCGGGGCCACGAGGTGCAGGAGCACAAAGAGCTTCGCAATAAGGTTAGTTGCGACTCCCAAGAGGCGAAGCAAGGGGTACTATTGGGAACCCAATTGTTGGAATTGAGAGGGAGACGGAGGTCGCATACACCAAAGAGTCCTACCAGGACCAGCGCAAGAAAGAGGCCAAGGAGGATATAGACTGGAGTCGCTCGGACCCAGGCCCAGAGCGGCGCAGGAAGCTCCAGCAGCGCGTTTGCGAGGTCCATTTCGGCGTTGGCGCGGACCTTGCCTGCTGCACGAGCGCAGCAAGAGCCGAGATGCAGGAAGAAGGAATGAACTAAATGATGCCGCGCATGCGCTGGGATGCGAAATGGCGAACGAACCCGAAAATGACGGCGGAAAGGAAGAAGAAGAAACAGAAAGGAAAGAAAAGAAGAAGAGATGAGGGGGGAAGAAACAGAAAGAGAAACAGAAAAGAAGATGCCAGGTGAAAAGAATGTGAGATGCCAGATGCCAGTTGCCTCGACACCTGGCGAATGGCTGATGACGAGCGCTGGAATCTGCAGCTGTCAGCAGTGAGGCCACAGTTTCGAGGTGCAGGGTCGCAGGGTCCGTACGGGGCAAGGCTGGCCAATTACGGGCGGCGGGTTGTGCCGTTTAGTGGAGGTGACAGCTCCAGTGGGCGATGAAGAGCGCTGTGGCCTATCGATTGGCCGCTTATCGGTTATCTGTCAATTGGCGACCAACGCATGGATCTTTGCACAGGATATCAAAAGCATTCTTTGTTTTGGAGCAGACGATGCGATGAAGAATTGGATAATGCGTGTCTGTCAAGTGAAGTCTCAATCTTCGCTACAAACAAGAGGAAAGTCGATCGAGATAATGAAGATGAGGATGTAACTGAAATACAGCTTGCCCATAAGGTAGAATCCCTCCAGTGTATCAAAGCGCCCATTAATAACAGATAGATCAATACATAGTCTCCAAGAAGAAAGGAAAAGGGCTGATCGCCGGTGCGAGAACGCGCATTTGTAAGTGCATACATGTACTTTGGCATGTATGTGAGTGTGTGTGCTGGTTCCTTCTATCCAAACAAGAAATCCTTCATTTCGTCGTAAATGAGTGGCCCTCTTCATGCCGCCAGACCATGCTTGTTCGGTGCTGGTAAAGCTTTGAAGACGTGCTCCACGCCAGATGTCCGTCTTCGTCGCTGGTGTGCAGGACATGCTGAAAGACAGTCAAACAAAAGGAAAAGATAGAAACAAAACTCCAGAATCCGTATAGTATTCTTTCTCTTTGCCAAAAATGATAGGCCAATGAGAACAAAGGAGAAAAAGCCGACTTGGCCTGGTTTATACCCAAGAAGGCGGCAATGCAATAGGCGATAACATACAGCGAGAGACAATGCAAGAACACAACGCCGCGGTTAAACAGCGACGGCCGGTGCTTTGGAGCTAGCCCAGCGAGATTTCTTGGCCAGCTTGCCTCCGCTCTTGGAAAATCTCTTGGACTTTTTGGCGGGTTCAGGCTCGGGGATCGAATCCTCTTCCGGGAAGACGTTGATGACAATGGACTGCTTCACCGCAGGGGCAGCAACGGGGGATGGGGCTGAGGCCGTGCTCGAGAGGGCAGCGGAAGTAGGGGCAGGGGCGGGAGCGGGAGCCACAGCTTGTTCGAGGTCGGTTTGGGGAGGTGCAGCAGCGGCCAACGCTTCGGCACCACCAGACTCAATCCGTTCCAGCTCCGTGAATCGAGTAACCTTTGCGGTCTTGCGCTCCTTGGAATGCTTTCCGTTGTGTTCCGGGGAGGGGTTCCTGTCCGTCGACGGAGGAGCGTAGGTGGACGTCAGAGTGGTGGCAGAGGTGTTGAGGCTAGTGTTGATGCAGCTGGAAAGCGAATATTCAGACATCTCCAGCGAGCCCGGCAGGTCAAGCTGCGGGGGAGCATACGTCCGTACCGCTGGAGCGGGAGCATTCACGATGGGCGCAATGGAGGCGAAGTTCCTCATGGAAGTAGGCGGGCGGGAATCCCGAGCCACCCCCTTGGCCGAGTTTGCCATGGCGATTCGCTCAATGGACGAGTCGGACGGGCGGCGATGGCCGGCGCGGGGTCGACGACCGGCCTTGTCGGCAGCCGTAAGGGGCGGCGGAGCTCGTACCACCGGAGGGCGTGCAAGTCTCATCTCGAGGTCATCCTGAGAACTCGTAGAGCCGCTGGAGCTCTCTGATTCTTCTGGGCGTCGGAAGAAGCTGGTTAGCAACTTGCGTATCAAGGCGCACAGAGGCGGCGGCGGAGGACAGCGACGACGAACCTTGTGAGTACGTTGGGCTGGTCCGGGGTGTGCTGTAGCCAGACACGGACACCCGGATGGCCTCCTTCCCCTTGGTTGAGGCGGCGTAGGCCGTGAACTGCGAGCCGACGTCGGGCATCGAGTGGGCGACGTCCCGGCTGTAGCTCGCCGAGTAGGGAGACACGCCTGTGTAGCTGTACGCTCGGGGCATGCGCATGGGGGTGGCCGTCTTGTCCGTGGGGTATGAGACATGGGACAGGCTGCTACCCACGCGAGGCGCGCCCGGCATGTTCATATGGTGGCCGGACGCCGCCATGGCACTCCTTCGGCGGTTCTGCTCCTGGATCTTCTGCCGGTCGGCGTCTCGCCAGCTGGGTGGCGCGCTGGCGATGGCATCCGTGGCCGCGTGTTTGGGCACATGCCGATAGGGCGTCTTTTCTGTCTGCTCCTTCTTCTCCTGCTCGGCGAGCTTGGCATTGTGTTCCTTGGCCTGCTGGCGGCTCTTCTTCATGCGCGAGAAGATGGACATGTTGACTATGGCTCCTGCGCGGCGATTTCTTATCTGTTACCGGCCTTGCTCCGGCAGATGAGGTGGACTCGAGTCCAGCGTCCTCAAGGTTCAGAGGCGTCGGATATATATATGTGCGTGCGAGAGGTAGGTTGGTGCTGGTGTTGAAGCAACCGGGGTACAGTAGAATAAGCTAACAGGGTATGCGAGCAGAGAGGGTGGCTCCGCTCAGTAAGCTTCGGAAGAGAGGGGAGCAATGCAACAGATGATATGTCGAGCGTCGATGCAGATCTGACGGATCACTGGTCTAGGGCAATGGTGACTGGGGCCTCTGTTGGACTTGTCGTTTGTTGAAGGAGGAGGAGAGAGACAAGACGACGATGGTGATGGTAGGGACTTTCGTTGTTGTTCCTATCCTGTCAACACAGACAGAGGGGAGAGTCTGAGAGAGAAGGAAGGGGAATTCCAATTCGACAAGATGATCGGCGAAGCGGTATTTGTATCCGATACGAAAGGACGGCAAGGTGAGGCAGCTTGATATCGGCTAGGGCCACTCCTTTGAAACGAATCGGCAGAAAGCTTGCCGGGCCTGATACGGAGAGGCAGAGGGGCGCCTTATAAGTGAGTGGGTGGATCGGATCAGATGCGAGGGGTGAGATAATGGACGGGGTCCTTCTCCGTTGGGCGGATCGAGCGCAAGACGGGCCTTGCTCGCCTTGCAAGCAAGCGTCGGAGCCGGGATTTAGAGCACAACCTAGGGCCGTGGTGGTGTGGTTCGGCTTGGGTAAGCCCGGGTTGTGGGAGTTGGGAGAGAGCGGGAGGCGGAAACGAGAATAGAGAATAGAGTATAGGAGAGGAGAAAGGGCAGTTAAGAGAAGCAGAGGAAGAGGATTAATGGAAAAGCAGGAGTGGTGAGCCCCAGCCCTATGCTAAGTAATGCGTAGGAAAAAAGAAAAGAGTCGGGAACCCCTGGGGAGCTGAAAAATACGACGCGCAGATGGGGGGAAACGTCTTGCTGCGGATCGCCGGGGATGGCGGATGAAGAGAGAAGAAGGCGAGGAGACGGGAGAGAGTGAGCGAGTAGAGGAGGAGGAGAGGTGGGGATGCCCAGTAACGACGTAAGTAGCTGCTGCAGAGAGACGCAGAGGCAAGAGGACAGGATACGAAGTTGGAGGTCAGGGCCCTATGTATACAAGGTATGGCATGGACTGGAAATTTGGAGAATCGGGGGATGCTGATGCAGATGCAGCGCCGATGCAGATGGGAAGATAGTTGCACTCTTTGAGCCTAAGCGTCGAGTGCTGGGCACAGCTGAGAGGCGAGGGTCGCTCCGCATGTATGTACATGTACGGTGACGGGGACGCCTTGCCGGCCACTTCCAGTTGGTCAATAACAAGGGAGAGAAAGCACCAAAAGATGCACATTCGGTACACTTTACTTGCCTTGCTTTCAGCGGATTAGATGGCTTGCAACGGGGGCGCAAATGGTTGGCCGAGCGCATGGCGGTTTGGCAGACGAGAGACGCAAATGCGGCTGACTGACCTCGAGGGATGCGTCGTAAGACTCTTGCAGGTCGGTGGCGCACGTGGTTGCAGCAGGCTGTACGAAGTATTTTGGCCCGTATCATTGGAACTTGAAGATATCCTGGGACCGAGACCGGGTACCGGTACATGAGGCCTGCAATGCTCGTATGTCTCAACCTGACTTTGCCTGCGCACCCCGTCTGTTCGCCATGCAGCGTATCGGCATCTCTGGCCTTATCAGGGATTGAATTAGGCTTCATCTCGTTGACCGGCACCGTTCGAAATAGGTGAGAGGATTCCGTTGGCGCCAAGCCTGCTCGACGGCCTGCGGCAACACTAGCATATCCCGTCTTTTTGGGATTGATCTTATCTTTCCACTTTCTTTTTTCTGATCCATCATGTCTCACTCGAACAATGGCATCATTGTTGGAGGAGAGGGTGAGACAAATGAGGCACCATGATTCAATTCAACGTGGTTGACAGCCCTCGCAAGTACCCGTACCTGAATGGAACAGAAGAAGAAGGAACTCTTTGAAGCCAATTGCCGGCTAAAAAAAGGCCTTCAAATGCTGGCACCCGTGAGACTGAAGTTGGACAGCAGAGGGAAGCCACGGTCTACCAAGAAGTAGCCCAGGCAAGTATGCCCCCTGTCAGCGACTGCCCCAAAGCCGTTACCGTCACCGTCGGGGCGGCGGCAGCCCGCTGGACTAGGCACTAAACAAGAAATGGCGCGCTAAATACTTTCCGCGCAAAGCGTAAAAACTGGCGATGCGATCCCACTAGCGAGGCCAGGCCCAGGTACCCGACGATAGCGGTGGGACTCTGTGAGTTGTCTGTTGAAGTTGACATCAAGGGTCGATTGTTTGATGATTGAACCTTCTTTGCTGTGGTGGTATCACAAAATCCTTCTCCGAGAGAAGAAGATGACTTCGGCTTGTTCAGAGTGAAAATAGAGGCCCCGTGGTCTCTCAATGGACGGCGACACGGGACTCCTCTGTCAAACACCACCAGCCCTAACATATCAATATTTCCATGCACAATGGAAAGCATCGCCACCACCAAGATCCCTCGCTACCACCACTTTTACTTCAATTAGTACGTGATGCCACAGAGGAGGAACTGCTACTGACCCCGAAAGCTCACCTGACCACCCAATGGCCAGACAGAATCGATCTTGTCCCTTCTTTTGTCGTCGACTTGTGAAACAAACTCACCCGGATAGTCCGTTTTGGGTCTGACAACCATCTCCATCTCCATCTCCATCCATCTTACATGTACGTGATCGCTCGCTCGCTCGCGCAAAACTCTATTCAGATCGTCGTCGCAGCCAAAGTATCGACCCCGTGCCCTTCGCCTGCTGCTCGCTGCTTTTTGTCCCCCTCGTCTCGCCATCTGCCATCATTATGCTGGCATCGCTCGCCCGCCAGCCACCAACTCCGTCCATGTCGTCAAGTTCCACCGCCCGCAGCCCCGAGCAGCAAATCAACGCCTGCAGCAGGTATGGTGACGCCAAAAAGCTGCTTCTCTGGCTCCAAAAGCAAGGAAGGCCCCAGAACCGGCTGCAGCAACTGTTCCTCGCCATCTCGTATTCCGCTCACGGACCCCCATCCTCAGAAAGGCTGCCTATCAAGTGCGAGCAGCACTCCGTATCGCTTGCGCGCTCGTCACCAATCATCGACCCGAATCGCGAGCAACCTGACGCCTAAGAAACAGCCGTCATTGCCAGCGGCTTCCCAATCATCAATACCACTCCGTTCAGCATCATGCTGCCGACGGTAGCAGCACCTGGTTCTATTTCGTGGCGCTACAAGTGGTATGAATTAGGCGCTTACGGGAGCCCTGTGGTGGCTTGCTTGGCTGAGATCCCGCTCCATCAGCAGCGCGGCTCGGTGGAGCAGAGAGGCATCAAACTTTGGAGTTCCTGGATTCATCGAGGCCAGCGAAACGTGCTCGACCCCTGTCAATATTGGGTGGGCGGGTATGGCGCCGCCAAAGTCCAGCCGCACGCACGCTAAAATAGAAGGCATGAACAAATGCCAACAGAACTGAGTCTGCCGGCAACCTCCGTGGCTCGAACCAACTCCATGGCATTCATGCCCAGATGCTACTTCATACCTACGGTGTAACGTCTTGCCGTCCAGCGAGGCAAGGTAGGTAAGGTAGTATTATGAAGCAGTGCCGAGGCACCGACTTGGGATGTTGACGCCTTAAAGCGTTCGCTGCATGGTTGCGCACAAGAAGATATGCGGTGCTGGTGCTTGGCAATGCGACTTTGTCTGCATCATGCTGTATATCTGATCTCGATCTCAAAGGTTACTAAGTCAGCCAAAGAAGCCTACCGGGCCACTGGCGAAGCAGTGTCGTTCTCATACATACAACTTACAGGTAGCTCGTCTCTCCTTGTTCTCCCTCCCCCTATCGGAAGAAGCTGCTCACAGCCCGAGTACGGTGGACCGTTGCCAGCGAAAACCGGGTCGTTCGATGCCAGCTGAGAAGCGAAGGGAGAAACAGGAAGGGAAAGTACCGTGCTGCCGCTTTTCTCTGCGATAAGGCAGAAACCAACGGTCATTACCATTGGATGTTGAAGCCTGAGAGGCTTCCCGGTGGCAGCCTCTATCACAACGCCACAAGGAACGTGGCAGTTTCTCTGGGTGAGACTCCCAGCGACTGAGCTGTCAACCACCGCCATAAGACTCCATTCTGCGCATGTACTGTACTTCGTATCGCGGACAGTACTACATACCTACTTATCTGCCTAGATACTGGATCCTGCAGCACGACATTTCCTGGTGAGAGCAGCGATCAGCGGGCATGGCTTCCGTTTCCAGGCTGGCCTCGCAAACCGCCTCAGCATACGGAGTTGTACGCAGTGCGAGTACAGAGATTGTACTCCATGGCAGCTGTCCTTCAACATGCATCCCGCATGGCACAGGCCGACATTGCTCCGTTCATGCAGCCAGTCAAAGTCGTCCGACTCGGACTTGGTGAGTACGTACTCTCTCATGTGAAGCAGTATATATCCAGATCGCCAGGCCTGAATCAAGTTGGATCATCAAGGCTGTGTCTTAGCTGCCAAAGAGGCAACAAGATCAAATTGAATCAGCCGTGATTCATCTGATGAATGGGGTGCAATTGCCACTGGGCCAAGGATCCGGAGATTTCTTCCTTCTCTTCGTCTCCCAATCTGTCAGGCCATGAACTGCCAGTTGGCTCAATGCGGATGCCAAGTCTATAATCTCGGAATAGCCAGATGCCGAATGCTACCAAACAAATGGGCTAGTACTTCTTGAAGTATGAAGAATCAGCAAATTGGTGATATCCCGTCCGACGTAGGAGCGTGCCCGGAATGATTTCGCAGTTGCACCTGGGAGGAAACGTGGGGGTGCAGTGTCTGAAGTACCAACGCTTCCAACATCCCTGGCGCGCATGTACAATGCAAATGTCAGACTTGAGCAGCTATCTGCGCCAGGCTGTTCCACAGCCTCGATGGTGCTATCTTGCTTGAGGCGCGCGCCCGCAAGACGTGAGAGATAAGGCCAGAGATAATGTAGGTATGCGTCGAGAGTTCGATGGGAGTGCTAACAACTTGACAGTGAACTGCAATCTCTTGCAAGGCAGAGCTCTCATCTAATAACCTGAGTATCCTGGTAAGGTAGCCATGGATACTCTACCAGCAAAATCCGGGACGCCCAGAAGGTCGTGTAGTAGTCCCAAGTACTCGTAGATGCTATGCAATTGCAGTCAATTGCCGGAACAAAGTTCCCTTCCCACCCAGGGTTTGCATGTACTGGGAAGTTGCTAGACCACCTTGGGCGGCTCACAGCTGTCCATCTATCGTGGCCCGCATCAACCCTGTTCGAGAGGCCAGGGTCCGAGTCCAGCCCACGGGGCGAACGCATCCAGATACCACTTTGGCCGTAACAACCCTCAATTGCATGGGCCAACGGCTTGGTGCATGCATCCGAAGCGATCCATGTACTACCTACCGGTGAGAGTCAGAGGGTAATATTTCGTAGCCGCATATGCATATGCCAGCATCGTTTATCATGGTAGACACTGGCACCGAGTGCTGCTCGATACAGGTAGCAATACCCAGTATGTATGAAGACGTGGCCGCGCTAATATGCAGCCTCTCTGTAAAGAGAAGGCCGGGCAATCAGGAGCCTTCACACCGGTTGAAGCAGCCGCATATTGGATCAGGGGATCCGTCCCTCAGCTGAACATTAAGCCGCTCTGCTGCTGAGAATCGAGCACATGGCAGACTTGCGCGCCATTGCTCTGTATGAAGTTCAATATATGACGAATGAGTCCCTGGGTGACAGTTCAAATGGCTGTCTGTGCTGCGCAACGGTAGACAAGTGCCCACATCTATCGTCAGGTAACGGTAGACACGCATTGAGTAACCCGGCCGACTGCTTGACCGGCATTGAGAGAGAAAGGGGTCGTCGACTGGTCGAAAAGTCCAAATCTCCGGTACCTACCTATGGCGACATGGTCATCGGGCAATTCAAATGCCACTGCTCCATACTTGGGCAAACCTAGCAATCCCACGCCCAATGGCTTATGCCATCAGAGACATGCATGATGGTGCACCCTTTCGGCTTTGTTGCTCCACGTTCATTCTGGAAGAAAGCAAGACAAGACAAAACCGGTGAGAATGAGCGCGTCTGCTCTATTGGCTAGCCAGCACAAAGCACGACAAGGCAGCCAAGCTAGGGGATCCGGGCTGAACGAGGCAGACTATTGAGGCCTCCCTGAAATGCTCGTCTGTCAGCTCTCTTGATGTCTGCGCCGCCACAGCTTTGATGGGACCAGGTATACGGAAATTGAGCGGTGACACCTATCGGACATGTTTTGTGAGGTAAACAATGACAGAGTGCATTGGAGGAAAAGAACACTTGAGAATAGAGAAGTGCCGCATCATAGGGTTTTCAAGGTGTACGGCCTGCAGCTGAAGGTAGAAGAGGGAATAAGTACTCTTATAACGGACGAAATACCTACAACCGCAACCAGATGTTAGTTGACGGACTACTCAAGTAGCACACTCGAGTGGGAGCATCGATTCCCTTTATGCGCATCGCTTGGACGCAGTGTTTCGGTGCCTGGCTAGATTTGGTGTGGAATTACCCTATAACATGAAGTTTTCCCGGTGGGCCATGATGCTCGAACTGAGAAATGTGAATGTTTCTATCGGTATTTAAAGAATGGCGTTCTTATCGTCTCCCATAAGGTGGTTCCGTGTTGTCGTTCGATCGTAAGCATCAGACGATCTCTAGACCTGCTTCGTGCGATAGGTCGTAGACGCCAGGCACATCACGACCGTAGAACAAGGCGCACGCGGCCACACTGGACAACAGCATTACCTAAACGGCGGGAAAAGGCAAAGAGGCATGTGTTGAAAACCATTTGCCGGTACTAAAAGTAAGACATGGCTGAAGAGCTCGCCTCTCTCTTTTACGCCCTTCATAAGAACGGCGTGAATGATTTGAGGCTGAGATGCAAGGGCTGGGGTCCTTGGGTCCGTACGTGATTCGCCATATGCAGGGGGACGGCCCTGGGAAAACATTCTATGTTCAAGAGACAAAGAGAGAAGCAGCCTGCATGATATCCTGTCTTGATGGCGATGCTCTCTTCGCCTTGGTTGTGGTAGATGGTAGGAGAGGAGCGTCCAGCGTCCCGTGACCGTAGATGTGTCCAGGGTCCGAATTGTCAATCATGCCCCGAGCCCCAAGCGTTAGTGTGCCGTATTGTCGGGACAGGAATAGCCTGATCAGCGAACGGAAGAGGCGTCTGGAAAAAAAAGGGACCAGGGGCCCGTGAGCCAGCAAGTGGCGGCTGAAGTGCCATCGGCCGTGGCGAATCAGGTAAACCCATGGCTTGCTTCGTTCCGCCCCAATGTCTTGCGATCCGGCTTCGAACGTGCCATGCTCGTATAAGCATATTCTTAATTTAACTGACGACGAGTTAGTGGTTGTCATGAGAAAGGGGTTGGCCAAAGTTGGATTAATGTTACCCTTGGTAAGCCTCTCGATGCGACGCTTGAACAGAGGAGACTTGCATGGTATGGCATGCCATGCGGACATGCACCAAGGGCGTCATTCCATGCACCATTGAATCATGACAGCCGGAGATTAATATAGGAAGAGAGAAAAAAGTGACTGATCAGGCAAAAATGGATCAATTTGCACGAACATCGTCGCGGGGGACGCGGCATGATGGATGGACGGATGACTGGGATTGAGTTGAGTCCGAAGCATTTACCTCTGTTCTTTCTTTTTCTATCGTCCTGCTTCGGATTTGCTACCAGAAAGTCTCACCACTTTCTTCTTCTGTCTGCTTGGCATTTGCGCTTCTGGGCACACTGCCAACCACGGCAGGAAAATCGCATCGGGGCATCTCGTCAAGGTTGATCGATCGTGCAACGACGAGGCCCGCTGCCGTGAGCCGGAACATGGGGGAAAATGTGGGAATGGGAAATGGAGCTTTTTTGGGGGGGAAAATTGGAGGTTTGGTCTGTGCGCTGCCAGTGGGCGCGGACTGACGACATGTCACGTGCAAGGGTGGCGTGCTTTAGGTTTCAGAACTCGGCTCGCACGTTATTGCTATTGGAGGCGAAAGACTGGAGGAAAAAAGAAAATGAGATAATTGAGGGCGAGAAGAGGGGGAAAGAGATGCTTGAAGAGGAATGGTGATATGAAACTTGGTTGCTCGGTTGCCTGCCTTTGCGTAGATCTTATATGCTCTACAAGAGACGTTGTACATTTGCAGTACGAAGCAGTACGAAGTGATACAGGCTGGCAGTTCCCGCCAGATAAGGTACGGAGAACGGAGCACTGCCGTGCGAGACGAGGACATGCATGATCCCTGTCGGTGCGTTAGCACAAGTCTTAGCCATCTGTTTTGCCTTGGGTAGCATCCAGCGCCGCAAAGTCAAACGGCTTTCTAGTGCTCTTCTCTGGGGTTTCTCCCGCTTTGCACGGGAGTCCAAGTCCCCAACGGCTCAAAGAGGTTGCAGCAGCAGAGACGCACAATGGGCTCATGACAAATTGCTGTGGCTGGATTGCGTAGGTGCTTACGAAAGAGGTACGGGTCCTTGTCGGGGTCGCTACACGCTTGCTTGGTGGGCGGTACATGTGGACATGAAGACATGAAGACGCTGATGCCCAAGACCCAAGTACTCCTGCCTCGGCTCTCTGTATCCCGCCGTAAAACGCCAGGTAGAGCGCAAGTCCCCAGAGTTGCCACCCAAAGCCAAACCTCCATACATGTAGCGTCACAACGCCATGGATCCCAACCAACAACCGGCAGAGGCAAGATAATTCCGCTCGGCAAAGCGCTAAAGCCAGCAGGCGGCAAAGCCCAGCCAGTGCAGTGTGCGCATCACCGGGGCGGCGTCCGTCAAGTCGCCCAGGCGGCAGCTCCAGGCGGTAGCACAGCAGGCCCCCTCCCCCAAAAGAGTCGCTGGCCGTCGCCATCAGCTAAAAGCAGCAGAGGGCCCCCAATCGCCATTTGCTCTGCTGGGTTAGTCAGTCACCTTGGTCACCACGGCCCAGTGCTAAAGGCTCGTCCAGGTCGGTGCCTTACCTGCCTGCTCCACCGCCGCCAACAAAGACGCCGCCCGTGGTCACGCGCTTTTCCCGCTTCCAACTACCTGCTGTATCCCCGAACTTCTCACGACTCCAGATGTCGGCAAGCATCCCGCCTTCAAGACACTGTCTCCGACCATCACCATAAAGGCATTTTGCTCGCTGCGCGCCGCGCGCACATTCGCTCTTCACCAGACTCGCTGCGTCTCTGGTCGCGCGAGCTCGCCTCCCGAGATATTCCGTCGCCCGAGACCCTTCGCCTGACGCTTTCTCTGCCGCCATCCCCGGTCGCGCAGAACCGTTTCGCTGGTCCTCTTTTCGAGGTGCTCCTGCTCTGCGCCCCAGCGCCCCATCCGACGTCCGACCTGCGCATCTGGAGAAGAAGAAGGAAAAGAAGAAGAAGCAGAAGCGAAGAGACGTACAAGGCCACAAACGCAACAAGGGTCCTCCAGCGTTGCGTCTGTGTGTCGCGCGTTTGCTGTGTTTGCATGGCGCACTGAGCCGACGCAGAAAAAAGTTCATTCGCCCGATATCGAAACGCCACATCGCTGCGCTGCGCTGCGCTGCCGCCCGCATTTCCCAACAACCTTGAACCCACCACCCAGGTCGCTTTCAGGACAAGTTGCACGTCTCCAGCGCCCTCGAGCCCGCACCGCATTCCCTGTCCGAACGGCCAGCAGCCGGCGTTGCTTCTCCGAATAGCCTCGCGTGCGCCCTTGTTTGCGGGGCGCAGTTACGCAAGGCACCGTGGCGGCGCTTACCATCCTCGACCAGCCCGAGACGCCGGAGCTGTCGCTGCAGCAGCATCTCGACCTCGCGCCCGATCTGGTCGGCTACGGTAACCAGCTCGTCGTTACGGGGGACGATCCCCAGTCCTCGATGATGGCACAGCCGGTGCCTCATCAGGACAAGAAGCGCGTCAAGGTCTACGAGCTGCGCAACAATGACTGGTTCGATCGCGGAACAGGCTTCTGTACCGCCAAGTTTGCGACGGTATGTTTGCGACCTCCTCTGCATGCTCTTGGCATCCCTTGTCTCGCCTGCCTGGTCTCGCACTTGCTTTCGCTGTCTATCTACCCCCCTATTTCCCCTCTCCCGTCTTTTCATACCCTTATACACGTGTTGCGGCATCCATCTCTACGCTATGCATTGCCCAACAGGTCTTCATGCCACTGTTCCCCAGCAATCGGGCCTGATTGGGCCGGGCCGGCTCTGGCTTGACATCTTCTCTTCCCTGAACCCATATCACAACTGCTTGGGGACCCTCAAGCAACCGGCCGCCCAGAGGGATACGCGTATCTCCTTGTCGTCGTTTTGTCGCTCTGCTTGCTAACTGTGTCATGCGCTCGACGTATCATCTAGTCCGAAGATGGCCACAAAGATCCAAAAGTGATTGTAGAGTCTGAAGACCAGCCCGAACGACTTCTCCTAGAGACGACGATCCAGAAGCAGGATGGGTTTCAAAAGCAGCAAGGCAAGTCCGCGCCCCGACCCCTCTTTCCTTTCTCCGTCCCATGTCTACGCATGCCGATCTGCTTTGGCACTTGCCTTGACCTTGACCTGATTCTATGAACCCCGTACTTGGATTTTTCCTCTTTTCATACCTTCCACTCACGAACTCTCATGGCCGTCTTCTGTCTTTTTTCTCCTCCTCCTCCTCTTCTTCCTCTATACTCTTCGCAACCCAATTCCTCCCTTGAGATTGCATTGGGACGTCTCAACTAACAGCGGATGCAGAGACGCTCATCGTGTGGCAGGAGCCAGGGAGCGGTGTCGATATGGCTCTGAGCTTTCAGGAAGCGGAGGGATGCGCCATGATCTGGTTTGTCTTCCACCCCATTCAACTTTTACCGTCGCTTCTTCCCCACGCCCTATGAGGCATTGGGGTCGTCTTTAAGCAAGCATTGACTAATCACATCGGCTGCTCAAGGCGTTTTGTCAACACTGTTCAGCAGACGTTTCAGAATCACGCTGCTGGTGTCGGTACGGAATTGACTTCCCGTGATTGGAAAATTGAAAAGCACGTTCAGAAGCTAATGTTGTCTCAGATGACAACCTATCTGATGATCTCGCTATCGAAGCTGTTGCTCCCGTGAGCCTTCCTGCTGCCGAGCTGGGCAACCTCGCGGAAATCGAGTCCAGCATCAGGGTGATGAGCTCTACCGCCACCGGCCGTGAAGCCATTACCAAGTTCATCGTGGCCGACGACTACATCAGCAAACTTATTCCGTTGGTAGAAATCGCCGAAGATCTAGAGAGCCTCCCCGATCTGCATCGCTTGTGCAACATCATGAAGAGCATTCTCCTCCTCAACGACACATCCATCATTGAGCACGCCGTATCCGACGAATGCCTCCTGGGAGTGGTTGGCGCTCTGGAATACGACCCTGACTTCCCCAGCCACAAGGCGAACCATCGACATTGGCTCAGCAATCAAGGGCATTATAAAGAGGTCGTTCCCATCGACGACGAGGCCGTCCGCCGCAAGATTCACCAGACCTACCGACTGCAGTACCTCAAAGACGTCGTCTTGGCCAGGATTCTTGATGATCCTACCTTTTCCGTGCTGAGCTCTCTCATATTCTTCAACCAAGTCGAAATCGTACAGCACCTACAGTCGAACCCAACCTTCCTCATGAACCTTTTTGGCATCTTCTCCGCACACTATCCTGATACAAGGAAGCGCAAAGAGGCCGTTTTGTTCATCCAGCAATGCTGCGCAATTGCCAAGACCATCCAGGCTCCTGCGCGCCAGTCCCTGTACATCAACTTCCTCAACCACGGCTTGCTCCGCGTCATTTATTATGGCCTGAGACACATGGACGTAGCTGTGCGCGTTGGAGCAATGGATATCTTGATATCCATCATCGACCATGATCCGATGCTCATTCGGCAAACCATCTTTCGACAGCTTCATGAGGGCGGCTTGTCACTACTGGACTCTCTTATTGACCTTCTCCTGGTCGAGGTGGACTTGGGCGTCAAGACTCAGATTTCAGATGCCCTCAGAGTCATTTTGGATCAGGGGGGAAACCCAGCTGCCGCCGCCAACGAGCCCGCGGCCAACACCAATGGCGGCAATGGCAATAGCAACGGGAACAAGCAGCAAGGCGGCGAGCTTGCCGCTAGAGCTAGGATGCAGATGGCTGTTGATCCTCAGCATGAACACTTCCTCACTCGCTTCTACGAGTCTTCCGCCTTGAAGCTATTTAGGCCTCTGATTGAGCTAGACAGCCGCTCTCACCTCGATTTCACCGTCCAAGAGGCTGCCATGTTTGCCTGCTTGGTGGAGGTGCTGGGCTTCTTCATCCGCCAGCATCATCGGTTCAGCAGATACTTCTTCATAGTGCACAACCTCGCGGCACGAATCGTCCAGCTTCTCAAGTGTCGGGACAAGTACTTGCAACTGGTTTCGATTCGATGCTTCCGACTGATCCTTGGCCTCCAGGAGGAGCTGTATGTCAAGAATCTGATTGAAAACGATGTCTTGGGCCCCATCCTTGAAGTTCTGGTTGAGACCGTCCCGCGGGACAATCTCGTCAGCGCTGCTTGCACCGAGCTCTTTGATTTTGTCAAGAAGGACTACCTCAGAGACATGGTCAAGCAACTTGTAGAGGACCACCGGGATAACTTGCTTCTCGTGAGCCACATACCGCCTTGTCAAGACCTAATCACGCGATACGACCAGACGGAAGGCTATACGACCAACATGGAGTACTTCCTCGAAGCGGAGGACGACGTGACGAGGAGGCCAACCAACGTCCGCATGATGGACCACCTCCCCATTGACATGCAGGAAGAAGAGTACTGGGACGCCCCCGACCTTGACGACGAGGCAGAAGATCAGAGCTCAGGGGACAGGTCATCTGAGAGCGGCAGCTCGTCTTCCACAAAACCTCTGGTCGACTATGCTTCAGATGAAGAGGACGCCGAAGATGGTTTAGACAATGACAGCGATGACCATCAGTCAAAGGACCATGGTGACGACACTGCCGAATTCAGTCCGCGGTCGAGCACGTCAGCCAATGTGCCGCCACCTGAGCGCCTGTCTGAGAAGCGCCGACGAGAGGAAGATGAGGATGAGGATGACGAGCTGGGGAAGCTGATGCAGAGCAAACGACGTAACAGCAGCTCTACAGAATCCAACTCGTCAATCACACCGGGCCTCCGGAGACGCAAGAGCTTCGCTAACGGCAGTGGTAATGTGACGCCGAGGAAGATTGCAATTAGCCTGTCACCAGCTCTGAGGTCAGGGGGACCCTCACGGTCCGACGACGACTCGTAACCGTGATGGGAGATTTTATCTTTGCCTCTGCGTTGTGCCTCCTCTTGTTAGAACGATTGGCGTACGGCACTCCATACCCTCCCCTTACTTTTTCTTCTCCTGTTCAGGTTTTTTGTGCATCATAATTTAGTCTTGGCCATGGCAATTGTAAATGGCAGACGGCTACTCTGTGTCCAAGGGTTGGTCCTCGTGCAATGAGGAGGGGTGGCGGCTGGGCAATAGGCGGCGTTTTGTTTCTCCTCTTTTCCGTTCAATTTTCTTTTAGTTTTCCTTTATCTTGCTGGTCGTTGGCCAAGAGACCCTTTGCTTTCTGTTGTTTGTGTTGGCTTCGGTAAGATGATGCGGTTCACAGAGGCCGTCAGCGGCAACGGCAACCGCTTTCGGGTATAGAATTGGAACGTGGTAAGAGGATGCAGCGTGTCAAGACAATGTGAGGAAGAGAAATAAAATGTGGCCAAGTCCTGGGGACAATGCTTGGACTCTTTAAAAACCTAGCAATGCTGGCGAAAGCGCAGGAGATAAGGAGTTACAAGCATCACGCTTGATATGTATCATTACCCCAACATACCTATCAATGTAATGGTCTCCTCAACGATAAGAGAGAGCATGAAACGAAGCGAGTCACACTAAAGAGAAAGGAAGTAAGACAGGGCGTAAGCAATGCAATACTCTTGAGATTTGCATGGGGCGGGCCGGAGATGGATATCAGATTCCAACATCAAATTCCCTGCCAGGGAATAGCCTGCAACCGGATGTTCTCAGTGGGTGTGAAAGGTGCCTGCCCGGGTAACGTTGGCAGGAAAAGAAAAAAGAAACGTCTATGACTGTCAAAATCCCCCTCTGTTTGCGCCTCCCATGTCTATTGATACTTGTCATTCCGTCGTCACCATCATGATCGTTTAAACTGCCTCGACCACATTTCGTAGCCAGAAATCATCATGGGCGTAATGTTCCTCGGAGTCTTTTCGATCGCAGCCTCTAGATCTGCCATTCGAATCTCCATCTTCTCGGTGCCTGTCTCGTCTTCATCACACCTATCAAGCACTGCCAGCCCGGCCTCGTTGCAGATGGCCTTGATCTCGGCTCCTGAATAGCCATCGGTGATGCGGGCCAGTTCAGTGATATCCACGTCTGGCGCAAGAGCAAGCCCCCGTAGGTGCACACCGAAGACGTCTTGTCTGGCGGCGAGATCAGGGGGTCCTACGTAGAGAATCTGGTCAAAGCGGCCGGGACGAAGGAGGGCTGGATCCATAGCCTCGGGGCGGTTCGTGGCGGCGAGAACGAGGACGCCAGTGAGGGACTCAAAGCCATCCATCTCCGTAAGAAGAGTGGTCAGCATGTTGACGGAGCCTGAGCTGCGAGCGGCGGCGGCGCCATTGCCTCCGGTCCGGGAGCCACCGATGGAGTCAATCTCATCAAAGAAGATGATGGAGGGGGCAGCAGCGCGCGCGCGCTCGAAAAGCGTACGCACAGCTCGCTCAGACTCGCCCACGTACATGTTGAGGAGCTCGGCACCCTTGACAGCGAAGAAGTTGAAGGAGGACTCGGTAGCCATGGCTTGGGCAGACAGCGTCTTGGAGCAGCCAGGGGGGCCATAGAGAAGGAGGCCTTTAGGGGGCTGTCGGAGGACATGACGAGAAGAGGGATTGGTATCCTGATATGGCGGTTAGCAGCAATGATCGCACGATACTGCATGAACGGCAAAGACGGAGAAGGGTAACATGGGCGGTTCGGGTTCAGACAGTACCTTTGTGTTTTTGATCATGCGAGAGAGAACCTTCTTGAGGGACTCTTGGCCACCCACATCTCGCCAATGGATGGTCGGTGGCTTCAGATTGATGTCGTGCATAGCAGTGGGACGAGTGATGCGCAGGGCTTGCTCCATGTCCTGAGAGGTGAGGTAGTGTTCTCGAGGCCGCTGTGTCTCCGAGGAGGCAGTTCCAGCGGCCTCGGTGTCGATATTATCAGCGCTGGTGGCGGCAGCCTCATCGTCCAGCCTGTTGCCGAGGATTTTCTTGGCATTGAGAACCAGATTTGCGAGATCATCTCCATTGTATGCGTGAGTCTTGGATGCCAGACTGGCTAGGCAGGCTTCTTTCTCTTTAGCCTGGATAGGGGGGTCAAAAAAGCGTAGTATTTCAAGGCGCTCCGTTGCGCGAGGAATTGGCAAGGCGACGTTTTCTCGGAAACGCGACCGTTTCTGGAGCTTCGCTGGCACGTCGGCCAAGTAGTCTAGACAAGTGGCGATGACCACAACCTGGGGTAGAGCGTTGGCAGCAGCAGCCGCCGCAGAAAGGTTGTCGAGCTCCTCGCCCAGAGCCTCAATGACACTGTCACGGTTGGAGCGTTCTTTGGCGAGAATATCTTCGAGGCCGTCGATGAAGAGGAGACTTGGCTGCTGGAACTGAGCCAGCTTGAACGTCTCCCTGATGGTAGACAGCTTGTCCGTAGGCCGGATCCAATGAACCCGCCCCCAGTTGGTGGCTGCGATGCGCTGCAGAATAAACGTCTTGCCCGTGCCGTGGCCGCCGTGTATGACGAAGCCGCAAGACTCGCGCTCGTTCTTAATCCAGAACGGCCGGCCAAAGCCTCTGAGGAACTGGTTGATGACATTGACTTGTGAGGATAAACCGGGGACTCCGGTAACCGCTAAAGGTCCAGATGCGGCTGCAGCTGTCTGCTCATCTTCAGGGGCGTCCTTGCTGTCTCCGGGCTGGAGTATTCGTACTGTTGACGAGGCGAGCTTGAAGCGGGCCATGTTGTCGGACCGTCCATTGACTGACACGACTTTGAACGTCCGACGCAGCTTGTTAATGTTGACACCCTCGAGGACCATGCCTGGAAACACCTGTTCCGCACGGTCAAGAGAGATGCTGATGGAGAATTCCCAAGACGGCGGGTGTCTTGGTTTCGCAGCAGCATCTTTCTGAAGATCTGCCTCGCTGGTTGTATCCTGAACCACCACCTCGTCTGCGTCCGGAGCTACGGCGTTCTCTGCAAGCGTGATCCTGACCATGTCTCCCAGCTTGAAACCTGTAGCCTCCTGGAACGCTCTTGTCATCATGACCACATTGGGGCTGACGTTCTTGTCGGGGAGAACCCATAGAGAGGCTTCTCTCCGCTTGCTGGCCTCGGCATCTCCTGTTGCAGAGCCCTCACCAGAGGTGTCATCTGTTTGCAGCCTCTCGACGATGCATGGCCGGCCACTGTCGAGGCTGCCAGTCAGGGAGATGAGAGAATCTTTGCTGACGTAGATGCGACCAGCGCCGAGGAGACTTGCTCTCTCAAGACTGACGTTGGCGAGAGGGCGAACTTTGGCGTCGATGCTTTTCTTGAGCATCTTTTCTCTTGTGGGTGTAGGTACCTTGATGAATGAGGAAGGAGAAGATAAGAGGGAAACAGGAAGAGACAAGGTCCTGACTCTGGACAAGAGGATGGAGAAGGGAAAAGCCTGGTATCTGAATTATATGTACGGAGTACATGAATGACATTTGGAAGGTGCGATTGTGCGAGCGTCTCATGAAGGCCCTTCCAAGAATTTTCCGCTTTAGTACCTGAAGTACTGGGTACCTGCAGTTGTGGGTGCCGGGCGTACAAGCTACCAAGAAATTCGTACATGCAGCTGTTGCAATTGGCCTTCAGCAGTAGGCTTCAGTTGAAGGCGTATCAATTTGCGGTTGAGTTCGTATATGCGCACTGAAATCTAAAGAAAATGAATTTTTTGATACGGATCAAAGATCGTACTATCCTGCTGAGCTTTCTCTGCCGTAAGGTAACGCACCTTGATGACCAGAATTCAAGTGCTCTGCAGTTGATCAACCAGCGCAAAGAGGTACCCACTACCTGCTCTTCACTAGCAGCATGTATTCCATACCCTGCCCGACGTCATGGCAAAGAAAAGCCATTAAACCTCCAATCCGTCCCTCCAGTCCTCCGTCTCTTCAGCACCACGATCCCGCCTCTCTCTGTGTCTGGAAGATCTCAATGCGACCTGGTCCCGGCCATCTGCCTGGATGATCTGCCTCCGATGGACGCCTCGAGCGACAGCGACGCTCGCTAACCTCGGCGGCAGCTCGAGGCACGCCTCCGGTCGTTACGTTCCCATCTCCTGCAGAGGCGAAGAGTCAGGACCAAGGCGCTGGCTCAGCACAACTGGAGGAGGTGACGAGGATGGGACCCCCGATTCGCCGTCTCGCGAAGGGTCCCAGGCCTCAGATAGGGCGCACCAAGCGTCTTCTGGCCCAACAGCTGCGCCCACGAGAGAACAGACCCCTCACCATCTGCTTAAGCGCAGAACGAGGACAACAGAGCCCCCTACAGCTCACGACTTCGAGCCTCGACGGCGTTGGACAGACAAGAAGGATGCTGGCGGTGATGGCGATGCAGCAGGCGAATCCACCGATACGCCTCACCAGATGTGGCCACAGCTGAAGAGGAGACAAAGAGCCGGAAAGCATGGGAATGAACAAGTAGCGAATTCCGCCTTTGTTATCCCTAAGCCCGTCTTCTCGCCGCGGCGGAACGTACAAAAACCGAAAGGCACCAGCGACTCGTCGGGCTTGATGCTCGTCATCGACGGCTTGTCGCCCAATCTCAGCGCGACAGACTTTTACCGCATAGCGCCAAACGACTTCTCCAACTGGCGAAATGCTATCCGCAAAGGTACCCAACCTCTCCCGGTTCTACCCCCTTTGCACGCCGCTATTGTGCATTCTCATCTATACAGCTTGACTGACTTGCTTCCCAGTTCAGCAGCAACGCAAGCCAGACACTCTCGAACCTCTCGGCCGCTACTGCGTCACATTCAGCACTGCCGAAGCCGCCGTCTCATACCGTGACAGGCTGGTTCGCCTACACAAGCTCAACAGTATCAAGCTTGGGACTGCAAGTGGCCTGTGGGAAAACAGCGTTCCAAACTCTCTAAAAATATCCCTCGCATCTCCATCGGCAGCCTCAGCAGCAGCAGTGGCCGCCGGCGCCGTCGACGACACAAGTGATACTGCCCCGCCCGACACGCCCGGCACAGAAAGCCTTGCCGAAATCGCCGACTCCTTTACCATTGCGCCGGGATCACAAGCTGTCATTCCCATAAAACGCACAAGAGTTGTTCTCACACGGCCATGGGCGGACCGCCTGGCTGACTTGGTTGCCAACCTCGGCTTCGGGGAGCGGCCCCCTGTGCTGATGGTCGATGTCTACCCGCCTACCTTGACTGCGGAAGAGCTGTCTCGGTTCATCAGTCGAGATGGATACAACCGAGCCCTTCGGTGGAAGGTCTCCACGCCTCAGCATCTCCAGAAGAGCCACCTAGAGCCGGCATTACCGAAGATGAATGCTAGAGGGGGAAGTAAGAATGGCGACATGGGCAAGCAAAGGGGTTCGCCCTTTCCAATCAAGGATCGTGAAGCGTGGGAAACAATGAGGGGCCGATTTGTGCTCGCGTGTGCGGACGAAGAAGAGGCGCGGCGGTTTCAGCAGAGCTGGAATCAGCGAGCGCTCACGACACTGCGGCCAGAGCCGGCAAGGTATATGGTTCGTACTTCAATAATAAACTGGTAGTTATTTCCGCCTACCAAAGGTACTATCACATTTCCCACCTAATCGTCTCCAGCTCTGCCTGTCACCCACGCACTGCTGGCCTTGATGGCTAACATCACATGCTTCTGTCGTTGATTCTCATGGCCACATCTCGTATTACATATCCTCCCTTCTCTCGTTACCTATTCCAGCTCAGTCTTCCTTTCTTCCTCGCTCTATCGTGACACTTGTCACACCTGTTCATCCACTCTTTTATCTTTGCCAAATGCCAGACTCCAACAGCGAACATGACAAACAGCAAGGCCCCCCTCCTCGGCCACCATAGAATGGCCATAGACACAATAGCAATGAATGATTTTTTTGTATTAAAACCCAAAAGTAAGAAAAAGATAACAAAAGAGAGATAAAAGGGCAACTGAAAAGAAAAGAACACAAAGGGGAGAAAGAAGACCGCAGTAACTCCGAACCAGAATTGCTCTCTCTAAAGCGGATAGGTAAGGGGTTGATTCGAATGTTGCCGAGTGGTTCGGAAAGTTCCAGCTTCTTGTTTGTTTTTTTCTTTCTCTTAGTTAAGGAACACTCATGGCCCTCATGTCCGAAATGTCATTACTGGCACAAAGCTGATAAACTGCAGGCCTCATAAACAGCTCGTAGGTCTTGATCGCGTTGCGTTGCCGTCTCCATTATTTCATACGTCAAATACACTCTCAAATCAGCATCATGCCTCACGCGCGTGCGTGCTGCAAAAAGACCTGCGGGGCCCTTCTTAACAGCACTTGCCGCTGGCGGCGTCGTTCTTCTCTCCGACGTTGACACCGGATGAGGTTCCAGTGTCAGTCTTCTGGTTGTCGATGAGGCGCTTCTTGATGTCGGCAGCCAGGCTGTAAAAGGCCTGGTCAATGTTGATGTTGCTCTTGGCCGAGACTTCGAGGAAAGGAATGCCGAGCTCGTCTGCCAGTGCCTGGCCCTGTTCCGTGGACACAACGCGCTTGTCCTCCCAGTCGCACTTGTTGCCGATTAAGATCTTGTTGACGCCTTCGGTGGCATGCTGCTCCACGTTTTGGAACCAGGTGCGAATGTCTATGGGGAAGAGGTTATGACGAGTCAGCCACAATCCGAGCAACTCCACTTTTCTGGAATTGGGAGTCCTTGTAAGGCATTGAATGATGGCTCAGAAGCAAGCACTCGTTGAAACACTGGTGCAGGTTGGGGTGATTTTGAGATACCCAGTATGAGGAAGGTGAAATGGGCGAACTGGGGCGAAGAAGAGCAAAGCTGCCTGGCGGTGAGAAGGGTGGGGAGGGGGGAGTTGAACATACTGCTGAATGATCGCTCGTCGGTGACATCGTAGACGAGCAGAATGCCCATGGCACCACGGTAGTAGGCAGTGGTGATGGTGCGGAATCGCTCCTGGCCAGCAGTGTCCCAGATCTGTAGCTTGACACGCTTGCCATCCAGCTCAATTGTCCTGATCTTGAAGTCGATGCCAATCGTGGTGATGAAGGACGGGGTGAAGGAGTCCTCGCTGAATCGCAACAGACAGCATGACTTGCCAACACCGGAGTCGCCAATGAGAAGGAGCTTGATCTATTTGAAAACAATCGGATTAGCATCTGGTTCGCTTTTTTCTTCATGTCGAGGCAAGAATTGCGTCGTAGTCAACTGCGTTGCTGATACTATTGCCATGTGATGGGAGCTGCGCCTAGTGGCCGTACGTGGCCAGAGGGGTGGGGGGTACGAAAGGGGGGGAAGAATCAGTCGTACCAAGAAGTCGTAGTTGCGATTGCTAGGCATGGCGGGCATGTTGGGCAAAACGTTTTCCTTAACAGAAGAGGTACCGAGTTGTGAGACAGGCCGGTCACGATGGTCGAAAGTCGGGGGCTTCGCGGGCGAAGTGGCGGAGAGGCGGGAGAGTGCGAAGGCGGAGGACTCAGGAGGATTGCAGCCCGCGAGAAGGACGGAGCAGCGACAAGCCAAAAAAGGAAAAAGAGAGAGGAGAAAAGGGGGATGCAGAAGATGCGTCCCGTCGAAAGAGATTATTATTGGATGAGCAGATATCGAGACCAGTTGCTTGCTCTGGAGGGCGGCGGGAGATCCGGCGACAAGACTCAACACCAAACGGGGATGGCAGCGAGGCGGTTAGTCAGTCTGGCGATGCTGGAGCAGCACAACAGGCTCTGGATTGACCAAGGACGCAGAGAGATGCCGAGACAGTGACGGCGAGCAGTGACGCGCTGGCACGGGACGGCGCAATTGGGCGAGGCTGGTGATGCAGGTGGCAAAAGCTGGAGAGGAGGTTTCAGGCTCGTCGGTGAGGGTTGCAGAATCGAGGTTTTGGTATCTGGACAGCTGGAAGCGGTCGGGACACTTGGCCGAGATGCAAGGCCAGCGCGCGGCTGCATCAAGGTACCTCTAGACCGCGGTGCTCCGTGCACACTTGGAGGTACCTTTTACGCCGAAGACTGCTGGAGAGGTACAAGCTCGGGCGGTGGAGGCAAACGGGGTTCGGGGCTTCTGGCGCTGGAGCAGCTGCTGGACTGGGCTGATGTTTAGCGGGATGGCAACCTAAAACTCGCTGGGGGGTTCTTCTGAAGGCCTGGAAGCTGGAAGCCGGAGGCTGCAATTGATAGCTCAAGTCTGGTATCGACAATCGATAAAGATCAGATACAGCACCTCAGGAAGATATCATAGATGCATCAAGCTTCACGGTTGGATTTGGTTTCAAGGCGTTTTATATCAATGGTATGAAAAGACTTTTGCAGGCACGGACCTGACTTAAACACCAGCCCCTCGGCAATCTACACACGATCCCTGTGCCAGGCACCCAAACAACCAGCATGAAATTTTTAAAGCTACTACATACAGAGTGAACAGCAGAAGGCAGGCAGACATCCAATTCGACATGCAACCATTGATACGGCCTCAATATCGACGCCGTGAGAGACGAGAACAACCACCTGACCTCCGGCGAGTCACAGGGGCACACGGTCCCGACCATTAGCAAATAACCAGCAGCGTCCTTATGGGACCGGCAGACCCTCGTCGTATCTTCGCAGCGATGGCTTCCAGCAAATGATAACGAACGGGAGAGCCCAAAGCGGGACGGGCTGCATAATACGACCTGCACAAGCACCGAGTTCCTGACTGGAATAAGGGGCTCCCTTGCATGCGTTGTTGAAACAAGCCTCGATAAGTTGCTGCCTCCTACTCCATATCCGGTAATCCGGTTCCTGCATTCGTGTTCATTCATGCTTGGTGCCTACTCTAAAATCGACGTTCTTGAACATGACATCTCAAACTCCCGCTTCAAGACCTGACCAGCAACAGCTTTCCCCCTAGCATAGATCAAAGATTGAACGAATCCATCGAAAAAGAAATATAACATTATCAGAAGCAAGGAAACGAAATAAGATGCAGCGCTCCAGGCGAACCTTGCTAGCCGTTTCTACTCAAGCTTCCAGTTTCTCAAAGATGTCGTTCCACACCTCCGGCAGCCTCCCCGGCGCCGGCACAACGTACTCCTTCTCGGTGAACTTGGGCGGCCCCTTGAACTTTTCCTTCTCGCACAGCGCGTCCATCTTGCCGCAGTAGTTGCTCCAGCGGTCGCAGTTGGTCAGCCCTATCGGCGGTGAGCTCTCCCTGCACTTCTTGCTCTGCGCGTAGCAGTCATTGACGGCCCGCCAGCACATGCGGGAGGTCGAGTACGGCTCGACGGGCTTGCCGCACCAGTTCGCCTTCTTGATCAGGCAGTCCTTGGGGATGAGGCCGTCCTTCTGAACCAGTGGGGCCACGTTCGAGTCCTGATCGGACTTCTTGACGGTGGGGATATACACCTTGGGGCCGGGCATGGGATACGGAGGCATCTCATCTTGGTAGATGTCGAGCGTGAGGCCTGGTGTCTTGGCGCTGACATATCCAGGGATGCTCACCTGCTGCTTCCGAGGAACCTCAAGTGGACCACGCACGTCGCTGTTGAGGAAGATTTGCGCGCAGCCCAGGTAGAACTGCGGGTCGTTGCGATGGGCAGCCCAGTGCAGCGCCAGGATCTCAGGCCTCACGATGTAGTACCCCGCGGGTAGCCCTCTGGGGAGTCTCACGGAGAGCAGGCCGTTGTTCTTGACGAGCCGGTCGACGCACCATTTCTGGGTCTTGGGATCGTAGCCGTCCTCCCAGATCTTGAACCAGCCGCCGCCGGCGGCACTGTCCGAGAACATGTCGTCCACCTTCTTCACGTAGACGGCACAGGGACCTAGGTGGCCCGGATCAATGCTGCCGGGTTCCTGAGCATCCGGCCAGAGGCGGAACTCAAAGGTCAGCAAAGATCCCTTCTTTGCCGGACAGATGAATGACACGGGATCACCACCGTTGCGACCTGTTGGTGTGTCTCAGCATCGACCCATCTTTGGTGGTAGCTTACTCGCCATTTTGGCGACTCAAGTAGGAGAAGCATGCTTACCACAAGCCATATCCGAGGATGTGATGGGCTTGACCGGGTTGGTTGCCGTCTTGTCATCGTACGGCATCCGGACGCACGTCCCATCTCCTTGATTCTTCTTGTCGATGAAAAGCGTGGTGAAAGTGGTGTGGGCACTTGCCGTGCAGGCAAGGCCCAAAAGCAAGAGACCGACCCAAAAGAGAAAACCCTTCATGTTGAAGATGTGAAAGATGGACGGTTTGCAGAAGCTTTGTGAAGCAAGCAGAAGGGGGCAGCCGGACACTTTTATAAGCGCCCCTTAGTCTCCCCGTTCAACTTTACGGTCTGGCAAGCCCCTTTCCAGACGAAGGGACAAAGCATAAAATTTCCGTCCCTGATGGCTTGGGATGCTATCCCCCAAAGGCTTAGAGCCCTTGGTTTGCGCAGCCAGTGCCACCTCGTCTCATCTGTCGTTTAAATTGGCCCTCCTTGACCTCGGCACCTTCAGAGAGGTTGCGAATGGAAACTCCTGTTTTGCCAAGATGGCGCGCAGCAGGTCGTGAGACTGGTATCTCGGGCTGAAACTGACTGTTTGTCTCCGGCCGAGCCTCCCCATTGGCTTCCAGTACTCGGCTGGCGCTTCTGGCTGCGACTGTGCGACTCGACATGATCATGTCCTCCAATGAAATAAACTTCCAGACCAAGTAACCAACGGGATGGTGGCAGTCTGCTAGAAGGGGGGCCATGGGCAAGGGGCTGTAGAGTTCAGAGGGGATAATGCGCAGCGGCACTCGAATCCGGCGTAGCATCGAAACAAGGCTTGAGCGGACCGAACCTTGTGCTTCCAACCGAAGTCGACCATGTTCCGAATAGATGGTCGAGGCGGACATCGGGTCGCCATTCACCATCATATCGCAATCACACCATAGCCGGAACCAACAAGTGAAAGGTTGATGAGTACTGTGAGTGGAGATTTTGGTATGAGAAAAAGGAACAGCTTCAGCCATGATCAACTGTCACAAGCCAAGCCAACATCCAACAGCTTCATACCCCATGTGGCATGAAGACCCTCCAATCTATGCATGCATTTGTTTTAGCCTCTCGTAACCTGTTTTGTTTTTCTTTCCCAACAATGACAATCACACAGAAGATGCCGCATGAAACCTCGGTCTCGGTCCTTGAATGTAAATTTTGTAACTTTTTTCTTAGAGATTCCTTTTTATGGTCCTTTTTCAAAATCGTATGGTACACGGTATAGTACACTCGTCGTGACGTCGGGTATTAATGGTTTCGCTTTTTCCTCCCCTTTCACACATTTACTCGTTGATCTTGGCGAGGATCCTGCAGTCCATTGGTCAGAGTCGTTCGAGGTAACGGGCATTCTCACTAGCGGAAACTTACTCGCTGTCACGGAACAGCTGGTAGTCCTCCTCGCCAGACTTGACAGGCGAGCCACCGAACTAAAGAAAGCCCCAAGTTAGCACCAAGCAACTCTCCGGCCGAGGTTCACTCCTCCTTTCCCAATCCCCCTTTAGACTAGCTGGTACAAGTCCATACCTGAGGAATCAGAACACGGTCGCCGACGGCCACGCTCATGGGGACGCGCTTGCCATCACGGTCCAGAGCACCGGGGCCCACGGCGAGGACCTTGGCCTCGTTGAGCTTCTCGACGCTGGACTCGGGCAGGAAGATGCCACTGGCGGTCTTGGCCTCGGCCTTGACGCGCTGGACCAGCACACGGTCCAGCAGGGGAGCGAGAGCGCGGATGTTTCGGACCGTAGACTGTGAGTTGAGCGCAGTGAGTTAGCAAAGAGCTTCTATCCAGCGCCTCTGGGGCGCAATTGCAACGTCAATCAGTTCCCAAGATGGCATATGACATATGCGCAGGCGTAAACCAAAGGTAGGTAGGTTGAGCCAATCCACCAAGGGAGCTGAAGCGTTGAACTAAGATTGCGTCCAAGCCCATTGCAGAGAGGCCTCGGAGAGCATTGGGAGGGGAGGGAAGATGCGCCATACCATTGTGAATGATTGTGTGAGTGGAAGCGAGGACTGCGAAGCTTGCAATGGGTAGCGACGAGGGCGATCTTATGGATGAGGAAGCAAAAAATTAAAGAAAAAGAGGCGGGCGAGCTGGAGAAGCGGTTCGGATCGGCAAGTAGTCGCTCTTGTCTTCTAACGGCTTCCAGAATCGAGCATCTGCTTATTAGCCGGCAATTTTTTTTCTCGCTCTTGCGGCCGTGTCGGTTCGGGATTTCCCCTCTTCCGAGGCTCCTGCTCCGCGATAGCTTCAGACAGCTCGGAATGACAACCCCGCCATGCTTTACCGAATTCGGAGCTCAAAAAGGTGACGATGAGGGGCCGAGAATTGGATACAGGGATGGGATACGGAGTACAGCGCAGGCAGATTGAGCAAGATCTTGCTGCATGTGTATGTAAATTGATGCTCAAGACATGGTACATTGAAAATACATATTGAACAACTACCTAGAATGGATGAAATGTGAAATGCAGATGAAACGCAGACGCCGTCTATCCCTATCGCCTCGACCACCAACCGCCCATCGCCTGTACAGAATAGTACCTTATGCAACTACCTATGTAAAAGTTTCCTTTATATGACCCTGAGGTTCGACTTGATCTGCCAATAAACACAATCCACAACACGCGCATGCCCCTGATCGGAAACCCAAAATTGCTTCGCATCTTTCTGTCATCGGTCCCTCCATATAAACACATGGTATTGTGCAATTTCATCATATGTGAATCCAAAAAGCAAAGAGCAAGAAGATGAAGAAAAAAGAAAACGCCCGACCATATGTCTGGAATAAGTAGCGAGAAAGGGAGTAAAGCAAGGAGAAAATGGCCAACCAACTGATTTGGGGGAATTGCTGGAGTAGCCAATGAAAAGAGCGAAAAAAAGCAAAGAAACAATGCTAGAGTGAGGAGGGGTGGGCAAAAGGATGGACGTGGTTAGATTCCCACATTATGCTTTCTTGGGGGGAGGTGGCTGAGAGTTTGGCGGCTCCAGAATGTGCGTGTGGTCAGAAGCCGGAATCACCTCCCCATTCTCCAACTGCTGGCAAATGACCGTGTCTGCCACCCAGGGCTCTTCCAGAATCTCACTCATCTTAGCCCGGGTCTTGGGGTTGATGTCCAGCATGCGGTGGATGATGTGACGGCTCTCGCGAGGAAGCAGGCGCAGGATTCTCCAAGGACCCCGGATGACCTCCTTTTTCTCGCTGGGGACATTGACTCCTGGGATTGGAAGCTGTGTCTGTTCGGGCGGGGCGGCATCCGAATCCTGCCTCCTGTGCGACTGATCGGAGCCGTTGTTTTGGTGCTTCGGTTCGTCCTCGGGGAGAAATTCTCGGGGAGACACGGACGAGAGGTCATTGGTGGACTTGGGTCGCAGAAGCTTGCGCGGGTCGTGTCCAGGAGTTGGCGTGGCCGCGAAGAGCTTATACGAGTTGTCCGTCATGCGGGGGATCTTCCAGGGGAAGCGGCGCAATGTCATGCAGCAGAAGATGATGGCGAGTGACCAGATGTCGACGGCCTCGGCGTTGTACTCCTTGGAATCGTACACCTCGGGCGCCAAATATGGGTCGGACCCAACGATACCTACATGAAGATTGTCAGCGTTGGAAAGCAGGAAAAAAAAAAGGGGGTAGAGGCAAAAAAGGCCTCACCTTTGGCTGGGACCGATCCGCTCTCAAAGGGATACTTGAACACATGGGCACTGCCAAAATCGATAATTTTCATGATGCCCTTTTCGCTAACCACCACGTTATCCAGCTTCAGATCACGATGCGCAAGACCCATGCTGTGCAGATAGGTAACGCCGTTGAGGATCTGCAGAAAGCTGCATCGAATCTCTTCGCGGGTCATTTTGCCCGTCATGACAATGGCAAAGAGATCATAAGGGGCATACTCCATGACCTCGAACCAGCGTCCCTTCTCTTGCAGAATGTCCAGCGTCTCAATGACGTTGCCGTGGTGGAGGGTCGAACCGACGCAGAACTCGGCCGTCACCTTCTTGTTGTACTCCCTCTCCGTCTCGTATGTGTGGCGTGCTCTGAACTCCTTCACGGCGAAGACGGTGCCGTCTTCCGTTCGACGCATGAGCCTGACTGAACCGCCGGCACCGGATCCCAGCACCTTGCCGAGCTTGCCATACTTGGACGTCAGCCCGTGGTCGTCTCCAAAGGGAAGCTGCTGGGTGGAACGGCTGGCTTGGCTGGACTTGGAGGACGACTTGATGGATGACGGCGACAGGTCCCGCTTCTTATGGTGGCCAGACTTTCGGAAGAATCGCTTCAGGTCAGACATCGAGCCCGTTGCCCCATGGCCGTGTATGCCATCGTTGGAGCCGGAATCATCGCTCTGCTTGGAGTGCTGAGCGTACACCCCGAGGCTCGATTTGGAAGACGTCGGCGAGGAGCCGTGACCGTGCTTCTTCTTCCGGGAAAAGACGAATCGCGGATCGACCGTGTGGCGGGTAGGGTGCTGCTGCTGAGGGGGCCGGCGGCCCTTGGCATAGGGGTCGTTGGCGTCGCCTCCAGGCGCCATCGGCCTGGAATAAAAGTTCGATGCTGCGCTTCTGGAAGGGCTCGACTCACGAGATACGGGGACAGAGCTGGGCCCGACAGCGAAGATTTCCTTGCGATGGTGCGACCTGGATCCCCCGCGGCGATCGTCGGAAGACGAGGCCCTGGACATTACGTGGTCAGAGGATGCGGGTCGATGACTCAGGACTATGCGATCGCCGCTGCGAGCAGGTGTCTTATCGGCAGAAGTCGAGGGCTGCGGAGTAATGATGTGAGGTTCGTTGCCGGCGGAACCGGGAGCACTGGTTGGACCGACATCCCTATTTAACCTCTTGTCGGGTTCTGACCCGGCAGGCGTGAGAGGAGGCGAGGCCAGGGCGGAAAGCCGAGGGCTTCCGTGGGGAGACTGCCAGCCAGACGAGTTTGGCGTTGGCAGTCTCGTGGAGTCATTCGAGGCATCTTCACGAGAGTTGACCTAACAGAGGGCCGCACGGTTAGCAGCTGAGCGACAGGGGAGAAGGGACAAAAAGAGACAACACAGGCCACGATGACGGATAGAAGCTGCGTTCCAGTGTGACGGAGGCATGGGGCGAATGGATCTTGAATGCAGGTATTCGGTATCGATGGTTAGATGCATGCATGCACCGGTTACACACCACGATAGCAAACTGTTGTTGATATTGCGAGGTGCCGCTGGCAGTCGTTCCGGGAATTGCGGTAACAACCCCAGAGGAAGAGACAAGCTCCAAAAGGGTCAAGGGGCAGTGGATTGGGGAACGGAAGACGAGCAAACGGAAGGCAACCAGGAGCAAGCCCAACGTCAAGCAGCTATCCCTGATTCACGGAAGATGTAGGAAAGCGACGGAGCTCTTACCCGAGATGCAGGCAGAGAAAAGGCCTCGAAGCCGAAAGTGCTCATACGGCGCTCCTGCAGAGGCAATCCGTGCATGGACTTTTGGAAAGCCTTGATCTGATCGGCGGCGACCTCATTGAAGGTATCGAAGCGGTCCGAGGTATTTGTCGTCGTGGTCAATGAGGAGGAGGCGCCAGCGGCAGGCTGGGCGTCAGGAGCCTGCGGCTCAATCTCCTCCACGGCGGAGGAGAAGCGGACGGAGGCCGGGGCATCGCGAGGTTTGCTGCTGGTGCTCTCCTTTGACGGCTCTCGACAGAGCGGAGCAGCAGTGGCAGCGGCGGCGTCAGAGGAAGCGGGAGCTGCGTCTGTTTGTCCAAGCGACGATGCAGAGAAAGCAGGTTAGCTCTGGCGGACGACTAGGCGCAAAACCGATAGCTGTTTGCCCGGATCACCAAATCCAACGTGGCCGGTGGGGGAGGGCGTTTGAGGCGTCGCAGCGGATGCGCCGGACGGGCAAAGGAACAGGACAGCGAGACTCACCGGCAGCGGCTTCCTGCTGAGAGGACGGCTTCTGGGGCGCGGACGACGCCATGGATCAGAGACGCTGGGGATACGGAGCCTTTGCGACCGCAGAATTGAAGCAGCCTGAGCGCACGAGATCCTGGAGGCACGAGAGGGACCTTGTGGGAGTCGAGTTTTGAGGGCCCGGGGGGGCGGCAAGGCGGATAGCGCAGCGCAGCCAGCCCGTGGCTAGTGATGGCTTTTTTTTTTCTTTGCTTCCTTTCTTTTTCCAGTTGCGCGATGATGGAAAAGAATGGCCGGTGGTGGGGCACTCTTGGGGGCTCCGGGCCACTGCAAACGTACCGGTACACCGCGGACTATTTCTCTCCGGAAGTACAGCCAAGTACTACCTTACCTCGGGTAGCGTAAGGCACCTTATGGGACGCTCAAGGACGCTGCTGGGCTTGCAGGGAGGCGCGGTGAGTAGCAATACGCGTAGTTGAGCCCCGTGAGAGTGCCAAATACGAAAGGCGAGGCACGGAGAGAACTGCTTGCAACTTGAAGTTCAATTACATGGCCTGACGGAGGCGGGAATAAAACCGGGCGGTCACTTGAGGGGCTTTGGCAGGCATCTGACTGAAAGGAGAGGTTCTTGCCTGATGCAGCATGTCTTGAGGTGCGTCACCGATATAGGCCGAGGTACCGGTACCCGGACGACTCGGGGCTAGCAAGAGCGGCCACATGCTTTCTCGCGGGCAGGATTCACCGGGATTCATCAATCAACGGCCATGGAGCATCGAGGGAGCGGTCACGAGGTAAAGTACTGCGAGGTATAATATCTGGTTTGAGTCCAGCTCCAGCCGTCTCCCAAGACTGCAGACTGCAGCAAACTCAGGGAACAACAGCGTTTGTCTGACGAAGCGTCTTCAGAAGAGGCTTTTCAAGTTTGCAAAACATACCTAACCCGTCGGCTGCATTGACCGGTAACGTCCCTTGGCCACTGCTGGTCTCCGTACAGCCTCCCCCTTTGAGCGCCCCTCGCCGTATTGCGAACGAGCGTACTGGCCAACGCAGCAAGGGTCCCCCCAAACCAAGTTTAGGTGCTGCTGCCAGCGGCTTTTACTCGGCTCAGGAACCCCGAGGCCTCGTACCTTTTCCCCTCCTCTAAAGTACCGCGGCGGAAGCTCATGGCTGCGTGAACGGGCACGCCTCAGCCGGAACTCTCGTCCCGCGAGAAGCGCGCAGTACAGATGCCGCCGCCCCACGATACCTCCCAGAGCGGTACCGCCTCTAGCTCCGGCATCGCGGCAAAGGCGAGATACCTGGGGATACATACATGGGGCCCAGCGATGGCGCTCATCGCCGATGCCCCAATCAAGTCGGGTCTAACAGCCTGTTTGTCCTTCGAGGCGCAATCTAGAAGCAGTTTCTCCATCCTCGCCTTGTTCAGCCACTGCTGTGTGTCATCGACTGCCACTATGGATCGGATACAGTGCCTGCGAGTTCGAACTCGGGAGCTACGGCATCGTCGAAGCCAGATGTTCGTAGCTGCAGAGCTCTAGGAGCCCATACCTGTTCGGGTATTATATATATATAGACTGCCGTTTCGGGTAGCATCGTGAAGCGTGCGTCAATATCTGCTCGTTGCTGGGCCTTATCGGGCTACGGGATCAAGCAAACTGAAGCCTCGGCACCGAGTAGGTAGACTCTAAGAAGTAGCAGATGCTGTGCTTCGTGTCGTACAGCAGCCCGCAGCTGTTAGGCAATGCTGTTCCCGCTCTGCTGCGACTTACCTTTCCAAGGAACCAATCCTGCATGCTACTGTACGTGGTTCTACTGGTCCTTCTCGTCCCTCGATGGAGCATTACCCACCTAGGGTCCGGATAGTCGCTGTCCCGCCTCAAAGTCCCGTCGACGATGCTTCCGTGGGGACAAGCTCGTCGATTGATGCCGCGGCCGTGATTGGCGACCGGGGTAGCGGCCGATTCAACTGCTTCCCCTCCGCTGCTCGCTCCGCGACAATGCCCATCAGCTCGTCCCTGATTTGTCATCTGCACGTATATCTCGCACATGATAGAGCATGGAGGACAACTGGCACCAAACAGGCAGCAAGAATCCTGCCGTACCGCAGCCAATCACTCCTATCCTGATGGTCCAGCTGGTCGGAACTTGGATGGTGAAAGGGGACTTGGCAGCAAAAGCCGCACATTGCTGAGATCGGCCCGGATCAGCGCCATTTCAGAAGCAGAAAGGCGCAGTGCCAACTCTCTGTGACAGGGGGGAGACCAATCATGCACAGGCTAGATACGAGTTACGGCATCCTGGTGATGAGCATCTTCTATACTGTACTTGGCAGTAGTCGAGAGTCACCATTACCCTCATTGTGTGTCATGTGTATCCGTATTGCGTAGGTATGCCACTTGCTGTTTCTGCTTCTCCAGATCTCAGAAACAGCCCCACGATGAGTGATCATCTCTCTCGGCTCGTCGTAAGCCGTTGGGATCCGCCAGTATGTTTTCAGGCTCTTCTTTGTTTGCACGTCTGTAGCTTTCCGTCCTTCTGCGACTCTACCGATGCAATCAGATTCTCTTCCGGATGAGTTTGCCGCGCACATATCTAACATATGCAGAAGGATGCATTGGCTCATCGCCACCGCGGTAGTTGACGAGCAGACACTGAAAGCTGACGGCTGTCTACAGAGTACCCTGACGCCATATGTACCTTGTTGGAACGGAATTGGAGTTGATGGCTTCAAGTGGGACCATGATGTCGATTTGCTCTGAGACTATTCAGGTACACATGTCAAAGACCCTTTCTTTACTACCTGCCCAGTACTACGTAATGGTCTCAAGGAAAGTATTCATTCCATACGTAAACATGATATCTTAGATGGACTAATTAGTCTAACAATCAAGTGGCAGTTAATGATTGACCATCAAACAGTTTGAAGAATAAAACAGTATCACGTAAAGGAAAAGGCAAAGCAGAGCAGCTGTCCGAACACATCAGTGCTAAACACAAACCAGCACGAAGCCTCCCATATAGGCGTCCAATTGGTCATCAGTAGTGATGTAACCAGCTGGGGAGCTCCCTAGATGCCCAGCAATTTGAAGGAGATGCCCAACTCTTCCAGCCTGTCTTCCATATACTGCATCACCGTTCGCAGACCTGCCTTTCCGTCACGACATGCGCCGCTCTCAATATGCGACACGAGACCACTGAGAGTCGAAAATCTCTTCATGCTCGGGACGACCTTTCGAGACCCTGCTTGAAAGAGAAGAGAAGGGCAGTGGAAGACCTTGGGCGTGTGGGCTGCTGACTGCATGTGTTGCTCGAGGGCTGTTCGTCCAGGAAAGCGACGCCTGCTGTTGGGACACAGAGGGCAATGATAGATGGCATCCTCCGCCAATTCAGTACAGACACTCTCCGAGTCGGAAAGTTCAGACACTGCCAGCCGCTGCCCAACAAGGCTCACCAGGTCGAGCTGGCTGCTGCTCGGAGTCAACAACACACCCTCGCCCGACTCCGTGCTCGGCGTCATGACGCCCGAGTGGCTCGGCGATCCTTCTTCGTCCTCCAGGCTGGCCCATCCCGAAAGCTCAGCAATGCCGCTGGAGCTGGTGATGAGATTCTCGCGGTCGTGCAAGGAGATCAGTCGGTTGAGCTTTTCCCTATCCATGCCCGACGAGCAAGAGCCATTTTCCATGTGGGCGACCATAGCTGACGGGCTCCGGAAATGCGTATTGCATTCCACACCGCAGAGCTTGCCTGCGAGGCAAGGCAAGTTGCTGATCGGGCAGTGGATGGTAGACTTGAGATGCTGCTCCAGGGCTGCTTTGTTTTTAAACGTTCGATCGCAGTCTTCGCATCGCGCTCGCCGCGCCCGCGGCTTGGCATGGACCTTGTCCTTGAGGTGGGCATCTAGGGCATCGCTACTTTTGAACGCCCTGTTGCAGTCACAGCAGCGAAAATCAGCGGCGTGCTCAGTTAATCTGAAGTGGACTTCCAAGGCAGCTCGGCTATCGAACAGGTCGCCACAGTCGTTGCATCGCCAACTGCAGATGTTCTTGAGCGGAGTCTGCCCGCACGCCGGAGAGAGTGCAGCCCTGTGGTTCAACAGGGACCTGTTTGTGCGAAGGCATCTGTTGCAGTCGGGGCAAATATGCGCGGCCACGGCCTTTCTGTGAGCTCGTAGGTTTTGCTCGCTGCCAAATGCGCGATTGCATGAGCATACTACGGACGACATTGTGGGTTTCGTCCTTGCGCTTCGTACTCCGTGGTTGAAATGGCGACTTGATGCTGATAATCTTTCTGAGGTAGAATGGCGAGTCTTTGCCTACTCAGCAGGTTACACTCGGCGGGATGAAGAATTGAGGGAGCACCGCCGTTTTAGGCTGCTAGAAAGCGGGAGGCCTACAGCTTGTCGAGGTCTGTTTTCAGGCCAACAACATGGCGGAGTAGTAGATTGGCGTCGACGAACGAACCTTGTCGCTATCAAGCGCGCGCCATGGCTTTCCATAAGCCACAAGTGCAAGCGAAACGAAACCAGTGCACGGAGTAGTATCTGGCGCAGATGCTTTCGTGACGTCGATTTTAAAGCATCGATGCCTGAAGCAAGCTTGTAGGTGAGGTGGGTTGCGAATGAGATTGGCTGGGCCTGCAGTCCGTCCTCTGGTTGGGTGACATCTCCCTTGACAATGTCTTAACAAACAATGTCCCATCCGATGTGAATCCAGGCAGCAGCTGGAGCGTATCCAGGAGCATTATCGCCGTGATTGGCGACGTAGAAGTGCTAAGCCTTCTCCTCGTAGCCAAACCTTGACAAGTCACGTTGGGCAAATGTGCCTTGTGCCTCAAGGTCTCAAATTCACCCGCCTCACTGAGCCTATTGTAACGTCAGTGGGGGAGGAGAAGGGGTTGGAGAGCAACCTCAAATCGGGGAAGGAAAAAAAATGCCGAGGTTCTATTGTATGTCTTGCTTCGAATTCCCATCGTACATCTCGACGCATCCCGCAGTTCCCTGGTACTTGACTCTGTTGTACATATCGCCCGTTATGCTGAGCACAAAAACCCACCATCAAAACGCCAATTTTGCTCCCCCTCTCTTTCGTTTTTGGTATCATTTAAGCCACCACGTTAATTCCTATTGATTTGCACTGGAAAATGATGGATCGGCATAGACCCTCCAGTGACAGACCGGACAGCCGGAGTTCCGACTGCTTAATTTTTGCGATTTCGTAGATGTGCTTTAAGCTGATGGTGCCGACTGTTTCGTGCCCGGGCTTGCTGACGCCTTTTCTGTTTCCCTTCTTGCCCACCGGCGCTCCCACTGCATTGAGCAGCAGCCACGATGTCTGCGGTGTTCGGACGTCGAAGGTGAACGACCGGTCGGGTCGGACGGTGACCCGGCACGGCATTGGGGTACCCGGTACGATGTGTGCTGTCCTCGCGTTGAATTCCTAGATCAGGGTCAGACAAAGGAGAGAAGACGGCAGCAGAGACGCATGCAGTGACGGACGAACCTTGCAAAAGTCCATAGACTTGACACCCTTGCTACCCAGCGCGGGACCGACTGGAGGGCTCGGACTGGCCTGGCCGGCGCCCACAATCAGCTTGACGATGGTGTCAACACCTGCTGCTGCACCCTTTGCTTTCGACATTGTTGGAGCGGTTTTGTGAGAGGCTGAATGTTGGTGACTTGGGCGAAGCGCAATATCGTCTTGTGCTCACGAGGGGAGATTTTGTAAATCTTGAAGCAACTCGCATCTGCAGATGAATGGAGAAAGCGACACTAGTACACATACGGACCTAGCGCCACTTGTTGTCGCCTGCAGAATTGCTCGAGCCCCACTGGAATTTCTTATCGATAGTGCATGGCAAGCCGCCAAAATTTTTGGAAGCAAAGGCCATCATTTCTAACCGCAATATCACCACCATAGAACAACCAAGATTTCTCATCCAGAATCCCCTCCTATTTATCAATCCCTCACTGCGCTTTCAGTGCAGTGCGACAGCCGATTGTTACTTGATTTATCAAGCGTATACTGATTGCATCGCTTCGTTGAATATCGAACCGTGCACGCCTATCTGAACCCCGACCTCGACAGACAGCCACGATGCCATCGACACATAAGAAAGACAAGCCCTGGGACACGGACGATATCGACAAGTGGAAGATTGAAACGTTCACCCCAAAGGACAATGCAGGCGGCACGTTTGCTGAGGAATCATCATTCGTCACCCTCTTCCCAAAGTACCGCGAAGTCTACCTGAAAGAGGCGTGGCCGCTCATCACCAAGGCGCTGGAGAAGCACGGCATCGCCTGCACGCTGGATCTCGTAGAAGGTTCTATGACGGTCAAGACGACGAGAAAAACATATGACCCAGCTGCCATCCTGAATGCGCGCGATCTGATCAAGCTGCTGGCACGAAGCGTCCCCGCTCCCCAAGCCGTCAAGATTCTCGAAGACGGCGTCGCGTGCGACATCATCAAGATTCGAAACCTGGTGCGGAATAAGGAGCGCTTCGTCAAGCGCCGGCAGCGGATACTGGGGCCCAACGGCTCTACTCTCAAGGCACTTGAGCTCCTGACAGAGACGTACATCCTCGTGCACGGCAACACGGTGTCGGCCATGGGCCCGTACAAGGGCTTGAAGGAGCTACGGAGAGTGGTCGAGGACTGCATGAACAACATTCACCCCATCTATCACATCAAGGAGCTCATGATCAAGCGCGAGCTGGCCAAGGACCCCGAGCTGGCCAACGAGAGCTGGGATCGCTTCCTGCCAAACTTCAAGAAGAAGACGCTGAGCAAGAGACGCGTGCCGCTCAAGGTCACGGACAAGACCAAGAAGGTGTACACGCCATTCCCGCCGGCGCCGGAGAAGAGCAAGGTCGACAAGCAGATTGAGAGCGGCGAGTACTTCCTCAGCAAGGAGGCCAAGGACAGGGCGGCGCTCAGCGACCGCAAGGAGAAGCAGAAGCAGGCAAAGGACGAGAGGGCAAAGGAACGGGCCGCTCAATTTGTGCCGCCCGAAGAGGACAGGCCCAAGAAGAAGCGGAAGAAGAGCTCTGAGTGAAAAGGCGCGGCTTAGGGTTTTGTTTTGTATAAAAGTTGCTGAACGGTTAGGAGCGTTTGATCATCCTTTAATGAATGCAAAAGAAGCCATAATATTCAGGAAATAGTAGACTGTGTCCATCAATCCAGTCGATTATACCCTGAGACTGTGGATATCAATAAGCCAACTAGAGTTATGGCTTCTGCAAAGCCTAATGTATGTATGTGCCACATATACTAAGTATTCGTTTGGGGTATGTTATCTCCATATTAGGTAGTTATGCTCAAAGTCTTGGAGATGAAGCATCGGAATCAAACTCAATCACCAGCTTGCCAAACTGCTTCCCTTGCTCCATCTCCTCAAACAGCTGGTCAATGGCCTCGATGTTGCCCAGACCCTTGATGGTCTTGCTGATGACCGGCGTAATCTTCTTTTCCTTGACAAAGGCCACCATGTCCTTGAATTCCTGCTTCGAGCCCATCGTGGTGCCCTTGAGCTCCACGTTGGCCAGCACGGCCTGCATCACCCAGTCCATCTTAGGAGACACCGTCATGCCGTACTGGGAGATGACGCCGCCGGGCTTCAGAAGGCGGACAACCTTGGAGACGAGCTTTCCGCCAGCGCCGTCGATTACGGCATCAAGATAGGGCCGATCCTTGGGCAGGAGAGCGGCCAATTCCTTTTCCCACGTCTCGGATTTGTAGTTGATGCCTCCCTTGGCGCCCAGGGCTTTGGCCCGCTCAAGCTTGGCCGGATCACCGGACGACACGTAGACATTGCTGCCAAAGCCGACGGCAAACTGCAGGACCGAGAGCGCAACGCCGCCGCCGATTCCCGTCACAAGGATGTTGCTGCCCGGAAAGGCGGCACCACTCTTGGTTACCAGAGCTCTCCACCCCGTAAGCCCGACAAGCGGCAGCGCGGCTCCCTCGCCGGGCGAAAGGTGCTCTGGGGCCGGCTCAACTTCGTCCTCGGGCACGACGATGTAGTCCTGCCCAGTTCCGGCCTCGGTGATCTTGCTGCTGCCAATGACGGCGAACTTGCGCGAATCCTCGGGTCCGGCGGGGCTGGACTCCCATCCCCGCATGGGCGTCAGCAGCACAGGCTTGTGGAGGAGGTCCTTGCGGGTGACGTCGGGTCCGGCCTCGACGACGGTTCCATAGCCGTCAGCAAACAGCGGCGAGGTAAAGGAGATGGCAGGATATTGGTGACGGCGGATGAAGAGGTCTCTGTGATTGAGGGCCACGGCAGAGAGGCGAACGAGGAGCTCGCGGGGTCCGGGCGTTGGCTTGGGGATCTCTTTGATTTGGATGCTACAATTGGACAAACGGTGAGCCAATTGATCCCCAGAGCTGAAACGAGAGTTCATAGAGCAAGTGGGCTGTTGATACTCACGGATAGTAGACTTCTCCAGGCTTACCGCCTTCAATATGCTTGAGAGTGAGAATTCGCGGCATCGTGGGGGTTTGAGCTGTAGCTGATGGATTTGGCTCAAGGCAGAAATATTGCCCTCTATCTTTCCAAAGCAAGTGATTGAAGAGTCAATTGGAAGGTATATAAACGAGTCAATCTCTCCTCATATACCTACGTAATTCCTATACCTCTTATGATTCTCTCAATAGCAGGGCGAAAGCGGAACCAATTTCCTCTTGAGGGCTCACTTATACAATCCCCCTAATGACATCAACCCCGCCGCGACTCACCGCGTTGACCTCGGTTACATTGGGGCTGCATTTGTCATCCAAACCCATCACCAACAACAGGTAAGGTATGCCAATAACCACGGCCCAAGTCTGATAGGAGGTCGATTTTATGGTTCATTTAGTAGTATCTAATTATTTAATTGAATTGCCGATCAAATCCCAAAGATTGTCATTGGTCGACGATATGCGGCGTGCTTTCCAAGTTGAGGCCTTGGTAGTACCGCAGTTGGCCATTTGAAGGCAACTCCCGTGTGCAGCGGCACTTTCCGTCTGCAAGTGCCGACAATATGTACGGAGTACTTGTAGCAAACACATCTCAACCCCGCGAACATGGCCGACAACCGCTTCCGTCTTACACCTCACACTGCGTCCTCGCTGACTCGGGAGCAGCCTATCCGGTTACCAGCTGTTAACAGTACTCAGCCAAACAGAGTTGCCGCCAGCACTAACATCTTTGCCTGTCATTGGCCTCGTGACGACCGATTGGCTGGTGGACTGCGCGTCTTCCAACAGCTTCAGGTCAATTGAGTGAGTACTCGTACAAGCACCAGCGTTGCATCCGCAACGGAACGCGACGACGGATCTGACGGGCCAAGGCCGTGAATCCTACCGCCTTAGATCCTCCGCTTCGGGTCGGCCTACCGGGGAGGAGTTCGGCATCGGACCTCTTCGGCAACGTCTTGGAGCCCCGGCTTGCCGTGCTTATCTACCGCCTACCTGTTCAATCTCAGAATCTCACACTTGTGCACAGGTCTTGTCTCTCTGACACGTACAACACGCTCTCATGGTATTTACGGCAATTTTGTCGCTCTAACCATCTTATGCGGCAGAATTGAGTCTGATGCCAAAGCCGGTCTCCTCAGTTGATATGGGCTGCTCCTATGAAGAGATATTCTGATACTGAGCTTGACAGCACAGATGATATTTCCATACCTGTACAAAGCCCCGGTAGTGCTGCAGGCGTCTTGGTCGCAAATGCCAGACGCATGACTGTCTTCTATCGTTTCCCAGGCCTTCGGGCTTCTCGCTGATACATGCACTCCAAGAAGGGGGTGCCCGACATGAGATCGACCTGTGGCTGATGCAGCTTCGGACTCGTTCAGGTAGTATTACTACAACTACTGCTCCTGGACCCCGAGTGGGGTTTCCCCAGCTCACCGATGCCCAGGGCCTGGAGAAAACCTCCGGCCGTCAAGACTAGTGTTAGTCAGTCTTGTCAGCGCCACAGGATGGCCCGTTGAACGAGCAACTTAAGGACTCCCAGCAATCAAGATGGTCCTCAGCCTCAGACAGTGCTTTCATTAGGTCATAAACTAGATGCTTTGCCTGGTCTTCGACATGCTCGAGTGGCAGGGATGCATTATGGCTTACTGAGAAAAATGCGACAGCCCGATCTCTCTATGAAAGCAAGATATTCTATGGAACAGGGTTCAAACGAATAAAAGCCGAGCATTGATACATGCCAAGAACATCTCCCGAAAATAGCAACGAGATGTCAGAACGTTAAAAACGAACAAGATGGCTCAATCCGTCTGCTAAACCCGCCCTACACGCCACGCACGCCATGGTCGCCGAGAATTGCGCTTCCTGCCTCCGGTCCGTCGATTTCGGGGTCTCGGCGATCGTGACCAATGACAAGGGGGTCCACTAAAACAAAAGTTGTTCGGCGACTCTTTGAGTGAGCGTTCCTGGTCCTCCTCCTCCTTGATCAGGGCCTTAGTAAATAACTGATGCCAGCCGTGGGATGACATGGTAAGCCAGCGGCTGTCGGTGTTCCAAGTCTCACTCGCAACATGAAGCCCGAGTAAAGACGCTTCTTCGAACTTCCTCACAGTGGCCGACGGCCCGGCGACTGTTCCATACTTCGACAAAGAGCTGGTATTAACAGCTGATACTGAAGGGTTTTGCATAGCAATCAATCTCCGAGCCTCCTTGCATGTCTTGGTACGATTATTAAACCGGTAACCCTGTTTGGGACTATTTGAGAGGTCGTTTCCAGGTCCGCTTGGAATCTTGGTGCCCGTATTGAACTATACATTTCCACTGCCCAGAATCCTACCATTTACTCGCTTTCTGAGTTGTGCTATATCGGAACCTGTTCTCAACAATTCAGCCATGACGACGACATTCCTCTCTGGTGCTGCCTTTGGTGCGGCTATGATGGCAGCCTCCTTTCACAATCCTGCCATTGTCATTGCTCAGCTGAAGTTTGAAAATTGGCACATGATACAGGCGTTTCTCGCCGCAACTGCAAGCAGCGCGTGAGTCCAACCGTCCAAACTCCCCAGGGTCGCCTCGAAGGGGTTCCATGTCCGCAAAGCTGACGATTGGTGAACAAAGAGCCATGTACGCCATTGCAGATCGCCTCGACTACGTGAAGCTCAAGCCCAGAAGTTCCTCGCCGTTAGGGCTCTTCTCCAAATACGACGGCAACATCATCGGCGGCACGCTCCTCGGTACCGGTATGGCGTTGTCAGGGTCATGCCCAGGAACGCTGTATGCTCAACTGGCTGCCGGTACCCATACTGGCTTCTATGCCCTAAACGGGGCCATACTTGGCGGGCTCTTGTGGACTGGGCTCCTTTCCAAGCTTGTCAGGCAGAGGAAGGAGAGAGCGAACATCAGCCCCATTACCGTGACTGCGAACGATCAACTTGGTCTGAGCAGAGGCGTTACATTGCTTCTCTTTGAGACCGTCTGCCTCTCGGTCCTCGCAGCAACGACACTTTACACCCCCAAGTTCCCCGGGGCCGAGATGGTCGGAACGGCAGGCGGCTTGCTTATCGGGCTCTCTCAGCTCTTCTCCCTTGCCACAAGAAGATCCATGATAGGCATCTCCACCGTCTATGAAGAAGTTGGAAACTATTGCTGGTGGTTGGTCAAGGGCGCAGAGCCCAGTGCGAAGCCCATCTCGTACAACAGCATTCTCTTCGCCGGCGGCGTGACGGCTGGAGCCTGGGGATTGCTCCAGGCCGTCCCTTCGCTGGCAAGCACACCCGTCTTTGAGGCGCCTCCAAATCTGGCGATGGTAGGAGGTGCGCTTATGGCCATTGGATCGCGAATGGCAGGAGGCTGTACTTCTGGACACGGCATCAGCGGCATTTCACTGCTGTCATTGTCAAGTATGATTACGATCGCAAGCACATTTGCTGCCGGAGCCGTTGTTGCGCCTTTGGTCTATTAAGTTGGCATGCAAACAAATGTTCTGGACTACGCTTGGTCCGACGAGGTCGACAATCGCTACATGCGTCTCTTTGTCGATTACTCCTTGCCAGTTTGCTCTTCAGAAAGACCCTGGTTGCCGGAGACATCATTACCGGATCCCTTCTTTGCTGTCACCTCGATTTCAATCTTCATCTCGTCGAGCATGAGTGCGGCTTGCACCATAGTCGCCGCCGGACGCACATTGCCCAGCCATTTTCTCAACACCGGCCAAACGGAGGGGAAGTCATTGCGATCCGGGAGAATGTATTTCACGCGAACGACTTCAGACATGGAGGATCCCGCTTCTCTCAGAGCCTTTTCGATGTTGATCATAGTCTGTTCAGTCTGTTCAACGACATCTTCAGAGATCTTTCCAGTCTCATAATTGACCTTGGTCACTGCAAACTAGGATAGACTCTCGGGGAGAATAAAGTATAGCATTAAAGGAATGCATCGTACCCAGTAGTTCCTGAGACAAACACCCAATCGTCCACGATAACAGCCCGTGAGTAGGCAATCTCCTCTTCAAACTTGGAGCCGGAAGTGATGAGCTGTCGAGGCATTGTTGGAATTTCGGGTTGCGTTGTTGGATAGATTGACAAAGAAGTAGAATATGTGATGAGGCAAAAGAGGATCAAGGAAATATATTGATCATTAATGTGGATGCAACCTTGTCCGGTAGTCTATCACGATGGTTTAGCGTTGACTCATTGATTTCCAGCCAGGCGTCCGACCACGCCCTTTGAGGTGGTGGAGATGTCACAAATCGATAGAGCAGCAGCCTTAATGTAGCTTCCCATACAGCCAGCCACTATTGATCTGAAAAATAGTAGCTCGGCTGTAATACGCCAATACCTCGCTATCATGATGCAAAAGGTTGGGGATACCTGAGGTACGGACCGGGATTTAATTCGAACTGGATATCCCGAGCCGTTCATCGGTCGTCTGGTGGCTGTTGACTGTAAAACCAATGCAATATGACAATGCATCCGCTGGCTGGATTTTCTGAATCATAATCGACACCATATACCTGGACAATTTGATCTATTCAATTTCATATGATTCCTGTTGCTTTTTTTCCCTTTCTGTCTATCCGATCAAGTAGTGATAAAAGGTTGGTAGTGAAGATTTTCCGTGAGCCGCTATAAGTGACATGTGATTCTTCCACATTTTCCAGACTTTCCACGCCCGCCAAGCCCCAATGCCCGTCATTGCCGTTGTCATCATTATTGTACAAAAGGTGGAAATATACACAGAGCCGGATACAGCATCTGTCCGTATCCGCAGTTACTGGCTTGTAAGCTCCTTGACCAGTGCCGCGACCGACTTCCTGTCCACATCCTTGCCCTCCAAGGCGCCATTGACGCGCTTCATCACTTCTCCCATCAGAGATTTGCCAGCTGCGCCCGCGCCCTTGGCAGCCTCGATGGCCTCGTTGATCAGGACCTTGATCTCGGCCTCTCCCATCGTCTTCACGCCGCTCGACGCAACGTACTCATCCAGGATGGCAATCTGCTGGTTCTCCTTCTGCACCAGGTCGTCCCGCCCGGCCGCCTGGGCGTCCGCGACGGCGTCCTGCGCGCTCTTCTGCAGCTTGCGGATCAGGGCGACGAGCTGGACGTCGGTGCGGATCGGGGACGACGTCTTGGAGGCGTTGAGGTTCGCGGACATGATGGATCGGAGCACCGAGAGCCTGGGCGCGTCTTTGGCGCGCATGGCGGCCTTGAGCTCGCCCTTGAGCTTCTGCAGCAGCGGCGGCGGGGCGTCAGCGTCTGCCGAGTAATATCGAGACGGCCTGGCGAGGCATTGTGTTCGGGAAAGGCGCGGCGGAGCTTGTCGCAAGCTTCGAAAGGCGGTCAGCAGAGGCATTGATGACTTTGAGGCTGCCATTGTGTCGGCGTGAACGCTGCAAGGGAGCGGTGGTAGGAAGGGTAAGAAGTCGAGGTTAGGCGAAGAGGTTGATGATCCGATTGGGAGTTTTCAACCAATGGGTGAGAGAGGGAGGGGTGAAGCTGATCGGCCTAGCGGGCAGCTCCAGGGTAGGTACGCTTGAACCGACGGCACCCAAACCCCAAGCCATATCGGACCTCTCTCACCCGAATCTCATACTCGGGGAACCATCTGGCAGAGGCATATTCGTCGGACATCTGACTACTACTTTCCATTCGATAGACTGGATCTTGATAAACAGAGCTCGTACAAAGGCATTGATGTTCAACCTGCCTATCACCATCTGTTTTGCACACCATTTGCAGTCCCGATTATGTCAGAGACTGCCCCGTAACCAAGCATCGACAAGGAAAACCACCCGGACAACATGTTGTTGACATTGGACAAGAATCTCCTTCCAACCCTGGACAACTCTGCCGCCTGCTTAGCACATACCCTCTTTACGGGTAGCGAATGCTACGCCAAAGATTGTCTGCATAAAGCCCCTGGCTACATAGGATGATGACCGTGCCAATGCACTTGGCACTTGGATGTACAAGTAAGGTGGTATTTGAACAAAAAAACGGCATTGAAGCAGTGTAATCCTATCCAAGCGGCTTGAAACTCAATCTTGTCTCCCCATCAGCCCCATCCAGAGTGTCCCCCACGGGCCCTTGGCTCTTGGTTGACTGGAATGCCAACTGATACGGTGATGTCTGCGATTTGCCCAAACAACCGAGACAAGTGCCCATCTGTCTCCAGCCTGATCACTGAGTAGAAGCATCAAACCTGGAACCAGTTTATGTACTACTGGCCCCCTTGTAAACCAGAGCACAGCACAGAGTCTTCGGTAGCAATACTGGTGCCGAGTTCATCCTGCAGCGCTGAGGCGCAACTTGTCCTAAACATGCCTCAATGCGTTGGTCGGCCTGCAGCTTGTTAGGCATGAATGCGTGTCCTGCTCCAGAGAGGAGCTTGGAGCTGTACGAAACACGTCCCAGACATAGCTGACGGACCAAGGCCGTTTTTGCGGCCTGACGCTCCCAAAGGAGAAATGCTGCACAGGAGTGGATTCCATGGTGCGGAAACGGACGTGCTCGCCCTGAGCTATCCTGCTGAAGATGTCGCTTGTCTCTCTTGGTCAACTGCTTGGCCTGGCCATCGGCAACGGCTTCGCTTCCTACTCGTTCCCAGCTGCTCGCGTCGTATCAATTCCGTGGCATTGGTAGCGAGCTTAAGCTGAAACAGGCCTGGTAAGGTACACGTAGGGGATGGGCAGGCTTTGCAACTCCGTAGCCATATTCCGTAGACGGGCGTTGTTGTGCCGTGCGTATTGGATCATGTCGTCGCTTTTTTCTAGGGCCCCTGAACTGATAGAGTCGACATCAACGCAACGCGCGCCATTTCTCTACCCGCCCTCTCCCTCCATCCCTCTGTCTTATGCACCTAGATTACCCCCCCTTGTCAAGCATTGACGAGGAAATCAATCTGGAGAGAGAGGGAAGACAAACCAAAGATGTTTTTTTTTTCTCCTCCCCGGCAGCGAGCAACCCTATGCAACAACCGTTCAGCCAGTTTCCCCGGACCATTGACGCAGGCATGTGAAGAGTGGGACGGAGGACGTTGGTGCAGGGGCACCGGCACCTCCCGCCGTTGCAAGATTCTATCGCCCGTAGAATCAGCAGGTGAACAGCCGCAAGTAGAAGGAGAGAGCAAAAGAAGAGGATACCAACTCCCTGAGCTGGGCTGGGCACTTTGGTTGCTTTGGCCCAAAGGCCTCGCTGGTGGACACATTGTATTCGTACCAGTATGTCAGGTACGCATACCTACCAACAACACAGCGAGCGCAGCCTAGCCCAGAGACTTGCTAATCAACCGACTCACCGGTGGTCTGTAGCGTTTGAGCAACACGTAAGGGACGGGAAGATGTCGATTCATCTGACCAAAAACCCGCCATTATGCTCTCCCAAGCCCGTACCCGTGTCATACCGCCCTCTCTGGAATTGGCAGTATGGCTTATCGATTGGGATCTTGTCTCAGCCTCGGTCTGTTTCATGCACACAAGGAGCAACTGCCTTCCTGGTAAGTGACTGCCTGCCGGCGAGCGGAGAAAGATCTGACGCTTATTGCTAAGGCAGGTACCAGATGCTAAGGCGCCACCTGCCTTCCTCAGATCGCCCCATAACCTTCTTTCAACTGCCCATCTTCTTCCCCTCCTCTCATTCCTCCCCTTCTTCCCTCCTTTCCATGCGTCTTCTTCTATGTTCATCATGCCGTCTGCCTTGTTTTCCTCGGGATTCCCATCACCGCCTCACCCACGGTCCCGTTGGCTATCGTCCGAACCACCCCATTGACGTATTCCGCGGCCGTCCTGATTTTGCTGATTAGCCGTTGGAAGATCTCACCCCTGGCAAAGCAACCCTTCGCCAAGACGCCTTGCACAAGGCTTCTTCTTGCATGGATCCCTGGCCATGGGACCCTTTTCACGATATCTTTGCCTGCCCTCAAGCCAAACGCTTCACCTCCAAGCCGAGCCGAGCGCCGCGTCATCTCTTAATTTTGCCAATTGCACAGTGTGGCAGCGGCCCGAGTCACTTCATCATTGGTGCGGTTTCCGCCCGATGAATACATATCTGCGATTGTCGTTGGTAAGTCACCAGCGTCCCGCATCTCCGACTCTGAGAAATTGTTTGATTTTGACTTACAGAGGAAAGTAGGTCTGCGACCGATTCGCCGACCTTCGGTTAGTCATATCTCTTTTGAGTTGAAGCAACTGGTGTTGGGCTTTGCTCACCCTATACGACGGGTTGTTGGCTTCGCTTCTGGCTTGAGCTACCAGGAGCTGGAAGTCTTCCAGAGGCATGCTGCAAGTCCCGCCAACCCATGTCAACATTGATCTCACTTCGGTGGACATCTAAGGCTCGATCTTGGGAAAGAAGCAGTGAGACATACCCTCGAATATGCGTGAAGGGATATAAGCCCATCGAATAGAGCAGTTGACTGACATTGCTGACGTTTAGGGCACCGATTGCATGGTCGCGGGGATCTGAATCCAGCCATGTCAGATGTAAGCCACCATGATGTCTCGAAGCAGCTCAAACTCTCGTATGATCGACATACCACTTGGCCAGGGGCACATGGGAAGCGTTAGAAGCCGCGACTCTATGTCAGTGAAGCCGGCATTTCTCATCCAATCCTTGAGGCGAAGAGCTGCTCGCGGGTCTTTTTGAGGATGCATAGCGTCGAGGTATCCGCGAGACCATCTGGAAAGTGCGTGGTCTACGGAGTTCAGCAACCGCACTTCGCCTTAAGGCACGGCAACGGGGTGACTTACCCGGCGACAGAGTTCCGTTGTCTGATTGAGCATTGAAGTATATCTCAACGAGTTGGCACCAGCCCCCTGGCTGCAAAACGCGGTACATGTCCTGCAAATAGCTCGGCCAACGAGTTGCGTGGATCCCTCCGGCCATCATCTGGCTATGAACGACATCGAAATAGTTGGAGGGAAATGTGAACCTAGGCGATGACGACATGCTCAGACAAGTGTTTTCCTTGTTATCGAACGGAATCTCCAAGAACTCACTCTCCATTCAAATCGTCAACCTGAAGGTCGAGATTATTGGGCATCTCCTCGGGCATCATGTGCGGACTGATGTCCAAGCCAACAACCTGCGAATCCGTCCGTCAGCATACCTTCGTTATTGACGCTATCCTTTCATCCAGAGAGGTTTGGACGACGAAAGGCAGACTCCTGACAGCCTCTCGTTGTCGGATGCTCGACCGGCCGCAATCGCCTAGTGGCTTCCCTATGCCTAGACAGAGCTCTCGATGTTCACCCCATCAAAATATGAGCCCGCCATCAAAGAAAAAAGACATGGCCCTCTTCGATGGGAAAAAGGCATTGTCATGTTTTATTCTTCATCTTCATTCTTATTTCGATTATGAGCCAATGTGTTCGTCGTTGGCGAGTTGTCCGGCCGACGGGAATGATTCGAAACAATAACAGAGCTGAGCACGCACCTCTGCATCTGGGTATTGTTCAGCAACATCGATGGCCCAGTCTGCTGCCCCGAATCCGCACTCGAGGATTCTCTGGGGCCTGACGACCGGGGGAAATATCAATCTATTGTCGAAGACCGTGCGGAGCATAGCGTGCATGTTCCCCAATCGCGCTATTTCTTCCTAAACCACCGAGTTAAGAGACGAGGGCCGGCCGTGGAATGGTGCGTCTTGACGAACAACGTACATCATCGATCGGCGCATAATAGATCCTGCTTTCCAAAGCATGTTGCTGGAAGATTCGGCCGTGATAGTTGACCGTCTCGGCATATGTCTCGTCGAGAGGGACAGTTTCGTCTCTAAACAGAGGATGTCAGCGGTCGTCCTAGGATGCTCGAAGCTGTTACTCGGGGGGTTTGGTACTCTGTGTCCATCTTCTGGGTCCTATTTCCTCTTTCTTTCCTTATTTGCTCTGCTTTTGGAATTCCAGGAGCCGAAGAGACGGATAAGTTGATACGATGAGCGCCTTTGGATGGTACAAGACTGGCTGGTATTCGATCGTCTTTTTTATGGTGCTGTATGCCGAGTCGACCGATACAAACACCACGACCTCGTCTTTGATGAGACGCTGTTCAGGCTTAAGGAGTCATGTGGCACCCGAAAGCGTGGCCCCAGTCCAGACGTTGGAAGAGCCCCTCTTGCCCCGGGAAGGCTCCTACAGTGTCGTAGTCGGACTAAAAGAGGGAATAGGCAGATTGGTATCGTGACCGGACCGGCCACTGAGGGATAGAGAACACGACGTGTCCCTTCTCCTGGATCGGAAACAGTGGAGCTGGTTTACAACATCTGCCTGCATTAACCAGCTGAAGCCCTTTGCGACTCTTACCGGGGGGAAAGGTGCCGATCTTTTCTGCGTGAGCCTTCAGACGAGAGCGCCCGCCGACTGTTTGTGCTACCACATT